GCAAAAGGCAAGGGCAAGGCACCCCAGCTGGCCTTGGAAGATGATCCAGAGCCTCCAGAGCCTCCAGAGCCTAAAGAAAAAACACAAGCAGAGCTCCTGGATGACTGCGTGAGAAAAGCTAGGAAGTGCAGAGACCTTGCCTCAGCATGCCAAAACGACCTGCAAGAAGCCTTGGAAAAGGTTGACAAAGCCTTGACAAAAGATGGAAAATCAACAGCAATGCAATGCCTGAAAAGCTTGAAAAAGCATGAGCAGGAGTTGAAGAATGCACTGGCTAAGAAGCCTAGCTTGGAAAAGCTTAGGGCAGCAATCACAGAAGCAACCCAAACCATCAAATGCAGCAAGGAAGAATACAAGGAGCTCAACCAGCTGGCAAACAGGGCAGCCTCCAGGGCAGGAAGCAAGAAAAGCAAAGCCTGACCTTGCAAAAAGCAAGAGCCCAAAAACCTTGCAAAAGGTTGCAGCCCCTCCTTGAAAAAGGACACAACAAGCCAAGACTGCCAGCACTAGATGTGTTTTGCCAATTTTTGCCAAACAACCCTTGCGAAAGGGTAGTAGGCGCCCTCCAACCAAGAAGGGCATGTACAGCTGCAATGCCTATACACAAGCTGGCATGGGACAATGGAAAAAGCTCCAGCATGCTGGGAAAGGGGATGGGAGGGGGCCAGCAAGGGTAAGCAAACAAAGCCAGCTATGGGTCCCCTTTGCTTGCCTACTTTACTTGTTTGCAAAAACAGGTTGCAGCCTTGAAAAAGGCTTTGCCTCATGAGCAAAAACCCTTGCAAAAGGCTCAGGGGCTGGCAGCTGGATGCATCAACTGGCAAGTGCCAAAAAGATGAAAAAGAATCTACCAGCCGTTTGGCAACAAAGCTTTTATCTTTGTGGGCCCATGGAAAGCTTTCAGCTGTAGCCATACAAGAATTGTCACACTTGGCTGTGCTAGATGGTGTTCAGCATTCAGAGCTACTGTGCCTTGCCCAGGCAGGAAGCTATGGCCAGCACAGTGGCAACACTCATCGTGACATTATGACTCACTTTTGTAAACAATGTGCCATTTGTGAACCCTTCCACATTCAGGTCAGCTGCCAGGACCCAAAAACCAAAAAGACAGTGGAAGAGCAAGCAGCTGTTTTTCTTCCTCACCTGCTGTTCAGCAGCTTAGCTAGCAATTATGAAGCAGCATTCCATAGGCTGTTTGGCACTGCCCATCTTAAGGACTTTTGGGCGCACACCCTTGCAAAAGGGGATGACAGATTGGAAAGCCACCCTATGGTCCTTGAAAAAGGATGGCAGAGCACCTGTTTGCCTCTGTTTCTTCATGGAGATGGAGTTGAATTTCAATCAAGAGACAGTTTGTTGGTGTTCAGCTTTGGGGCCCTGCTCACTATGGAAAACTCTCTTGACACCCACATGCAGTTGGCTGCCTTTCCAAAGTCTTGCACCACCAAAGAAACATGGGCACCTATTTGGAAGTGGGTGACATGGTCCTTAGAAGCCCTTGCAAAAGGGTTCCATCCTAGCTTTGACCCTGATGGTGCACCTCTTGCAAAAGAGAGCCCCTTCTTTGCCAAGATGGGCCAGCCACTGGCCATGGGATGGAAAGGTGTTTTGTGGGCCCTGCAGGGTGACCATGAATACTTTAGTAATGTGCTGAAGCTACCTCACTGGCGCAATCACAGGCCATGCTGGGAATGCAACGCCACAAACAAAGCTGGTGACAAGCCTTACACTTGCCTGACCAACTTTGGCCTTTTTGAGGATGTCACAAATGCCACTGCTTCAGCTCACAAAAGGTCAGAACATCCAATATTTAGTGTGTCAGGGGTCACTACAAAAATGGTGAGAGGGCACCCACTCCACATCCTGTTTTGCAAGGGCATCTATTCTCATTTACTTGGATCTCTTTTACACTATGTTTGCTTTTATGATGATGGTGTGCAAAGGAAGCAGCCTTGTGAAAGGCTAGGGATAGTGTTTCAGCAAATCCAAGCAAACTACACCAGCCAGTCCTGCAGAATGACCAACTTGACTATGTCCATGTTTTGCAACCCCAAGAGCCCCTGGTCTGAGTGGGCAAGTCTTAATTGCAAAGGAGGAGAAGGCAAGCGTCTTGCACCAGCCCTTTTACAAGTCTTGAAGTGTTTGCTTGATGGTAAGAGAGAAGAGCATGCTCATATGCTCACATGTTTGCAGTGCATTTGTGACATGGTTGCTCTCTGGGACACTGCTGGCATTTTCCTGTCCCCTGCAGAGTTTGAAAAAACTATGGCCCTTGCAAAAGGGTTTGGTGAGCAGTATGAGTGGCTTAACACATGGGCCAGCAGCAAGGACAGGTTCTACTTTCACATAGTAAACAAGCACCACAGCCTGCTGCACCTTGCAAAAGGTGCAAAGTTCTTAAACCCCAAAACTCATTGGTGCTTTCTTGCAGAAGACTACGTAGGCAACATTTCCAAAATTACCCATTCAGTGAGCTGTGGGGTCAGAAGCACTAAGCTTTCTACTAAGCTTGCGTTCAAATACAGGGTGCTTCTTCATCTTTTACTTACAGGGGAAGGCTTCACCTTTGAAATGGATAGCTTCTGACTCCCGTGTGCACAAAATGCATAGCCCTTGCAAAAGGGCTGTTTGGCTTGCTTGCGAGAAAAAAGGAGTATCAGCAAATGTATATATGTCATGGGACTTTCTGAAAACATTGGTCTGGAGTCCCTGGAGGTTCACAACATGCAGCTTCATAAGGTTTCATAAGGCTGTTTTTGGTTCTATAAGAACAGAAAATATTGATTTTCAGGCTGCAAAATATTGATTTTGCTATTGAATCTGCAGGGTTTTCCCAGATGGTGACAATATTGAAATTAAGCCTCAGAAAAGGGCTTCAAAATATTGAAGTTAGAACATCAATATTTCAATATTTAATATTGAAATTCCACTCTTTTCAAAACCCATTTCAATATATTGATCCTATTCAATTTCCGATGCTCAGGGGGGGCCCCTATAGAGCCTAGGCTAGGGGGTTCCTGTCTGAACTGCTCGCTCTGAGTCTGCGCAGTAACTTCGATGGCCGCGCAGAAAAATGATGAGCCGGAATGTCTCCGCGATCCATGTGTGCTGCAACAGGATCGTTTTGAGTGTCTCTAAGACCCGACTGTGCTCGGGATCGTTCCGGGATGTTGGATCTTGGTTGCACTGTCAAATTGCGCCTCCGTGAGCAAAACGAACTCGCATCGAAAGTCTGCGCGCGAGGGAAGATGCGTCAGAGACCGGAGTTCACGGCTGTAGGTCCACAGCCAAAAGCGATCTGAAAGGTTGACGGACGCGCGCCGCCGAAATAGCTGGGCTTTCTGGCCGCTGCCCGCCCATGCTCCATAAATGGGAGCCAATATCAGCCAACATAACGTTGGGCGAACGCGCGCGTTTCAAAGTGCTGCTCAAGCGCTGCTATAGTCTGCCGATCAGCGGATGGAAGGCCGCGGGTCGACTATGAGCCCAGACATACTCACCGAGTCTCCCTGCAAGAGTGCGGCACGCGGCGTGCATTTCCAGGCGTCTGCATATGGCCTTTGATCACAGAATGTGTACCGTGAATTTTTGGAGAAAGGCCCGTGTGCCAGGCAGATCAGACAAGCCTCGCCTGTCTGGGCTTCGTGCCGGCTCCAGCAGCTTGCTCAGGGAACGGCTGGAGGCGCACAGCAAGGCTGCGCAGTCGGCTGTCCAAGCCAAAGAGCAGCAAAATAGTGCTTGCGAGAAGACGAGCGAGAGAATTGGTAAGGAGAAGAAGCAAGACAAGCAGAAGAAAGAAGGAAAGGAGAAGAGAGCAGAGGGGGAGCAGAAAGAAGGGAAGGAGAAGAAAGTCAGAAAGGAACAGAAAGAGGGCAAAGAGAAGAAAGTCGGAACGGAGAAGGACAGAGGCAAGGAAAAGAAGGAAGGCAGGGAGAGGAAGGACAAGAGAGACGCAAAATGCGATTTCGTTTCCACAGCAGCGGAGACTGAGAGAAAGAGGCCCGCAGAAACTTCCCAGAGCAGCTCTTCGAAGAAGCCAAAAACAGCAGCAGACGCCATTGCGATGCCCCAGGATGTCGCCAGAAAGAAAGCCGAAATTGCTTTTCTGACGCCGCCAGGCGCTTTGAAGCCAAACATGGACGCCAGGGGTGCAGTTTTTCGAGGCAAAGAGCTTCCCGGCGCAGAGCGCACAGCCCTGCCTGCTCCGCCTTTGCCGGACACGGTGACAGTCTTGCTAGGGCCTGGCGGCAAAGCGCCTGCAAATCTTCACAAACGCTTCCAGGAGTGGTTGTTGCCAAAGTAACCTTTAAGGTTTTGCTTCTTCGCAACAGCTTCTTTTTGGCTTTGCATTGTTGCCGTTTTCTCAACCTTGCGCATCCTTTAGGTGCTGGAGACATGGCGCGATTGCACCGCCTTGGTGGTGGACCGAATTGATGCTCGCTTTGGCAGTGTTGAGGCTTTGAAGGCCAGGCTCTATGGTTTGCGGATTGCAGATAATTGCTGGCTCAGTTCAGCGGGCAAGCAGGGTGGCATGTATACTTTCCGTGCTACTATGTACAAGCACATGTACCTATACCTGTCAGCCGGGCTTCAGCTCCAACACCCGGAGCATTCCCGGACGCTTCGCAAAATATGCGGCAGGGCCGAAAAGGGCTTGCGCGTGATTAACGGAGCGATGCGCGGTTTCCTCGGCTATCCTTCCAAGCCGTCGCAGACGGCGAAAGTCTTGAGAACAAGACCCGCCGCTGTTTTTCCGGGGATCCAAACCTGAACCCACGGTAGGCACACACACACACACGAACCCCAAATATTTCCGGCAGACCCCCTTGTCTGGTTGGAACACCAATAGGACTTTGGGCACGGGGTGAAGTGCAAAAAGGGAAGTTTCTTGCTATGGGGCGAAGAGCCGTGAAGTCATGGGCAAAGGTGACCAACCCCTTTCGTTTTGGGCAGGGTTGCCCGCTTGAATCTCGCCAACCATTCGGTTGCAGTCGCTGAAGGCAAGGCAGAGCCCAACCTCGAGGAGCATCAGGGCGCCACGCCGCCCGGCTGCATGCTTCAACCCAAAACGCGTTGACTTCAGATGGAGGATGTCAACGAAGGTCCACAAAAACTTAAGGGCTTGCTTTTGTTTGAGGGCCTTTTTTGGATGGCTCAACAGGGAAAACAAGATGAATCCAAGCGCCTTGAGGGTGTCCGCAATACCCACTACTGATTACTTGACTCTGAACGTGCTCAAACATGTTTTACCATTGCTCAAAATTGCGAAACAAGTGCGCCCACCCAGTCACATATGTGGGTCTGGTCCAACCTTCGGAACACACGGTTTGCACTAGGGGACGTCCCAATTTGTGGATGCAACGGCCCTTTTGATTCTTTCTGCGTTCTTGCTCAACACATCTGGGATGTGCTTGATGTATTTTTGCTCTTTGTTCGGAATAGGCAGCTCCTTTCTCTGGCCACATGAAGGTAGCTGGAAGATCGATTTCCCAGTGAAGGCGTTTTTTGAGGCAGGGTATTCACCACAGAATGCGCCCCTCCCCCCCATCCTCCAAGCCCTTCCTCCCCACAAGGGATACCCAAGCCAGGCCCTTGCACATCGCAGCCCAGACGGGACATCTGGATGCTGTACGATGCCTGCTGGACGCTTTGGCACAGCTTCCCCCATCTGTTGGGTACGTATCCTTTTATTTTTTCTGAGCCTTCATCTTGTTTACACCTGTTTGTTTGGCCCCCTTTTTGCCCTTTGACCTTGAACATCGCCATGGAGTTGTTTGGCCCCCTTTTTTACCTGTTGAATCCCTTGAGCATTGCAATGCCGGTTAGCAGGTAGCCAGTGCTCCAGCTGTCCGGCTGACTTCCCAGGATGCCCGTGCCGACATCGACAAGGCCAAGGGCGACGCCACGCCGCTGCATGCTGCCTCGCAAGGCGGGCACGCCGACATCACCCACGCTTTGCTGAGGGCAGGCGCAGATATCAACCGCCAGCGGGAGAACGGGGACTCGGCCTTAGCCATTGCAGCCTCAGAGAACCACGTCGCAGTGCCTGAGCTGACGTGGGTGTGTTTGCTTTTGAGGGTGCCCTTTTAATTAAACAAATTTGGAGAGAAAGCACCAATTTTGGGGGTTCCCCTATTTTGAGACAAACACCAATGTTTTGTTTTAGCTCAAGGAATCGATGGAACAGGAGGAGTTGGAATGTATAAGGCAAGCCAATCAGTAGTGGGATCATCATGTGCACCGTGGTAAAAACTTTGTTTCTTCAATCCGTGCGGATGGTCATCGACTCGCCCTTGGGGATTTAGGCAACCACTCGCCGTAAACAGTGTTGCCCAGTGTGGGAAGCTTGTCCGTAGCATGAAGGGCGAACTATTGTGTCATTGAGCCATGGCTTCCCATTCGGAGAAGTGCCAAGAGGTCCAAAGTTGAGGCAGCTTGTTTATCACAAAAGCATATGTTGAGGGGCTCACATGAACAGCATACACAAAGGGCTTCGTGATTTGAGGCGTACACGTCGGCCCAAGAACGTACTCATGTTGGGCGACTCACGAAATGACTTTTGGGGAACCTTTCGAAGGGCGATCTTAAGGATGTGAATTTGGACTAGATGCAAGCCCTGTCGTATTTTGCAGGCAAGGCGAAAGGGTCGACATTCGGGTTCCTTATGTAATGTCAAGCCTCCATTCAACAGCAGACCATGTACATGCTTGCCATTCAAGGCGTAGCCACTTTCTTGGGAGGGGAGCCCTCAACTTACCAACCAGGAAGCCTCAAGAGCTGAGTTCGCGTGCACGGTTTACCCCAATTTACTGGGAAACTTGCTTGAAGTCTGTTTTTCGTGGAGTCACCTCGTACATGATAGTGCTGGAAAGGCCCTCCGTGGAAGGGCCCTCGATATCGAGAAATGCCCATGTTCGATCTACGAACAAGTAGCTGTCTTTCAGGGGTGAACAAAAAAGCCGCTTTACCACCAACAAATGAGCAACTGGGAAGTTTCCACGTCGCCTCAGGTGCTTTGTCATCTCCTGGATGCGAAGGCCTCAGTGGATTTGCCCCTGGACGGCGCCAACAAAACGGCCCTGCACCTCGCCGCGCGGAACGGGCACTTGGACGTGCTCCACCGGCTCATCGACGCTCAATGCAACCAGTGGGTTCCAAGTTGATGGAATGGGCTCCCTCCAAAGTTTACCATCAGCCCACAAATGAGGCTTCTTTTCCCAGCCTTTTGTTCAAGGTTGGGGCAGTGGGCTTGCCGTGTAAGTCCAGCGCCCGAAAATGGAAGGGCGGCTGTCCCGAATCCGAATCTCAGGATGCCGACGCGGACCTCAACGCAAAAGATGCGCACCAGGTGACACCCTTGCAGCTTGGCCAACGGGGGGGTTGCTGATTTCGAGGGTCCCTGGCGACAGAAAAAACCAAGGGCCCGGTCGCTTTCAAGTTCCAAGTGTTTGTTGTCAGGAGGCTGCCAAAGCTCTCAAGCGCCTCCTACTGGGTGTCGCGCAGGGTACATGTCGTAAAGAATGAGTCACGTCTACCAGGTGATTTGGAGGATGAAGCAGGTGGCGGTTGGATGCTGGATCCGATGAAAGGAACCCGGTTGGATCCTCCAAACATTTGGACGTAGGGTCCCCTTATGAGGCAGGCGAGGATCCGATACAGGTGAGGATCCACCTCAAGAAGGCATCCTCCAACTCAGCTTCTAGGGGTTACTTTTTTTTGTCGCAACTTCCTGGACGGAGGAGTCTGTTTCGAGGTATACTGCGGCAGAGAGCGGGCACCTGGACTTGGCAAGGGCGCTGGTTTGCGCGGGGGCGGACCAGCGCCTCGGAAAACGCAGTGCCGCCGTGTGCCTCCTAGTGGGGATGTGGTTTTGGGGGGTGGAAGGGAAGCGGGTTCCCCCTTTTGTCCGGAATTGGTGTTTGTTTTTTGCTAGGGCTGGTTTCTTTACGATTGCCAGCCGTGCAGAAAAGCAGCGCAAGGAAAAACCAGCCCTGGGAAAAACAAAACACCTCTCCCCGCCATCAGACAGTGCCCTTGGCTTGGTGCAGAGGCCCGATGGATTCCTGTTCACTTGCATAGTTGGTGGAAGGGCAAGTATGACCCACCTGATTGACGCTTAAAGCTTTAGGATGCCTTAGGGCTTGCTGGCCAAAGCTTTATAGCAACGGCAAAGAGAACTGAACCGTTCGCATTGGTTCCCCTGAACCTCCAATATCCCTTTGGTGTCTCTTTATAGTGGGTACATTGCATCACTGCATGGCCGGTCTTTAGTTCTGCCTCTTCATTTCTTTCTATAAGTCTCCCCAATTGCGTTCTACTCTTACGCCTGTGGTTTGACCTTTATTGGTCCCATCTGGGCTCCCAAATTTTGGGCATTGTCATGGGAACCGTTTTTTGGGAGAACCCTTTCCCCCACATTTTGGCCCCCGACCGTCCGAGGCACCTCACCACGGAGTTGGGGGCGTCGCCCTTGTTCATCGCGGCGCGCCGGGGCTTCCGCGACATCTCCACGCACCTCGGCTGGGATTGGCAGGGGTCCACGCGAAAAATTGCGGGGGGGGGGGGGGGGTGACAGGGGCCAGGTCCGCCAGTAGTGCCGTTTGCTCTTCTTTGTTTCTTGGTGTTTTTTTTGGGGGGGGGCGTTCCCCTACTAAAGTAAACTACAGAAAAAGGGTACCCTTATTCTCACCTCTCTGCTGGAGGACAAAGGGGGAGGGTTCTACTTGTTGAGTAATTAGCCCACGGTAGACTTAAACCCAGGGGTGGTTCATTCCCCCCAAAAGGGGAACCCCTGATTTTAAGTCTATCTTGGGGTAGTCAAAAAGTGGAACCCTCGAAAGGGACGAGACAGGCTGTACTTGGGGTTGGTCGGGATGATCATCAACCTCTTTGGCATTTTAGGCGGCCAATGTGCAGCTTCCCATTAAGGGTATCACAAGTGAGGTGGTTTGAGGAGTTGAGGCAATTCAAAATCTGGCCTGCATGCCACAAGTTTTGCCCTAAGGAATGTAAAGTACGGACGTTGCCTCTGAGGCATCTCTTGTAGCCACTCAAACGTTCCCCTTGGCCACTTTGGCGCATACCATTGTGGAAACTGGGGCTTGGGGAATCCCATTTTCCTGTACTGAGGGCAATAGGCTCAACCACAGGCCGAACCGGCGCATTTCTTCTGTTTTGTGAGGAATATTCCGTGTTGTTTCGGGTGCTTTAGCAGCTTTAGCAGACCTCGTATGGGGTTCGTTGCGTCATTCTAGAAAGCCGGTCAAAGGTATGGAACCACCCGGTCGAACGTCGGTACCCAGTACCAAGTACGATAAAGTACGATAAAGTTGTTCTTACTTTATTCTCTACGACAAAGTTGTTTTGCTTAAAAAATGACTTAATCCGGGAAACCAACAACTCCTTTTGTCCGGAGTTGTTGGGTCCGGAAACAATACCCATCCCCAAACAGCCGATTGACTTACATATACTTGATCCAAGTTTGTCCGCCGACAAATGTCCAAGGGGGGACATGGACATCCCACATGCTTAACAATAGAAATGAAAAGAGGTACCTAACAGAAGGAGATACCCAACAGTGTGCCCATCCCCCGGCCCCGCCAAAAAGTTGTTCCCCTCTCTGTCTTCTTGTCCAGCACTTCCTTTGAGAACTATCAAAAGCCAGAAAAGTTGTGCAAACCATGCCCATCCCCCAAGCTGCCGATGTCCTTACATATACTTTACGCAAAAGTGCTTAGCCGACAAATGTCCAAACGGGTAAGTACACGGCCGCCCCAAATCTTGTCCAGGCCGAAAACACAAAACTACTGCAACAATACTAAACTACTACCCAAAAACGAATACTCAGACAATTCGAACCATTACAAGGAAGAGAGGACCGACGAGTACCGAAGACGACCGAAACTACTGCAAACCACCAAGGCAGCACGAAGCAAACCAAGCCAATACTAAGCCAGTACTAAACTTGTGAAAGGCTGGTCTGACCCCAAAGTTGTTTTACACGTTTGCGCTGTTGGGTCCCCAAAAGCTTAGTTTCGGCGGGGAGTCAATCAATCAGTGACCCACATCAATATGTATGGGTTCGTTTGAAAATGTGGCGGTGGGGGGGGTTCCCGTTGAACCCACCCAACAAGGGTAGCCTCAAAAGAAGACGCACTCATCGCTCATGGGTCTTCCACTTCGCCTCCACGCGAGGGGTTGCAGCCTCAGCTTGGCAAGGTACCTGCTCACCGCGCGGGCCAACCTTGAGGAGGGCAAGGATGGGGCCAACCCGCTGTCTGTGGCGGCTATGAAAGGCCACAGCGAGGCGCTTTTCGCTGATGACATTTAAGTATGGCAGGATGGGTCGTTGGTCAAATATGCACATACATGGATATATTTCTATATATGTGTGTGTGTAATATACATATATGCATATATACATATACACATATACGTATGTACCCATATATAATATGCATATATATATATATGTCTCTGCGGCTATTTTACAGTTGATTTACAAGAAGGGTGTTTGTTTTGTGCAAGATGCGTGGTTGTTCAAAACACATGGTGAGAACAAGGATATTACTATGTTGGATTATTTAGCTTCGTGTTTGCTGATGGGCAACCAAAACGAGCTTGCAATCAATGCCTACAAAGACTCAAGCTTTGGAACCCTTGAAAGGGAGCAGCTTGCTTAAGCGCCTAGTGACCATCTTTCCTCTCTCGGGACCCTTGGAGGAAAGCCCACAGAAGGTTACAGCTGCGTTTGAGGTGGGAAGGCGACTTGGGACAGCAAATTCGTTGGTGAAGATCTAGGGCCAATCACCAGGCGTTTGGGGGACTGCTTCTGCGAGTCAAGACTGAATGACCAGTTTTCCTACGGGCCCAAGCGTCAAAAGCAGCGCGGGGATATGCATGTCAGTTGGTGAATGCTTGGGGGATGCTGGACTGTTGGACCCGTGGCGTGGGTGGAGGGGACTCCGTTTCTGAAAGCGCCGTGTTGGGATTCACTCAGAAATGGGGGCAGGTGTCTTCTCGGCGTTTCAGTTGCAGTTGTGCCACCAATCTACGGTAGTTTTTGGGGGCATGGATTACTCTCTGTATTCCCACAAAACCAGGGAGACTGAGTAGCTTTTGCTTAAGAATACGTTTGATTTCCTCTTTTTGGTTTTAAAGGGAATCTATCACTGCTGGTTTTTTTCTCCCCGAGGGGCAAAAAAGCAAATTGAAGGTAGCCGGCCCATGTCCACCAGGGAAAGCCGCATACATCTTCGCCCGGCAGGTGGTCAGCTGCCTCCTGGCGGCTGGGGCTGAGGCGGCGGCGCCCGCGCCGCTGTACTTTGCCTCCCAGAAGCTTGGAACATGGGGCCCGGCCCCAAGGAGCCGTTCCCAGTTATTCGGTTTCCTAGCTTTTTAGGCTTAAGTTGTTTTGGCGGTTCCATTTAGCCCACTAAAAGTTAAGCTTTCAGATCTCAGGACAGCCCAGTTTTCCCTTGACCTTTGTTACCTTTGTTCCCTGTGGGTGAATCCTTGTGGACCTTATATCACTTGTATTTCCTCTAGGGCTTCAAACATCGCAGGGTCCAATGGGTCCAAAGGGTCCAAAGGGTCCAAAGGGTCCAAAGGGGCAAGCACAATCGCAGGGCGAGTTTAAAGTGAGTCTCTTTGCATCTTAAAAGGGGAAGGAATTGTGACACTTTGAGCCATCCCATGCTTTTGACCGGTTGAGTTTCGAGTTCCCGGTGGTGTTCCTTCAGCCTACCGCTTGGGACTGTAAGAATGGAACGTGTCCAGATTGCGAAGCAAAGCGTAAGAGCCAATACCCACAATGCAGGTGACTTTGCAACATTGCAAATCTGCCAGTCTTTCGCAAGGGAAAAGGCGGTTTGGCCTGAACATGACGATACACTTCATGGCCCAAGCTTTCTGGCTCTGAAGACAGTCAAAAGGAAGTCATGTTCTGCTCTGTTCGGATGCATCGCCAAACGGTTTGATTGGGGGCTGGGTGCACGAGCCATAGATAGACAATGGTCCTGGCCCTACATGGCCTTTGTGGCCGCTGCTAGCCTGCGGCACTCTTTGCGCTCTGAATCTGTTAGAGACCACCGAGTTCTTCTTTGGACCTCTCACATTGCTAGGGACTCGGTTTTTGGTGCTTCCAGTTGACCCATGGACTGAAAGGTACAATGAGAGGTCAAAAAAACAAATTGGGGCCTGGACAAACAGGATGCCCCTCTGCAGATGGCCCATTTTGGACCCATCACACATGGCACAAGATGCACTGAGACCGGAGAGGTCCCACTTCCCGAAACCAGAAATCGCAAAGACGCGACTTGGTGGTGGAGCAAAGACACATGCGAAGACAAAAACTGGTTCGCCATGGGAGCCATTCCCAGAACCCTGAGAAGAGGGGTTTTGTTGTGCTGGAAGTGATGAAGGACCGCATGGCACGTTTTGTGGCAAACCTGAGAGGCTCTCCTGTAGCGCAATCTTTTGAGCAGGCCTTCCAGTATGACAGAAGAAGCCATTTCCACGCTACCTTCACTTGGTCATGTGTAGCGGAGGCTGCAATTAACATTCAGTTTGCTCGCAAAACACCAGAGGTTGGGAAGCTATATGTGGTTTGATAAAATTAGCTTACAACTCTGATTCTTAGCAGGGGAAGGGGCACTCACGAAACTACCAGCCAAAACCAATAAAACCAATGGGACAAACCATTCACGGAAATGCACAAAACCAGGGGGACTCACTAAAACCCCCACCAAGACCAGGGAACTGATGTCCATGACGGAAGCTGCGCTCAGGAAGGGGCACTTCGAAGTGGTTCGCCTGCTCTTGGACGCCCGGGGGGACGCCAATGGCAGCCTCTTCTCCAGTGCTCCGCCGCTCTGCGTGGCCGCAGTGGGTGGGCATTTGGACGTGCCGCGGTCGCTATGCTCCTTACGTGTTTACCTCTTTTGTTGTAATGCGTTCTTTTTTTTTCAACCAACCTCCAAGAGGCTTTTTGCCCCCATTCGGGATTTGGGGGTTGATCGATACTCCTGGCCCAATCACCATGGCTGACTTTTCCCATGGTCACCCTATGTTCATCGGACCCTTTGATCAACCCCACCCCAAGGTGGCTCCTGGTTTGTTCTTGTGTTTTTCCCGTTGGCTCCGACCCAACGCCGGGTGTCGGGTCATTGAAAGGTGGTCACCGCGCTGCTGGGCGCCGCGGCCGCGGTGGACACGGCGGACGCGCAGGGCAAGACCGCGCTGCACGCCGCAGCCCAGCAGCTTGGGTTCAAGCAAGGAGTCGTTGGCCCCAGAGTCATCCACCTCAGTTTGTTTGTACGGGGCCATTATTTTAACTGTGTCTTGTGGTTATCAAAGTCAGTAAATATATATATATATATAATTTCGCTTTACCCCACCACTTTGGGGGTGACTTTGATCAAAGTAAATTAATGGGGCCTGTTAGTATGGGCGTGATCTTGTCCATCTTCCGAAAGTGATGAATCCCGCTAAACCCAGAAAAGGGTATGTTGCTTGGCGGTTCCCAGCCATCCGGTTCCTTAGATTTCGATTTTGTTTTAGTGGTTGGGTTTCCATTTAGCCCACTAAAAGTTAAACGTTTAGCAGGGGATCTAAAAACGAACAGGCCGGGTGGGAGGGTTGCAGTGGCTGAGTGTCCCTCGGGGTGATGCTGAAGAGCTCCCTGGTGGTTGGGTTTTGCAAAGCCCCGTTCACTGGGTTTCTCCCGAGGTTTGTGGGCAAAAGTTTCCGTTTCATCGGTTGACCAACCCAAAGGGCAGGATCATTTCGTGCAGACGGCCCAGACATTCTCCCAAAAAGCCAAAGGAAATCGAATAAAAGATGCCAGCCCATAGTTTGTTGCACCCGCAAGTTAAATTGTCCTGCAACTGTTTGGACGCCTAGCTGTTGATACCCGACCAGGAACTTTGAATACCCATATCAAGCCACCAGTCTGAAAAGGAAAGAGTCTATTGACAAGGATTGTTTTGAACTGTCTCAGGCCCGTTGGTTGTTGGCACAAAGAAATGAAATATAGGCGACCGACTTTCTTCCGCCTCAAAGTGTCCCCTCCGCGTCTTATTCATGTTAGATTCATGTTTGCCTCCGAGTGCGCCAACCCAACCCAACAACCAACAACCAACAACCAACAACCAACACAACAACCGACGCAACCCAACAACCAACCCAACCAACCATGGCTCTAGCTGGGTTCAGTTCCGTGCGTGTCCCTTTGAGGCCAGTTCACTTGTGGCTGGGCTCGAGTCATTTCCCGCTGCTATCTACTTGTCCCAAAGAACGCCTAGGTTTGGTCGACCTTTTGGTTTTGTGCAGTTGAGTCAAAGTAGATGGCCCCCCATCTTGGTTTCGTTATCCACGTGACTTACCCACAAAAGATGTTTGCTATCTTCTTCAGCCACTGGCATAGTTTTTGAGGAGGCCCATTTTGCTGGTGAAAAGCGCAGGGCTAAGACTTTCCCAAAGGGAGCAATCCTTTCAGTTTTCCAGACCCAGTTTAGCGTTGTTGTTTGTCCTGAATGCGGTACTTGTTCAATGTCCCCAAAGGAAACCAGCAGCGGATTGGTAGTTGTAATTCCTTATTTTGGCAGAATCCCCGGCCCGACTTGACACCCGTTTGTAAGACTACTTAGTTTGACAAGGCTCAAAATCAAGGACCTCGAGCTGTTTGGGGTCTGGCTTTCGAAAGGGTACCCTTTTCAGGTTGGCTTCAAAGTTACTTAAAAAGAACACCAAGAGGAGGACCAGGGCCATGATTTGAAGAAACCCTCCCCCACCTCCGCGTTCTATTCTAGGTCCCCCAGTAGAGCGCCCTTTTACCCTTCTTTGGGGGAGGGTTCCCCTACTAAAATAGAGTACAGAAAAACAAATCGGGCACCCTTATTCTAACCTCTCTACTGGAGGACCTAGTTAAGTGTTTACCTCCTTTTTGTAAGGCGTTCTTCCCATTTTTCCTTTTTGAGGAAGGGCCACTTCGGGCTGGTGCAGTCGCTGGTGGCGGCCGCTGCCGACGTGGCCAAGGCCAACGACCACGGGCTCGGCCCGCTGCACGGGGCGGCGGCCGCGGGGCACGTGGAGGTGCTGCGCCTGCTATTGGGCGCTGCCCGGCGAAAGGGGTGGGGTGGGGTGGGGTGGGGTGGGGTGGGGTGGATCCGAAACTTGATCGAATCCCGTTTGGATTCGATCACACATATGCAAAACATGATCCTGAGCATGCAGGAGCCTATTTTGGTGAGAGTGGAGCTCTTGGATTTTGTTAGGTGGGATGTCTTTTTGGTGCTTATGCGAAGTATGATCCTGGGCATGCAGGAACCCGTTTTAGTGATAATGGAGCTTTTGTTGTTGTTAATGAAGCATTGCTGGTGAACATAAATACCCTTCTAAAGGGGGTCCATAAGTTTTCTGGGATCTCTTCTAAAAGCTTAAAGGATTTAGAATGTCGAGGTTCACGAACTATGGGCTAGAATCAAATATATTTCTTCCGGTGGGTAGCAAAAGCTGAGGTCCTCTAAAAACTAATGACTTAACATGGCTGGCGGGCAGAAGTACCTTGAAAGGGCAACCACACTCACACTGAGGTTGTTATATGTGATTTGTCTCCAAACGAGGAAACTCAACAAGTATGTCAATGGAGTCCTTTTGTTGCATTCCCCTCAACATAACACGAAAAGACACACCCTTAATTAAGCTGGTCCTTCTATGTGGATGTCCATGGGGGTGCCTGGACAGAAGCCTTACTTCCGAGGATCTGTACCTCAACCCTCCGAAGGTTCAATGTGGTCCCACATCAACATGACTTCCGGGCATGCCGCAAATCCCTTCCAATGGGGAAACGAAAAGGAGGTCGTTCAAGGAATGCAAAAGCTATGGCAACCTCACCAAGGCGTTTGGTTTGCAACCTCATTTTTCTGGAGGGTTGGTGGATTTGTAGAATTCGCCCAGTAGTTGTAGGTTGTTTCTCCTATATGTTCCTACAAACCGGTTCGACCTATTTGGGGATGGCTTAAGGGCAGGGCTTCCTAGATCTAGACATCACCTGATTGACCGTTGTTGATTCTGGTTCCTTTGGGTAGGATGATGTTTAAAGGGCACAGAGGCACCCGTTTTTATGTATGGTGACGCTGCGGGTTTTGTCAAATGTCAGGAAAGACTATGGTCAATTCAGGGCTCAAAGCCTTCCAAAAGCAGCACACACAAACAAAACAGACACACATGCCAAGACACACACACACACAAATGAACGCACACAAAGACACGCAAACAGAAGCACGGAAGCACGCATGCTGGTATGCAAATAAGACAAACACTAGGTCCCTAGTGCCCCTTTACCCCTTTTCTGGGGAGGGTTCCCCTATATACTAAAATAGACGACAGAAAAAAATCGGCACCCTTATTCTCTCCTCTCTACTGGAGGACCTAAACAGAATCAAAAGCTTCTTCCGAGGCCCGGGCGGACCCGGATCAGGGCTCGAAGGACGGGCGCACTGCGCTGCATTTGGCGGCGGCCGGGGGATTCCTGCAACCCATCCAGCGACTTCTGGAGGCGGGGCCGGCAAACGAGGAAGAGGTGGTTTCTTTTCCGCCAACAAAACGGGGATTCTAGATACCAGAATGTGGGTATGGGTCAAAATTAAACCACCAGGGAACCGCAGATTTTAGTCCATGTCTCCATTTCCCAGGGTTCCATTTTGGGTACATATTCTTGACCCACAGCCATGTCGAGTCTTACATGAAGTCCACAAAGGGGGGCCATTTCCCAAAAGAGACATGCTTGAACACTTGCAGAGATTGTCGCAAAGAAGGAAGTCGATGCAGGAACGAAAACACAAGTGCATGCGCTTGGTGGCGTCGCTGAAACCGGTTTCGTGCAAGTTCCAACAGCATGCAAATGTTGGAATAAGGAGTTGGCGAACCAGAGAGCAGAGGCGATTTGTTGGCGGAGCTCGTTTTGAAGCGCTTGGCTGGATCAACCAAGGCTACGGCTTCATATGCTGATGCAGTTTTCCCAAAGCTACGGTGATCATGAGCTATGATCACAGTTTTGGGGCAAAAGTGCAGTGCAAGCAGCCTCGCAATGTTGTCGACAATAAAAAGGGCATTTGACATGTATCAAGTGTCAGTGCTAACAAAGCGGAAACTCTTTCGGGTGTGTTTTGTGGGCCGCTTCTTCTTTGGCGCCCTGTTCGTCGTAATTGCGGGTACCCCCCAAAAGGGTCCTGGAGTCTTTAGAGAGGGCGGAACCTCTGTCGAATGGACATTCTGTGATTAATTTCGGGGGTGCTTGAAAGGCGTTGTCAACCTTCCAGCTGCACCGAATCACCATACTCAACCAGGTTCGCGTCAGGAGCTGCAGGAACGGGGTGGGATCATTGGAGATGGCCGCACTGTGCCGAATGGACATTGAAAGGGACGCCAAAAGTAAACCAAGAGGGTCTACCCTGTTACCCCTTTTTACGTGTCTTCAGGGGAAAGAAAAAGAACACCATCCACCCCCCAAGAGATTTCTCTCAAAGCCGCTGCCTCTTCACTGAGGCGGGGGCCGGGCTGAACCGCGGCAGCGTCAGCGGCGCCACAGCGTGTTGGATGGCGGCGGCCGCGGGCCACGTGGAGGCGGTGCTGTTTTTGGTCACCGCCCGAGCGGCCGCTTTGCCAAATTCAGACGGACAGGTGTGTGTGTGTGTGTGTGGGTGTGTGGTTTTCCGAATGCTTTGTAGATGGCTTCTTCATGTAGAGACACTGGTTTAAAGTGTTTTGGTTTTGGGCAGAAGGTGGTTTTGTTGCAAGAATTGGTCAGGAAGCAACGCCCTGTTCACTTGCAAATGACAAGTGTATTAGCAGCGGCTCCCTGGATTGTAGCAATCATCAAAGCTAGGCATGAACCCATGTTTATACACTTGGTGAACAAGATCCTTTACAACATTTGCCTGACACATCACGAGCCAACTGAACTCGTTCGGATCATCCTGTCAACATAATTCTACGGGCCAATCCATACTTTTCGTGCCAAACAAGCAGCAAACACTTTGACAAGGTTGCTCACCCAGCCCGTTAGGAAGCTGAAGAAGTTGTGTGCAACCCTGTTTCGGACGAACCCTTGTGACTCACAAATTACCCTGAGGTGGTACAGGCTAGAAATTCCGACTCCTCAGGCAAATACGGAATCCCATTCCCTGTATGTGGTAGGGATCCACCAAAAAAAAACTGGCAGCCCCCTTCTTCTTTGTTGTCCTTGGGTCAAGCGTCCACGACGGTTGGACCCCATAGATTTGCTCCTTTTCGGATCGCTGGGAAACTCTAAAGGGCGATTTCGATGTTTGCCCAGAGAAGACCCACTCGGTGTGCGTTTCTTCTTGTTTTTACAGATGGAGCAATCACGCACTTCATTCTGAGGTATCCACTACCCCAAGGTGTCCACTACCATTGCAGGTCATTGAGTGGCTCTTTATGCCAAAGCGCTGGACAGTGGCTTCAGGGAAATTTAGCAATCCCTCCGATTAGGATCTAGTTCCCCGCCTAAACCAAAAACGACTGGAACGTGAGTCCCTCATTTTCACGCGCTAGAAATCGGGCCGGCCTTCAGGTTGGTGAAGTCTAGTATTTAGATTCACTGTCATAGCCCAGCGGTTCACTCACAAGAGTGAACCAGTGCCCAGCCATTGCCTTAGACTTGATTCGAGTGTAGAGTGTATGACATACCAAGCTTCAAAAAAGGATCCTGGAAGCCTACCGGTAGGGGTAACCAAAACTAGGGTTCCGTTTTTTGGACTACCTAGGGGTAGACTTAAACTCAGGGGTGTCCCCGGACACCCCTGGGTTTAAGTCTGCCTGGTCAAAAGCGGGAACCCTGACCCCCTGACCTTGGTTTGACGCTTCATGTTGCGGAAGGACTTCACGGCCAGCAACCTCGACGGCTTGGCGCCTCTTCATGTCGCGATCAGCAATGGGCACCTGCAGGCTCCGGGCCCCCGGACAGGATATGAGCGGTTGAACATGAGGCGACCCGTTTTGGGGCTGGGTCGAAAGAGAAAACTACCACAAAATGGGCCACCCCGATTTTGACACAGCCATACGTTCCGCAGGATATGCCCTCTTGAAAAGCAACTACAGTTTTGTTGGGTGTCCATTCAAAGATTGAAAACGCGTCCAAGAAGAGGAGTTCCGAGAATATGGTCGAGTCTCATTAAATGAGGAAACGCACCCTCACCTGGTTGGCATCCATGACCAACCCAGCGGTGATATACATCATATGTATATATATATATATCATTATATATACATATCATTTTGGCGAGAAGGGGTATGAACATCAGCAAGCTTGGAATCAGTCTCCCAAGGGATGGACATTTGCAAGGGCATAATGTTCCCCGAGATCAAATGAACGTGGAACCCAAAGAAGGGCCCCCCGGAGATGCCTGAATCATGGAAGGGCTACGAGTTCTAATAGTGAACCACCTCAAAAGTGGGTGGTGGGCATGAATCGCCACCTAAATGATGTCCACCAAAGTGCAGTAAAGTTCACACCCAAAGGGCTTTATTTGTTCCACATTCTCCAAGCAAACACTGTCCCCATCGTTCAAGAGGGAACTTCCGCAGAGCCAGGTGGTCCAGAGCTTGCTGGGCGCCCCAAACGTCAAGGCCAAGGAGCGACCAGGTGATTCACAGAAGGCGAGGGAGCAGATTCTGCCGAGCCTACCTTCCAGTTGCTTAAGAATAGTTTTTGTTTGGCCCCAGTTGGGAGTATCGGGGATTCATCGCTACTGAACCTCTTTTCCAGGGGACTAAAGCAAATGGAAGATTCCAGGGTCCCGAATTCAAACTCCGCCTGAGTCTGAGCCAGTTCGACCTTGCTGGTTGCGACCTCCAGAGGGGTTCCTTTCTTGAGGGGCGGGAAACAAAGTTCGGTAAGTTCTCAAAGGAATAGCAAAAGAGAAAGCCTTTGAGAACTTGGCGACCATCGGGGCCACCTTGTTCTCAAGAAAGCCACCATCTATGGTGGCCACCATCTTGTTCTCAAGAAAGCCGCCATCTTTTTCAGAAAGCAAAGCCACCCTTCAAGTAGCATGGGTAGTTTTGCGAGCTAGGTCCCTTAGAGTTTCTTAGTTTAAGTTGATGGATTCATCTTTTTAAGGTCCCACCTTTTCGGGGCCCTTTCAGGTGATGGGCTGATATTACATGCTTTGGCTCTGCTTTGTCCAGCCGACTGCACATCCCACTTGCGCTGCACTTGGCGGAATATGGAGATTTATCAGATTCCCCCTTGTGACGGGGATTGATGCATTCGGGGGGAAGCTTCCTGAGTATGCCATCCTGATCATCCTGGCTCATGTCTTGTGGAGCCTGGCAAGACGCTGAGATCAGCTTCCACGGAACTCTTAGGTTCCATGGGGCGGGAATCGACGCCGGATCCCCACGGGTCATGATGACCCCCCAAAGGTTCTTTTCAGATCAGAAAGCCTTGGGCGTGGCTTCAGGGTGCAGAAATTCACCCGTTCGGACTCATCGAAGAACTCTGGACATGAGGGTTGTGCAAATGATTCACGCCACTCACCAAAAGAGCGGGTTGCCGTTCAATTCTTTCCGCTTCAGGCGCTGGGCAGTGCAGTTTTTTTGGCGGCAGAGACGGGGCAGCAGCACATCTTGCGGTGCTTGCTGGATGCCAAAGGCGATCTGGGGACGGGTGGAGCTTTCTGGGTCAACGTTAGCATCTTAGATTCCCAAGCCCTGAAACCCAGCACTGAAACCGTTCGAGTGGTTTTTCGCATCTATGATCCCCTGGCGCTGTTTTGACAGTTCCAATTGGTCCGAGATGATCCACAAACGCCCACCACGCATGCCCAATATTTTTCCCACCTGGGAACGGAGGCACCCTGCCACGAGTTACGAGCCCAGAGATACACACCTTAGTTGGCTTGTACAAGCTTATTGGGCAACTCTTTTGGGGGTCCTTTGCAGGAAGCCTAAAACGTGGCAATGTTTCTACTTGTCAGGTTGTCACTTCGGGGCCCCACTCTTTCTCTTGCTGAAAAGGAGCCAGGGACTGACCTTGATAGAAACAAGTCTGTTTTGCGACCTGTTTTTTCAACAACAGGCGGGCGGGTACCCTTCATGCCACCAAAGGCGGTTTGATTCTGCCTCTGTGGAAACTCCCGCAACATCAAATATGGCTCTTCTCAAATGAATACTGACATATAAATTCTGACGAAAGCATCAAGCAAAACCGGAGTTGCTCCGAGCCGGTTCCAAAAGATGACCAAATCCCCAAAAGTGCAGAACATTGTCTTTGTTTCATTGTTTTCCCTTTGGTTTTTATGTTTTTCATCCACCAACTTGTCACTGATTTCCTTTGGTATCCATTCATTTCTATTGGTCACCATTTGTTTCTATTGATTCCCGTTGGTTTTGATTGGTGTCCGTTGGTTTCCATTGGTTACCCATGGGTTCCGGTCGAAGCACCCCCACCCCCCCGGCACGTTTCCCTTCTCGACAGGTGCCCACCGCGCCTTCAACGGGCGCACGCCTTTGCACGTGGCGGCCAAGCGAGGCCACGACCAGGTGGTGCAGCTGCGGCCCGGAAGAAGTTTCGAACGCTCGCGCGAGAGCCAGCGAGATCAACCCGCGGTGCGCACTGTTCAGAAGAGAAGTCAATGTCCCCATGTCGGATTTTTCCGAAGGGAAATGCAGGGGAATTGTGGCATCTGCTTGAAACCCTGGAGATACAAGTGAATTTGGCATTTGATGTCTTGGTATATTCTCATGCGGGATGTTTCAAAATGGATTTGCACTAGAAGGTTCGTTATACTTTAGAGCCTCCGGCTCAGTCCGCCGACGTTGTCCTCTCCCTTTTCTCCTTCTTCCTCTCTCCCTTGTCTCCCTCGTGTGTTCTGTCGTCCTCTCTCCCTCCCTCTGCTCCCCATCCTCCCAATCCCCCCAAGCCTCTCTCTCCTCAATCTCCCTCTCTCTTTGTCTCTCTCTCTCTCTCGCTCTCTCTGTTTCTCTGTCTCTTTCTGTCTCCCTGTCTCCTTCCTGTCCACGCCCCTCTACAGAGAAAGGGTACCCTAACTCGAACCTCTCTACTCTCTCACTTTCTCGCTCTTTCTCTCTGTCTCTCTCTCTCTCTCTGTCTTTCTGTGTCTCTCTTTCTCAGTCTCTCTCTTTCTCTCTCTCTCTCTCTCTCTCTCTCTGTCTCTCTGTCTCTCTCTCTGTTTGTCTCTTTCTCTGTGTCTCTGATTCTGGCTCTGTCTCTGGCTCTGTCTCTGTCTCTCTCTCTCTCTCCCTCTCTCTCTCCCGCTCCCTCCCTCTCTCTCTCTCTCTCTCTGTATTGCAGCGTCACGTCCCCCCTGAATTGCCTCGATGTCCGGGCACTGCCCCTTCATGACCCTGAACTGTCATCTCACTCCTGGTTTTTTTGCTTGATTTCCCCTTCATGTCCTTTTCACGTTTCCCATGATGTGCTGGTCATGTCCCTTCCATGCCTTTCAACTCCCCCTTCAGGTCCCTGACATGTTCTCGGTATGTCCGCTTCATTTTCCATGTATGTCCCGTTCTTTCGTTGCGAGTCATTTCCCTACTTCTCCCGTCGTGCCGATTGGTGTCCTTGTGCTTCGTTTCCCTCTCATTCCCCCTGCACTCCCCTTGTTTTCATTTCTGTCCCTTGCATGTCCCTTTCAGTTCCCCTTTGTTTCCCTTTCATTTCCCGCTGCTTTCCTGTCATGTCGACTTCCTATTTCCTCCCCTCATTTCCTCGCACTTCCTTGCATTTCCCCTTTGCTCCCCAATATTTCCCGCAAAAAAAACACGGTTTTTCCAGCTTTCGCAATTAGGACGTCCAAAAACAGAGAGTTTTTCCAGATTTTCGGCACAAGGAGGCAGGAACCCCAAACCAGCAAAGAACCGGCAGGGGGAATCGAGCCTGGGACCCCTGTTTTGCGACACCGGCTCCCCGAAGACTACGCTTAGTTCAAATTGCCGCGCGGTACGTGGGGGTGGGGCGGGGCCCTTCCGCCTTGGGTGTCCGACACGCCGAGCAATGTCGGCGGATATGGATCGGTATGGACCTCAGAGAACGGGCATCTATGGGTAAGGGCTTATGGCTAATCCTACCCACAGCCCCCGTGGTTTGCCGGCACCCCCTAATCCACCCTTGTCCAGCACGTGGTTCAAGCATGGCACCCTTTACTACTCAAGTAGCAGAGCTCGTGCAGCCATACCTTGACAAGTGGTGACCTGCTTTCTCTTCAAAACGTGGGCCCGTTGTACCACGAGCGCATGGGTAGCAGGCAGGTCTTGGGTTCTTTAGGGTTTTGGTTTAGGGTTTTAGGGTTTAGGTGTAGGGTTTTTGGGGTTTAGGTTTAAGGGTTTTAGGGTGAAGGATTCTGCAAGCAGGTTTGGGCTTTTTAGGGTTTAGGCTTAGGGTTTTAGGGTTTAGGCTTAGGGTTTCAGGGTTTAGGTTTAGGGTTTTTAGGGTTTAAGTTTCTGGTTTTTAGGGTTGAGGTTTAGGGTTTTTAGGGTTTAGATTTATGGGTTTTAGGGTTTAGGTTTCGGGTTTTTGTGTCGGGGCGTTGGTTCGTGGCGCAGGCAAACCTCAGGGGCTGGCCGTAATCCTAGCATGATTCCCCAGGGCCCAGAAGGAAGGGAGTGAAGCCAAGTGAAGTTTTCAGGATTCGTCGATTTCCCCTGCTAGCTTCAGGGGAAGTTTGCTCTTTTGTATGTGTTTCTTCCAGTTGGCTTCGAGGGAAACTAACATGCAGCGATTCCATTTGCCATTGGGTTGCAGAACACACCATCCGGGTTCCGGTCCTTCTCCTTCCATTTGCCGACTTGGGAGGTTTGTCGACGTTCGGCGGAGATAATTTTTGTGTCGAGGGTTGAACCCACGTGAGGAAGCACCCAAAAAAGAAGATTTGGAGGGCACATGTTTGAGGGTTGGGTTTGAAGGAATGCCCAAGAGAAACCACCCAAGTTGGGGGAGCGGTTCGTTTTTTTGGCTTGTTTCCCCCTGCTGGTTTCCTCTCGGTTTCCACCCACAAAAAAAATAAATGCCGCTATATACCACACACGACGTTTATGTTCCATTTGGGGGGTGGGACCTTCAGGTTGCTGGAGAAGGGCGTAACCAACGAGACGGATGATGACATGAGCCCCTTACACGTGGCGGCGGAAGGGGGCCACCTCTGCACTGTGCACCTGCTGCTTTGTGCAACTTGGACGGACAGCCGAGGCCTCGGGGCGAAACCCATGATCATTTGTCCATTTTACAGGGCTAACGAGAAGGATGGCTTCAAACGTTTTGGGAAACCAATTTGTTTGGGGAGTTTCCTTGTGGGGTGATGCTTCAGGGTGATGTCCATGCTTTGGGGTTGGAAAATTTGTATGCACTGGGCGTGGCCAAGCACCGATAGGGATCTGACCTTTTGGGGGTAGTCTGATCCGATTATCAATGTTCCGGAAGCTCAACCTTTTGTCGCCTTTTGGGCAAGTGGAAGAAGTTGCTGTGTATACCTTGCGCATGTCTTCATTCGCAGGTGGATTGTGGAATGGTTCTGGGTACGTTGTGCGCCAGTAGTGCTCTATGCCCAGCATCCAACACAACGCACGGTTCATGTCAGCAGCGAGTTGTAGTAATTCAAGAGAAATTGACAGCTCACATGTAGGAAGTCAGCAGGATTGTGTGGTTTGGTTTTGCAGATTAATTTGGAAGGATGCAACATCCGACTTCAATGGTTCCAAATGGATGCGCAGCGATGCTTGGCGACATGCAGAAGTCGTTCCCAGTTGGGCAACATACACACACACACACACATGCTCGTGCATAGTCATGTTCTGCGCTTGGAGGCCGCAAACTGGGACACAACATGACTCACTAGATCTGTTCCGGTCCCAGAAGAGAGTTAGCTGTCAGTCCCGCACAAGGCTTCCAGTGGTTCCTTTCATAAGATCCCAGCGAAGCGACCGACTCCCTGCATCCGGTGTGCTTTCGCAGGTGCCCCAGAAAACTCTTGAAGATCGTGCATGCGGGTGCCGGCTGGTTCTGGTCGCTCCAATGAAAGAGCAAACCCAAAAAATGATCAGTGTTTCCCGCAGCTATTGAGCAAACTCGGGCAAGTTGTTTTGAGGCAGCCTAGGGAAGCCGCGACATGTTTCAAAGCCAGGCTATCAACGAGATTCAGACTACTCTCCGCTGTATCTTTGGAGGTTGGGCACTTTGATTGAGATAAAGCTGAGAATTTGGATAAGCCCACCAAATCTTGGCATAGTCAGCGCGTGTTTTCATGTCCTGCTGGGACCATGTTTGCAAGAGACGCTTTTCACGGCAGCTTCTTGTTTTAGGTCATGCCGAGTCATACCGAGCAGAGACTTGCCATTGGACTCCCTACCTCCTTCCTTGTTGCTTTGTCGTTTTGCTGCATTCCAGTCTTGGCTTTCAAGGTATGATCACGTTTGTTCAGCCCTCAGCAAGGGCCTGAAAAGCGATAATCACGAGTCGCACAGCAAGCTTTGACCGTGCCAGTTCCTTTCTGGACGTGTGTAACTTGGTATCTACTCATTTTAATCAAGCCTCCAAATCGGACAGATTTCAACACTTCAGGGGATTCAGGTTGCACTAAGTTGATCGAAAAGCTTGAGCTTTGACGTCCCCGGGAGTTGGACACAGAATCTCGCATTCAAATACTACCGCTTCCTGTTGAGTCGATGAGTCTTGCGGCTTGGGCCAAGGCAAACGCTGATTGTGATGGCCTGGATGCAGACAGCAAGACGCCACTGCAGTATGCGGCCCAGAATGGCTCTCTGCAGATTGTCCAACGCCTGCTTCTTGCCTTGAGAAGTCATGCTTCAAAGTCTGAATAGAGTGTTGTTGTTCCCCCAAGAAAATTGGTTTGTCTCTGAACATTAGAACAAGGGGGCCCGCAAGCCATGAAAAACACATTCATGAAACCAAACTGCATATCTAACAGAAAGACAAGCGAAACAAGTGCTCGATTTTTTTGGAGGGCAGTTGCCGTTACCTTTGTTTCATGTCTGTTTTGGATAACTTGCACTCGTGAGTGCAGTATAGCCATAATAAACGGAAGAGGACCTTGGCACTCAGCCTTGGTCCACGGGAAGCTAGCGCAGTCCTGGCGGGTGGTGGATCTCCAACATGTGAAAATTTGCTTGTTTCGTCCTTAGATGGGTGGGTTCCCCATGAGTTTTACGTTGAAGCAGTGCCCTGTACCAACGAACTAGGAGTCAAGCCCTTCTTTTCCGCATGAAAGTCGCCGGTTGCAAATCAGCACGCCCTTCCCCCAAGAAGTTTACCATCTGGCCATTTGGTTCAGGGGAGCATGGTGCAAAGGGACACCGTCAGTCTTCGTATGGCAGACAGGGGCGCAATTTCCACAGGGCGTCTTCAAGGGTAAGGAAATCTAGAGCCAATGTAACTTGGGTTTCTCCTCCCGCTTCCAGCAGGGTGTTCGTCGATCGAGGCTCCTGGCACATGCGGATCCCAACAAGTCGGTTTGCGGCTATCCGCCGCTGCATGCAGCGGCCTCCAAAGGTCATTTGCAGGCGAGCAGACAGCGAGGTCATCCGGGGGTGCTACCAGTGACTTGTTGCCTGCAGCTCGGTGAGCCCAACATCTTTCATCCAGAATTATTTTATCATCTGACACCCATTTTTTGGGATGAACCAGGACCCCGTCAAGAGGGTGGATTGCCCACTGGAAATTTCTGAAAGCACCAAAATCCACTGTTCAGGCAATTATTGCACTGGCTTTGCTAGGCAAGCACCTAGCTAGGGCAAAGATGGTGTCCGTGGTCAGAGCCTTGTAGTCTCTGTCAAACGATGTATGTGTTCTAGTCCCAGGTAAATCTATCACCATTTCGGTTATCTATCCATGGCATCCATCCCCCATTTTGTCGCTATGTGTTCAACTCAACCTTACTGTCCTTCCAGACATTTGGATCGGGAATGCGTTTGTTGATTGTTGACTGTGCTGGGGTTTGCGTACCTACACTTGGGTTGCCCTTGAAAGGGAGGTCTGGTGGTTTAAAGCAATTTTGGCCCACCCCTGCTGGGACACTGGTGCAGAAACGAGAGCTGACAACTACCGCAACAGGCCAAGATAAAGTGACCAGAATGAGTGAAAGAACACGCATGCGACATGCGCAAAAGCCAAGCCGCACATTCAGGAGCAAACGGCAAGCCTCACATTCACTTGGGACAACTGCAACAAATGGCTTGTTGATTAGTGTCAGAAATTCCAAAAGTTCTAACCTGTAACAAGCAGTTGTACATACCCCGTTTGCATGGCTCTGGTGTTGCAAAGCCACCGTACAATGGCTACATGCCACTCAAAACAAGGTCAATGATTGTGGCAGTCGCGCAAAAATCAAACAAAACAAACAACACAGTTTCCGAGAGGGAATCGCGGTACCTGCGCTTCGTTTTTTTAGTTTGTTCGTTGCAAAGAAAGTCTCACTTATCCAAAGCTGAGCTGTTGAACTCTGTTGTGTCAGTTCCAAAAGCGTCAACCATTATGTCTTTTGTTTTCAAGTGCGGTCCAACGACACTTGCTTCCTATGTTCAGAAGCCTTTTCCCTTCCTTTACCATTCCTTTTCCCCGTTGCCCCGCCACCAAGTCTTCAAATGTCCAAGCAAACACATCATCCTTGAAAGGGTGGAGACATGAAAAACACCCCTTGGGTCAACAAGGATGTCCTCAATTTACTGCTACAATCCAGGGTTTTGTGGTTGGAGGTTGAGATCACTTGCAATAATTGGGCGTGCCTTTTGTTGATCCCCCCTAAAAGAACGAAAGATGGTTTCATTCTGGTGTCTCTTGAACACCACCACGGCCTTTGTTTGACGCTGCCCTTTTTTGTGTTTTGTTCCATCGCCATTTGCGGGCTGCCGAAAAAAGAGACGCGCAATTCGCGAATCCAGTGTCTTTTTTTCGCGCCGCCTACTCCAGGTGGTGCGGCACCTGGTGGAAGCTTCCGCACAGGTCCAGGAGATGTGCTTCGGGGAGACGGCGCTGCATGCCGCGGCCGCTTTGCTTGAAAGGAGAAATGCACTAGGTCCATTTGCTTGAGAAGATGTTTCTCTCCCAGTTGGGGGTAAAGAGAATCTACCACTGGGTATGTATGTGTGTGTATATATATATATATACATACATATGCGTTTTCCAGGGGGCTTAAGCAAATGGAAGACTATGAGGGCCCTAACAAAGCCTTGCCTTGGTTGACTTGATTGCAGTCTTAGCCTGTTTACTTGCTTACTTGTTTGCCTGCTTGCTTGCCTGCTGGCTCGCTCGCTCGCTTGCTTGCTTGCTTGCTTGTTTGCCGGTTTGGCTGGTCGGCTGTTTGGTTGGTTGTTGGGTTGCTTGGTATGTTTAGTGGGTGGGTTGTTCGGTTTACGGGCCTTGGTTGGTGTTGGGTTGTGGGAGACTTTAAAGCGCCATCAAGTCATGATCATTGGAGAATCATGTGCGTATTGTTCAACCTCTTGCGATGGCAAGGACACTTCAGGTTTGGCTGGGTGCTAAATCCAACAGACTCCAACACAGGAAATAATACGTAGACATTTACATATGTATATATACATATCTATAATACCTATATACATATATCCATACAATTACTGTTTCGCTTTTAGCGAAAGTATATGTTTCATGTTGGCAGGTGGAGCAGGGCCACATCGCGGTGGCATCTTACCTTCTGGAGATGAAGGCGCCGCAGAATGCGCGGAAGGATGGCAGGAGCGGGCCGAACATCGGTCCAATCCGCACAACGGGGACTTGGCATGAATATGGGTGAATCATAACGACCTCACACTACCCAATTCACCCCAAATGGTGGTTTATCTGGGAAATATCCCCCCAACCACCTGATTTCAGGTTGGTGAAATAATTGAATTCACCCAGATGAATACACCCTTGGTTGATACGTACAATGTACAAAAATGCCCCTTGTGTTGTTCAAGGTGTGTTAATGCAGGATCGACATTGGCTCAGCGAGTTGTCAAGATGGTAGGGCACCCCTTCAGGCACCCCTTCAGGCAACGGGGACTGGGGATGGCCAAAGGGAAGCCAGCATTTGGGAAGATCCCTGTTTGTGACGAAGATTCTGACGATTTGTTTTGCCGTTTGAGGAAAAAAAACGCAGGACGCCACTCTGCGTGGCAGCCCGCAGCAAGAACTTGGAGATGGTCCGGCTGCTGACGCCCAACGCCATGGATCTCACAAACCCGCTGCACATCGCAGCGGACCACGGGCACTTGGCGATCCTCCAGTGCTTGTTGCTCGGCTGTTTGGTTTCACCAAACTTAGAAAGCCCAGTGTGAACCCATGAACTAGCTAAAACATGAAGGTTGGCCGAAGCCACCCCCAAAGGTTTGAACGAAACCATGGGTTTCCGTTTCTAGTCGAACAATAGAAAGAGCATTCCCGCAGGTCAACTTTAAACGCTTTGGAGAAAAACCTGGTTTCAGCAAGTGCAGGCAACTTGTTGCAAGTCAACTTGAACCACCCAGGTTGGAAGCACGGGCGACCCGAAGTCGAGTGGCAATCCGGACGTTTTGGCCCACACTGACTTTGCCGTCCATGCCTCGCCTCACTTTGCCTCGCCTCACTTTGCCTCGCCTCACTGTGCCCCGCCTCACGTTGCCAGACATTTCTTGGCCCGTGAGCCTGCTGGGAGTGTGGCTCCGGGCGTCGCCAAGCCGCCCGAAGCCGAAGCCCAAGACGCCCCTCTCGCCCCTCTCGCCGAAGTCCTTGCCACTGCGCGCCCTGCGCCAGGCCTCGCCCAAGAGCGAGCGCTCCGAGCGGAGGACGTCCCCCGTGGCCCCCCGGGCCAAGGCTCCAACGAGCGGCTCACCGTCTCCAGTGATGTCTCCGTCGCTCAAGGACACGCTGGATTCCTCTTTGGTGTCGGCCTCACCTGTGACTTCACCCGAGAGAGCCACGTTGGCAAAGCGAAGCCTGCACAATGTTGGGGCATTGGCACTGGCTTTGCAGTTGAAACTGCGAGATGTCGGCGCCTCGGCATCTGCCATTTCTTCAGACAGGCGCAAGCTCTGTGTCTGCGCCTCGGTTGGGGTGATTTCTACTGTTTGTGTGGGCATCCTCGTTGTGCAGCTCAAGCAGCTGACAAGCATCGGCGGCATCATCAAAGCGCACGCTTTGGAGTTTTGCCCGCTGTCATGGCGGGAAGGCGCGGAGTGAAGCATTTACGCATCAGTCTCAGGCCTCTTGAATTTGCAGATTTGTGCATCAATTCAACCATCTCAAATTCAGTTAGAGATTAATGAATTATTCTAGATGTCAATGCCAAAAGGTTAGATACTATTTCAATTCGATATACAATGAAATATTTGAATTCATGATATGTATATATATATATAGGATTTGCAAAAAATGTGTTTTTGTGTCTTTTACGTTAAAGAAGGCGCTAAGCTCGATGTTAGTGGTGTTTAATATAGTTTAGTGGTTTTTAATATAGTATTTGAAATAATATTTATATATTTGGTATTTAATATTTTGTTTATTGTTGTGCTTGGTGTATATGGGTTGTTTAAATATAAATAATTTAGAAATCATTTGGTATATTAATTTTATTTAAAATTATATTGATTATTGGAAGATTATAAAATAAATATGGGTTTTAATTTATAGAGTAAGAAGATTATGTTTAGCGATAATTTGTTTATTTATATTAATGAATTTTTGAAGATTATATTGAATTTTATTGAATTAAATATTGGATTAATTTTTATATTGAATATTATTTAAATTTATGGGGAAAAAATATATTTATATGATTTTGGTAGTAGCTAATAAATATTTAATATAATTTCTATTGTAATCTATATTTGGATAAATGAAACATATTCTTTTATGATTGTTGATTATTTATATATTTCGTTGAAATTTATTAGGCTTAATACAAGATATAGAAATATTTAACGATTTTTCTTTTTAGAATTTTATGTTTAATTCCGGCGTTGGCATTGGCGATTGCTATATTTATGGGTTAAAAACAATATTTTAAGGTATATAATTCATTAAGGACAAAAGCTGTATATTTGGCTAAGCAAATTTTCCATTGATTTTCGTACTTTTCCGGTAGATTTTTATATTTTTCCCACTGATTTTCGTGTATTTCTCGCCGATTTCCATGCATTTCTTGTTTCTACATTTGGTACACTCTCATGGGTGAAACCAAAGGCTTTGGCAACAATGTTCTCTAAGACCGGGAAAACAAAAATATCGCACGATTCTTGAGGCAGAAAGGCGTTTTGTTGGGTCCTTCTGAAATCTGGTGAGTTCATGGGTTGAGAAAATTGCAAACTCACAAAAACGGCAAGGAAGCTGTCAGATATCGCCCCATAGCACTTATAACGGAATTAAGTATGACGGGCCATTTAAATTACAAATTGTATTCATGTAGATCCATATGTCCCATAAACGCTCATAGCCTGCTAAAAGCGATTTCCGTTAAATATCCTCCAATATATATATATGGATTTATTTTCTGCATGTATGGAAATTTCAGTACTTTTGGAGGGTTCAGATATATATATTTTATGTGTAAGGATTTGTGTAATGTGTTTTGTTATATTAGTTTTACTAGAAATTATTTTGTTTTATGATTGGTTATGGGTTGGTTAGCTAATAATAATATAGTTTGTTAAGTAAATATAGATTTAGAGGGAAAATATGTTATTTAGTGATAGATTGAATAATAGTGTGTTTAATGAATTTTATATTGAATATTTATTAAAACGTATATTGAATAATATATTAAATATTATATTGAATATTATTAAATTCTAGAAATTTTCATTTTATATTTTTAATCTATTAATTGTTATTTTTCTTTTTTTTAAAGAAAATTGTAATTTGAAAAATTTTGTACCATTTTAATAATATTTAATATAATGTATAATAATTTTTAATATAATAATATTTAATATATTATTTATTATGATGTTTAGTGTATATATTTTGCACATAAGGTCTGTTTAAATATAGCAATTGCACCGTCTTTGGCAATTCTATTCTGATATTGAATAGGCTACGCACCCCGTTCCCCGTTTTCAATGTTGTTGGCATTCACAAGGTGATATAGGATTTCGGTTATTCTAAAGCATTTGTAAATACAGCCCTTAAGTTTCTAATGCTAAATGGGGAGCATAAGGATGATGTTCCTTATTTAAAAAAAATAAATGATGTAGGATTTCGTTCGTTAACAATAAATTTAAATATATATATATATATGGAGGAAGTTAATTTGTTGTGACGTTTGGCGAATTTTGTGAAAAATTAGATATATTTAATATTTATTAATTTTAGAAAACATAAATAATATAATATTGTAAAAAAAAAAATAGTAATATATTAATTATATTTCAATATAATATTTATATATTATAAAATTTATATTAAAATTAAAATTATTTTAGATTTTATATATATAATATGGATACAATATATGGAGACATATAGATATTGAATTAATATAAGGTATTCAATATTTATGAAAAATAATAGGTATTTTATTGAAAACAAATATTATATATTAAAAATTATATAGAAAAATATTTTATAAATTCGATTGATTTTATTATAAATAATAATGGTTAATCTAATATTATATTATTTTTTTTTGGAAAAAAACCATATAATTACCAAAGGAAATTTAGAAGGAATTTCCGTGTTATGGCAACTAATTAAAAGCCAGCTCTCGCTGAGACAGATAAAGAGAAGGAATAAGCGCGCGAGAAAATATGTGCGCGCGTGTAGTAGGAGTATCGAATGCTGCAAAAAGCATGGCCCCGTGCGTGAATTAGCGTCTCCGGAAAGCCGAAAACTAGCCTGTTCGCGGCGCTTGGTCGGACCACTCTCGGAATGCGTTCGGAGCGCGTTCGGAGCGCAGGCCCATTGGCACGGCAACGCGAAGGTTTCGCCAGGTTTGCATTGCGTGGCAGGCGCAGTTCTTTCGCAAGGTCAGGTTCAGATTTCGTAACAGGCGCAGCAATTTCAAGGTTTGAATGGCGTGGCAGGCGCAGCACTTTCGCAAGGTCAAGCACAGATTTCGTGGCAGGTGCAGCACTCAAGGTCAAGTGCAAAATTCGTCAAGGTCAAGTGCAGAATTCGTAGCAAGTGCAGCACTTTCGCAAGATCAAGTGCAAAATTCGTGGCAAACGCATCACTTTCGCAAGATCAAGTATAGATTTCGTGGCAGGCGCAGCACTTTCGCAAGGTCAAATACAGATTTCGTGGCAGCCGCAGCACTTTTGCAAGGTCAATTTTCGTAGCCGGGGCTCGAATATCACAATTTTTATTCACGAAAGTAGTATACGAAGTCAACTTTCGTAGTTAGGGCTTGAAAATCGCAATTTTTAAGTACGAAAGCAGTACGCGAAGTCCATTTTCGCAGCCGGGAATCGAAAATCGCAATTTTTAAGTACGAAAGTAGTACGCGAAGTCCATTTTCGTAGCTAAGGCTCGAAAATCGCAATTTTTAAGTACGAAAGTAGTACGTGAAGTCCATTTTCGCAGCTAGGGCTTAAAAATCGCAACTTTCAGATGCAGATATAGATGGATAAATGGATCGATAGATAGACAGAGTGATACAGAGAGAGTTATAAAAATACATAGATAAAAATAGATAGATAGAGAAATAGACAGATAGATAAATAGATAGACATGCAGGAAATAGATGGAGAGATAGATAGATAGATAGATAGACATGCAGGAGATAGATAGAGAGATAGATAGATAAATAAATAAATAAATAGATAGAAAGAGATAGAGAAAGAGATAGAGAGATAAACATATAGAAAGAAAGCAATAGGGAGATAGACAAATAACAAAAAAAGAGATAAAAAGAGAGAAATAGAGAGATAAATAGTTAAATAGATAAACCGACAGAAGATAGATAGACAGCTAGATAGATAGATAAATAGAGAGATACATAAATAAATAAATAGAAAGAAAGATAGAGATATAAATAGATAGATAAGTAGCTGGATAGAGAAATAAATTAGATAAATAGATAAATAAATAGATAGATATATAAATAGATAAAGAGATAAATAGATAGATAAAAATAAAAAGATAAGCAAATAGAGAGAAAGAGAGAGAAAGAAAGAGGTAGATAAAAAAATAGATTAAACAAGAAATAAATAAATGGAAAAATAGAAAGATAAATAAATAACTAAATATATAGACAGAGAAAAAATAAAAGAAAGAACAGCACAAAAACAAACAAACGAAAGAAAGAAAGAAAAAACAAATAGAAAAAAGGAAAGAAGGGAGCAAAGAAAGAAAGAAAAAAAAGAAGAATAACGGAGAAAAAAGAAACAATGAAAAGGCAAAAGAAAAGAGAAGAATCAAGAAAAGAAAGAGAAAGAGAACTATAGTTTTTATATTTTTTAAATTTCCGCCCACCGACTTTACCGGTTTTACTAGTATAATATATCTAACTATTAAAAATGAAATATATATTAAATCGAATTATAAAATTATAAATAATATATATATATATTCTAGAAAGAATAATATTTTTATATATTTCCTAATAGTTGAATATTTTGGCATTTCAATTTACATAGGCTCCGGGCGGTTTGGGGCGGCCCTAACATAAACCTTCCCAATAATTCTATAAAAATTCCATCAAGATTCCACCAAGATTTTACGAGAATTCCACAAAATTCTATGAGGATTAAGCGATACGAGCATTAAGAAGAGCCTCGTATGTTATTGTCTAAATATGAATAATTAGTAATGATTAATAATTATTTTATTTATTCTATTAGATATTTAATCTATATTTTTTAAGATTTAATAATATATTAATAATATGTAAGTTATATATATATATATATTTCTATAAATTTAAAATTATTTTAAAAAAACAATATAAACATATTAGATTTTATTTTTTTATTTTTAAAAAATAAAAAATAAATAACAATTCAATAATATTAAACCATATTAGTTTAATTAAATTATTGTTAAACCAATACATTATTTCAATTATTTGTAATTTGCAAAAAATAAAAATAAAAATAATTAGATTTATTCTCAATTATATAATATTTAATAAATATAAATTATATATATATATATAATTTATAATTATATATATCTATATATTTATATCTATATACCTATCTATATCTATATATATATTTATAATAATCAAATAAATTATCTTAAATCAATATATTTCAATCTTCTTTATATATTCAAAAATATATTAATCTATTCCATTATATCAACATATATATATATGGTTATAAATAATTATAAATATACATAATAACATTTATTTCCTTTATTATATCCCAAAATTATTAATGTTAATTATTATTTCTTATAATATATTATTTTAAATAATTTATATATTTATATCAATATAAATAAGTATTAAATTAACCAAAAAATATAAATGTTAATTCATTTCCAATTATTAGATTTATATGTTAAATACCTATTATTAACCCACAATTATAAAATAAATTATGACAATAATTATCAATTGTGATGTTTGTTTTTTTTCAATTCCCATTTCAATGATGAGCGTTGTCTGGCTATGCGTTTCAGAATAAACCTCCTATTAGAATAAATACTAAATGCATCCTGTGGGACGTGAATGATGTTTGGGCCCAAAAGTTTCGCCTGATTCGAGGGGAAACAAAAGATTGTAAAGTGGTGGGCCCCAAAACTCCATCTACTTCTTCCTCTTCTTCTTGCCGCTGCTTGAGCTCGACCTGAAAGGCCCAACACTTCAGATCTTGCGAAGGTCAAGACATCCCTTCCTAACCCCTGGAAAGGTTGACACCGCAGGGGTTCGTTCTTTTGACCCATGGGCCAAGCACCGCCAAACTGTTTGTGGGATCCGGTCCGGTGACTGGGCAAGATCAAGTTTGCTCAACAGAAACCCGAGAATCGAAGAGCAATCAGGGTTGACCTGGACAAAAGGATCATGGCACCCTTGCTGAGGTGTGAACGAGGAGCGCTTGCGTCTTCGCTTTCTGGATTTTGACCTGCCGGGTCGAAAACATGGAGCGAGTTCTTTAAGGGGTTAGGACTAACCAGAATAAAAGGCTAATGTAAAGGCACCTAGTGAAACATTCGCTTCTCAGATTTTTTTCATCAGCTCCTTGAACAAACTTAGGGAAAAACCTAGAGGTTGCAAGAGCAAAGAGCTTGCTTCGACTGCGCCTCTTCTTCTCCTTTTTGTCCTCACGGCGAGGGCGAAGGACCCCTTCGTTGTCTGTATAAAACCGGGCACCTTTTAGCTTCGAGGGGTACACAAAGACAACTGGCTAGGCCCGAAAAACGGCGCTGGGCCCGATTTGGTGGGCCCCATCTTGATACAAATATACCTAAAGTGAGGCCCTGAAAACCATCTGAAAGACTGCGGCTATCCGCGGCTTGGTTTTTAACACACGTTTCGACCATCCCCTTGCAAAATGTTGAGAAGTAGAAATTGACCCTTGAAACAAACACCTGGCAGGGAAGGTCTTGCTACGTAAAGACTACCACTTTGAGACCTTAGAGACGTTTTCAGTGCCACTTTGGACCCTTGACGACTCCGAGGGTTGAAAACATCCACCTCAAGGGGTCCCCAAATCTGAGAACCCACCAGCTCGCACAGGGTGCCAATCTTGGTGCCCGGAAAAAATGCTCGCACTTGAACCCTGTTCGGGTTCTTGGATTCCAAACCGTTTTACACCAAAAACCCCAGCCGAATCAGCCCAGCAACCCTGCCAACGAATTCCTTGTTCAGCTCGATGCTGGCTTGCGCCACTTCGGCAGCTTCTTTCAAGGCCTGCGAAAGGTGGGACTGAGACTGAGGAGCTGCACGGTTAAGTTTCGCCTTTCCGTTTCGCCTTTCTTGGCAAAGGGAAACCAAAGGGACACACTCTGTTCTTTGGTTCTTTTTTGGGGTCGCCTCCTTTTGGGAGACACCCACCTGCATCAAGGGATGTCAACATACTGTCCACTCTTGCTCGTTCGGGGCTGTCAAGATGGGGAAATCACAATTGGACGGTTGAAGAGACATCTGGAGAGGTCCCAAATTCTAAGATTTCGCCCAAGCACAGCTGTTCACCCAATTGCCTGGGACACGGTCTCGCCCTGGAACGGGACCTCAATCAGCGGCATCGGAGCTCTCGCGAGAAACATCTCTGCGGCTCCCACAATCCCTTCTTACGTGGCATCCACGGGATATGTACTGCACTGACTGCCATTGTCATCCAACAACCCGAATTCATGAATCCTTTTCTGGCGAGCTCGCCACCATTGCTACATCCCTCAGCAAGCCATAGGCCGCTGCAAGCGCTGGAGCAGGCTCGTTCAGCGGCGGAGGCTTTGGTGGCTCCTTGCGTTGTCTGCCCCCAGCTCTTGGGAGAAGTGGGGGGGCCGGGAGGGTTGCGGGGTCGCCGAATTCCACCTGTTCTCGGGAAAATGGATTGCCCTCCAACTCCTTTTGTTTAGGGGTAGTCATCAAGGTTGGGCCCCCTGTTCAAACAGGCCTTCTTGCAATCCGCTTTTGGCTCAAGGGGTCTGGGGCCAACATCTTGCCCGGGCGTGCAGTCCTGCGGCTCTTCTCCCAGCAGCTTGGCTGCAAGGTTACGCGCATTTGCCAGCGCCTGGCGGCAAGTATCAACACGTCGACACATGAGTCGTAATCAAAACCTCGGTGCGATCTATTTGGGTCCGCAATCTGACATCAGCCAAAATGACTCACTGGCAAAAGCCGTCGGCCATGCTGACCACTTTCTGAACAGCTACTTGTCTTGGCCTCATCGAGTAACACAAATATGCCGGCTATGTCCATCACGTTTGTTTCCTGAAGTCTGTGGTGGAATGCTATCTAAATGGTCTACCCAGAACCATGTAAAGGATTCAAATTGGCGGCACCCATTTCTGGTTCGGACTATCCCGTACTAATCTTCATCTACCCTGGTTTTGATTATCAAACCCTCCGGCCGAATGCACACAGAAGCTAGAAGTGACAGCAAATGGCCCAGGTTCACCTTAACCACGGCCGTTTCTCCACTGCGCTTTTCGAAGTACGTAAACGACATACCCATGCCAATGGTGGCTGTACAACCTTTGCCCCCCTTCAAACCAAGCCGCCGTCACTGTCCAGTCGCCAAAGCCATGCACCGAATACTCTGACGTATTCAGGCCCTCAACCACCACAACACCCACAACAAGGATGCCGCTTACTCCACGGTCTTTGGAACACCCCGGCCAACTGCCCCCGGAAACCTTCCGGCCTGCTGCGGAAGAGGTTGAATTTCACGTTGGTTTAACGGAGACCAAGAGGAAAACTATTTTGGGGGTCCCCATATGTTGACATAAACGCACATGGAAAAGGGAACCAACTCAAGTTCACCGACCTGTGTCTAATAATCCACCCACCAAAGGTTTTTGTTGAAGGTACCCCGTTGTGTGGTTGGTTGAAAGGAACACCGAGCAACTCACAAAATCCAAGGGCCTCGCCACAAGGCGATGCTTTGAACCACCCTTTGGGCATACCGCTGGATCCTGAACCTCACAGCAGCGCTTTGACTTGGCCCTTCCCAGGCCCTTGGCCCCTGTGCCTGTCGCGTGTCGTCGGCGATCAGCTCTGCGCCATCTTTGCCTGTGGCGCTCCTGCAACGCATTTGCCAGAGCCACTCAACTGCCCAATTGCTTGACCCGAACCATGGAGAATGAATTGGAGCCATCTCGTCAATGAGTGAAGTCCATTTGCCCCGAAAAAGGAGAGATTTCAAGGATGCCGCTGCACAACTCTGGCTGGGTCCTTTTGGATAGCAGGATAGCAATTTGAAGGAAACAAGCCACATTTAGGGCGCCCTATTCTGGGACCCCACAACATTGAAGGTGAACCCTATTTGGCAAGTTCCTTGGGATCGCAACTTGTAGTACCTGCAAGACGTAAGGAACCTTCATGGCGAGCTCCCCAAATAGAACGTGTTGGTGTATCTTTCTTGGGGGAAATGATGGTTTTCCTTTTGGCTTCCTTTAGAACCGCTAGAAAAGGCCCCACATGAGAGAATCGCCTCTCTGCCTCAAAAAGAACCACACGTCCGTGCGCCGGCGAAATCGGCTCGCTCGGTCCCCGTGGCCACTGCTTGCGCAGCATCCTGCAGGAAATTTGCCATGGACCTGGGGCAGTCTCGTGTCGTCCGCCGGCTCCGGGCTGCCTCTTGCCTCTCGTTTCGGTGTGGGTTGGCCGATCTTATTTTCCAACCCTCGGCAACCACTGCAAAGAGGACCCCCTTTTCTCAGCCTAAGCAAGGGAGCTTGTGACACTGTTGGACCTCGGCTATGCACTATGGTGGTCACTCTGTCGCCTCCTTCCGTGATGGGAAATGAGTCGCAGGTCATTTTGAAGAGGGATCGCTGCAACTACAAGTCCCCCGAGCTGCTCCTTTCTTCTGCCAACCAATGAGATACTCCCCTGCATCTGGAACCCAAACAGTGCATCCCCCAAAAGGAGAGTCCTCAATAAACGAGGGGGGTTTCAGGTTCCACGGGGCGAACATCTTCTCCCTTCAAACAGGCCCACTTTATATTCTCGGATCCCCGGCTGAAAGTTTCATTCAGTGGGGTAAATGGGGCAGCCCAACCACTAAACCGACCTGAAAAGCCTGAAAAGCGATCCGGAACCAGATGCCTGGGAACCACCAAGCCTTACAAGCGCAACCAAAATCCGAGGCCCCAGCTCCAAGGGAGGGCCCAGCGCCGCTGCCACCGCTTCGGCATCCTCAACGAAAGATTTGTTGAGGAAACTCCGACTGAGGGGAAAAAAACAGGTTGCAATTCCTGAGATTTTCAGTCGACCAATGTTGAGAAAAACCAAATATGAGAGTACTGTTGAGAAAAATATGGAAGGGGGTGATTTTCTGGGACACATTAAGCTGGGGGATTTCTCACATGGCCAGCCAAGCGAATCGTCAGGCCGGTGTCCTGACTCGCGCTCACAGACCGCGGTCTTTTCCTCCAAACATTCCAGTCCTTCACAAGGCCTCGGTCACCCGCGGGTCCTTCAGCGGACATCTTCATCTGATTGCCAAACTCGCGGACCCATGGAAGAAGTCCCTGGCAAACATGAAAGACGTGTTTTCCAGGTAGCCACCCCCCCTTTGGGACAAACCGTGTGAGCTTTTGAGTGTGCGCGTGTGCGGCAGTCAATTGAGCACCGAGCTATCTAAATCCTTCTTTGGAGTGTTTAGATCCACCAGCACATTCTTCGGCAGCACCTGAGCAGGTTACATGGTCGATCTTGCGCATGCAACGCTGGCTCAAAGATGGAGGTCCCTAAACCGGGGATGTCATGAGCAGGAATTGCCTCCAACATGATATCCCAAAACATCCACCAAAAGGAATACTTTAGGGAGCCTAAAGGCAGCCATGTGGGTTTCTGTTTTGGGGCCACACCTTGAAAGTAGAAAAACAACTCGCTCGTGAATCCCATGCTGGGTGTGTAAACCCAAAAACATGTAGAGAATCATAAGGGCACCACAAATGTCTGGCTGGGACTGTCTTCCGACCCTTCGAGCTACCCGTTGTTTTTTCCTTTGTGTGTGTGTGTGTGGCTCAAACATGGGTGTTGTGTTCGTTGGTGATGCCGGACTGTAACGAGAACCATGCTGCGCAGGCGTCGAGTGCTCATTTCACACACGGGCTAAGCCCAGAGCCATGAGCTTCTTTGGCACCGCCAGCTCGATCCTGAAGCCATGCGTTTGGATCGCGGACACTCGGCGACTTTGCGCTGGGGCTGGCGCTGGTTCTTCTCGCCGTCGTCCTCCTCTTCATCTTCCACGTCCTTAACTGTCCATATACATATACACGTAGATGTATGTATGTATGTATTATATATATATATATATATATATGTATGTAATATACATACATTGTTATGTATGTATTTATATACACATTACATGCACTCTCAACTGCCTGCAAACACGATCAGCGCGGCCAGTGGATGTTACCAAATTGATCCAAGCCGGAGGCGTGCCAAGCCGTGCTGTCCTTCATTTAGTATTTCTTGAAATTGGAATTGGAGACCTACAAAGGTAGTCCCGTTCATTCGTTCCCCCCCCAAAAAAAATAAATAAATAAATATATAAAAACTCTAAATGACAATCCTTGCCTGAAACAAGGATTCAACGCCATCCGTCGTCCGCTTCATACCGCTACGGAACCCCCTTGACTTACGGTTCGCCTCCGGAGTGCCCAGCCGTTTTTTTCCCCCGCCAGACACCAAGGAGTTCTCCCGGATCCAATCCGCGCGGTAGCGTCGTATACTTGGGCCCAGGCCCCCAGACCGAACATATCGGGGTTGGCCGGAGCTTCCGTCTCCTGCCAGATTCGAAGCTGGATCCAAGAAAAACCTCGGAATACATGGGTGGATGTATGTCCAAGTGACAACGCATCATAGCCATTTAATACATCATAGCCCAAATATCTGCCCCGAGTGAACCGTCATCCATGAAAACATCGCTCGACGGGGAATCAAAGGTGAGAGAGTCACATAGCACCCGTGGAAGGGGGGGTGGAATTAGGACCCAGCCAAAAAAATACATTTTTCACCTGGATAGTGGAAAATAATGGGGACCCACAAAAAAGCAAAAAAAAACAAAAAGAAAAGCTAATGCGAGGTGCCATGTTTTCCAGGATACATGAACCACTGACCTGTAAAAAAGGTGCTGCTCGTAGAAGACATTCAAATAATCGTTGAATTGAGTGGTGCCGCGGAAAAAAAGAAAAATTCGCCGGGTGCACACTCCTTTTGTTTGTACGTGGATGTTGTTTTGGAGGGTACCCTTGAAGGGAAAACAAAAGAACACCATCGATTTGGGGGTGCATCGTGTGACAAACTCACGTAATGTTTATTGACCAGTCACGCAGTGAAAGCATAGCAAGGGCCAGAAGGATGTTGGCCAGCCAGGCTGATCTGTGCACAAAAAACAATCTCTCTGAGGGTGCACCACGCTCACCTCAAAAGTCTCGGCGTCTGCGGCGAGTCCTTCTTCTTTTCTTCCTTCTCAATCTCAACGGTGTAGCGCTGCAGCGCAAAATCCTGCCATGCGAGTCTGCTTGGTTGATGCCTTTCCCAACGCGCAGAGCGGCCAAGGTGCTGTTTTCCGCACAGGAAATTTGAGCGACGAAGCACTCACGCCACTTTAAAAAAGCCTGCAGCGAACACACCCATGTGCCCGCATCGTCTACATGCATCATGCATTCGCATCATGCGTTCGTGGCATGCAGGCTTAAGCAGCGGATGCGTGTTAAGCCTCCGGTATATGTCGACCCCACATGGTGGATTGTTAGGGAGTGTTCCCCCAAGAAGTGAAGGATCCCCTCTAAGAGGGGGAACCTAGCCCCACTAATCCACCGGGGTTTAATAACTCTGGGTCCCATTATATGTCAACATGTTGCGCCAGACTTGCCCGTCTCGACAGGCACTAGGCTTGTCTCAGACAGAACCTCGGCGCATGAACTACGATGCCTCAGTGAAGAGATTGTTTCACAATTCTCCGGGGATCCAAAAAAGGCATAGCAAAAAGGGGGGCTTGTAAGCCTTCAAACGCTCTCCTGATAGGTGCCGTCGATGACATCCTGCAAGCGCGCTGCATCCAAACAAGAACCCCAATGGGCAATCCATGTTCCTGTCCATCAGACGGGGGCAGCATTTTCACAGGGAAGATGGAACTGGATTTGTTTGAACTGGATCGCGTCCCTTCAACAGTTTGGACTAACATTCCCTTTTACGACATTGATCCCCTTTGATTCAAGATTTTGCAGCCTACACGGGTCACGTCCCCAGGCCTCCTCTTGCACCTTCTTGCACTCGAGCTCATCTACCGCTGGCGGCTCCGGCTCCTGCTCCAGCTCCTTCTTCTCCGCAGCACGGGCGTCCAGGTAGACCACCACCTTGTCCTCGCACCAAACGACAGCGAGGAACCTCTGAACTTTATGTTTGTCGATCTCAAGGATTTTGGCTTTTCCTTGGGTGGCAAAAGCGTGGGCTTTGCGACCCCTGTTGCAATGGGACGCTTTGCCTTGGTGGACATTGCACATCATACTCAGACCAACATGATCACATCAGCCAAAGACCGAAGAATGTCACCTGATCAAAGTAGGAGGCCCTACAGCTTCCCTCTTCAGTGCACAATGACAGCCGAGGAAAAACCCTTCTTGGAAGGGAAAAAGCCTTGGCCGTCAAAGGGTGGCAGATGGCTTAGCCAAAGCTGACGCAAGCAATGTCACCGGAAACAAAAGGGGAGGGCAGAACCAGTGCGCTGGAGATGGCTGAGACACCGAGCGCCCGAATTGCCTGCTCTTGGCGCAAGCAGCGAGCACCCCAAAACCAGAGGTTCCTGTATAAAGGCACCGGTGCATGGACATCATGGTGCTTTTGCTTCCCACCATTGTTTGAAGGGGGCCATCAAGAACTCACAACAAAATGGTGGGTTTGGTTTGCCCGCAGAACTCATCTAGCCACCCGGTGGCTTGTTGCCTCGTATTCTCAGCTTTGTGTTGGGGGAAGGGGCACTTTCGGGCCTCCTTTGTGAATTTGTCCATAATCAGACAGTGGTCTGGCGAATGGGATCATCGAGTCCAAGGGTGATTCCAAGCTTGCCTTGGCCTTGGAGGAAGAAGAGAGTCGGTTTACACCCAACGTCAGACTTGAGATCGACGTACCCCTTTTTCCAGCCCAAATGGGATAAAGACAACTCCGCTCGCAGTTTTCGGCTCCTTTGTCCCCCCCCCTCCCGTGGTGGGGGAGGTGGCACAACCCAGACCTAGTTTAAATTGTTTATCCACGGTGTGCACAGCCATCCAGGGCGAGGCTCCGTGACCAGCCAGGAGATGCACATCATCACCAGGGAGCTGGCGAAACTGGCGCCTGCCCAAGTGCCGAAGGTCAAGTAGGGGATGACCCCGGCGATCCCTGGCCCAGGGCAAATGCCGATGGTTCCCCAGCCCATGCCGAAGAACGCAGCGCCCGCCGCGAGCTGCACATACCCCCCGTGCTTCGCGGGCTTCTCGAAATTGCAATCCGCGCAAAGGGGCTTACCTTGGGTCTGGCAACAGAAAAATACCAGAAAATGAAAGCGCTGAATCGGCGTTCCCTATCTCGAATGTGTCAAGAGGTGGACCGGGCTGTTTCGGGGCCCAAGATGCGCTTGAGGGATTTCCCCGATCTCGTAACGCCGCAAACAAATGAACCAGTCCTCGTTCTGCCCCTGCATGTTTGGCTTCAAAAGCAAACACAGGCTGGCTCCAAGCGCAGGAAAGACACGCGAAATGTTGTTAGGAATGTGAAGATGACACTGTTGGATCGAGTATGGCTTGGCTTCAGCATTCACTCCTATACCACAACCAATCTATGTTACATGGCTTCCGAAACAACCTACTGTCGAATATTGGTTTAACCGGAAAGCTTGTCAACAATGTCATTGTTCCGGGCCCTAGGTCATGTTGACCCCGTGATAAACCTGGCGGATCAATGGGGCCGCATGTTTGTCAAAGGGGAAAAACCCTCAAACTTTGATCTGCAAATCAACAAAGGGGTTCATCATCCTCAACATAACGCAAGAAAGGGTTGGAAGCCCCCAACAAAGGGGTTCATCATCCTCAACATCACCAAGGATTGGTGTTTAACACATAACAAACGAAAGAAAAGGGCTGGAACCACCCCTTTTGCGCTTTTCCCCTTTTTTTACGCTCGGTTTCTCCCAAAACGTCCAAAAAGCACAGAAAAAACCAACGCGGAAGCCCCAAGCCGAGGCGCTCTGCTCCCTCTCCGCCCACAGGAAGGCGGGGCCGGAGCAGAGGATGCCACAGCCCATGACGAAGGCCAGGGAGGGGTCCCAGGCGCCGCCGAAGTCCAAGAAGTCGAAGACTTTGTTCTGGTCCGTCATACCCGCCACCCCCAAGCCCACACCTGAGTCACGGTATTCAAAATGGTTGACCCCGAACCATGGAAGGAAATACCAAGGCGGATCCGCAACTATTTACAGCTGGGATTATCCCTTACTAACCTTCATCTACCCGGGTTTTGATTGTGGCTCACCTGAAATAGGATCGGAACAATGGGACATCTGAAGAAAATTTGGGGCTTGGGCCGTTTGACATGTGAGAATGAATGAAGTTTGGACGAAAGCATACCTGAGAGTGTTTTGTGCAAGGAAGCAAAAAGTGCGGGCTCTTGTGACTACAAACCTGTCAAGGCGGGCCATTCATGCAATCAGTAGCCAAGTTTGACAGGGGCGCAAAGGGGAGAAAATCCCACTCCATGACTCTGCATGTTGCCCGCTGCTCTCGTGCTTGGGTCTTTACCTTTGTCCGACTTGGGCCCGGGCCGAAGATCACTCCACAAGCCCAGGGGCACAGATAAACACGGACCTGAGCCACGGCTGGGAAAATGGCAAGACTGGCTTCCATGGGAGAAAAGAAAAAACCCACTGGTTGAAATCCCCCGAGCCGCTGCGCTGGGGAGAGAGCCGATGGTTTCTTTCCTGCCAAAAAAACTAAGTCGGCTGGGCCGACACCTGCGCGTGCCTGCCCTTGCAGGGTTAGCTCTGAATCAGCATTGGGTGCTTGATCCAAAAGCATTCGCTGGGGCAATTCTAGTATTCGAACCCAACAAAAACAAAACCACTTGGAAGCAGCTGGCTTAAATTTAACCCAAATCGTAATGTCCAACCCAACCAAAAGGGCAAATATATTGGGCGAAACCTAGATGCCCTGCAAAAGCTTGACTTTCATATGGCTAGAAAGGAACATGAAAGAAACCCAGGGCACAACGGCGAAACATGTTGCTTAAGTCTGGCAATGTGTATATATATATATATAGTCACATCCGCCTCCTTGAAAGCATGCAACAACAACTGCGTTGTTTGAGGTGCGTTACTTTCACATGGTGTTCGATGGTTGGCCCGAATCGGGCCAAACAAAGTACATGCCAAACGCATGCAAACGCCGTGTGTTTCATGTGCTGCTTGGTTGAATCTCAAAAAGCAGTTGTGGTGCGCATGCTTCGCCGGTTTGCATGTTTAACCCTTGTGAGCATGAGTTAAAACCCCAGCCAAAACACGCAACTCGAAGGAGTGGCTTTCTCGAGGTGATGTGGGTTTCATTGGTGTTCCGTCAGTTTGCTTTGGCTGGTTGGCTCTATCCCTCCAAAAAAAACACAAACCACAAACAACTCGAGGTTGTTGGTTCTCTTGGTGAGTGTTGGTAATCAGAATTCAAACATTGTACTAAGATAATGATTCAAATAGCAACTCCATTTGATAATTAGGCTTCCTTTAGTGAACAGTAACTAGTAGAATATGGAAATAGTTTCATTCGACTTCTACCAAAACAGCCACTTCATGAATAGAACTTAACAAGGGAAGAATTCAACCACAACTATACTATGCCAATTAGAGTCTAATTTTGAATCCCGCTTAATAAGCTTTAAAAAAGCTTTCAACTATAATTTGTGATACATGCTACAGAGGTGGATCATGGGCAGGAGGTGCGCATAAAAAAATTCTATATATATATACACATATATATATATATATGTATATATAGAACATATACATATATGTATGCATTCTATTAGTGTAGGCAGCCCCGTGTAAACGACCTGGCGCCCTGCCTTGTGCGGCACGAGCACCACCAACGCCGCCAGCGCCAGGCATCCCCCCAAGGAGGCCAGCGGGAACTCCCAGTTCGGCGGCCACTGGAGCTCCGCCACGCGCGGGGACTGGGGCGCGTCCCACCGGAAGACGTGGCGAATCAACGCCACCGTGCCGATGGCCTCAGCTATCAGCGGTCAACAGCCTCAAGTTGAGTCACCGGCTTGGGTTCAAGCCGTTGCGCTGCGAAAAGTCAGAAGCGGGCGCGCCTCCGAGACACCCAGTGTTCCCTTGCTGGACGTGGGAAAAAGTCCCCCTGTGTTTCGTGGAAGTGTGGTGTGTCCCCAGGTCCCTCGCTAACTTAGGCTGGGTTCGTTCAAGTGGCTCCGCGGAACTGGGGCTGGCTGCGAGCTTCGACCCAGTAGACAATCAACCAGTCAGCGTCGAGTGCTCGTTTTGACTTCCCGCGCCAGCGATTTGTTTGGGGTTTGGATTAGGGTGGGCTTCGGGATGCTTCGGGCTCGTTTAGCGCTGGCTTAGGGTGGGCCTAGGGTTTGATGAGGGTTGGCTTGGCGTTGAGTTTAGGGTTGGTGTGGAGTTTGTTCCAAGTTGGTTCAGCGGGTGTAGGGACGGTTTAAGATTGGGGCTTGTTTAGGGGCGTTTGGGGTTGGTTGGGTTTCGGTTGGTTTGGGGTGGGCTTGAGGCTGGTTTAGAGTTTGTTCTGGGTGGACGTAGGGTGAGCTTAGTGTGGATCGTGGTGTCCGTAGGGTGCCTTAGCGCAGATTTGGGGGGTGGGTTTCACTTTTATATAATTCCAATATTAAACAAAAACACGACTTCTTCCAACACACTGCAAAACCCGCAAAGGGTTCACTTCTGCCGAGGCAAAGGCTATTAAACCAGATTCCAAAACGTAATCAAGCCAGAATGCCGACGCGCACGTTCCACGCAGAGGAATGGCGCGCCATAGCAAAATGCGCACAGTGCTACAAGTTCACGCATCCGACATGCAAGATCCACGGTCGACTGTGCACCGCAAAAGCATTGGGCCGGGGGTTCGCACGACGCACACTATGCACAAGAGTCGCGCAGGTGGCGTATCCATGGGGGTTTGCACATTGACAAGCACGATCCACAGAGAGAGTTTCCTTTGCGACCGACTGACCGACCAAGGAACCGACTGCTCGAGCGATGGCCCGACCGACCGACCGACTCAGTCTAACTCAGCACCCCACGCCCAAGAACCTAGGACAGCAAAGAAGGGGGCCCGTGAACAAATTTCGACCCGTCTAGTGCTATGGGCGGAAAAGCATGTGCCCCTAGGGGCCCTGAAAAGGCATACTTGGCATACCCTCAAAAAAAAACGAAGACGCCTTTTGGGTGGAGTTGGAGATCCGAGTTGCCACCCCGCAGAAGGTGGGAGTGGCCACCCAGCTGCGCGAGGACAAGCGCGGCAGCCCGCAGATGCCGTGGCCGCTGGTGCAGCCCCGGCCCACCCGGGTGCCGATGCCCACGAAGGTGGCGCCCACCAGATACCGCGCGATGTGCAGCCTCGAATCTTTCAGCGCAGACTTGTTTTTACCATCTGTTTGATGCGAAATCTGAGGAAAAATCAAGGTTGCACATGTGCCGGCCTTTGGCCCTGCAAGAATGTACGCGTTTCGCGATTGGAGAAACTGGGCTTTTGCCGCAAGTCCCTTTGAAACGGGGTCTAAGGGTCAAATGCAAGTTTGTCAATCCACCGGGTTGTGCTCATACTGATTCAGAGGCGTAAGGGGAGCCAGCGCAGGGGCAACTCTTCGTGAGTCATGGTTACTGTCAAGGGCCAATAAGGAGAGTTCAGGGCCATGACGCCTCCATGGCTCCCCTTGCGAGACATATTTCTGGCGCAAGCAACTCCCAACTGAAAAGGAAACCACTTGGAGGAAGCTCACTGGATATATTCACCGTTCCTCCTGGGGGTGGTTTCGGGGTAGTGAAAATCCTCCAAAACAACTGGGACACGTTTGGCCCACCTCAGGGGGATGTGTTGGGAGACCAAATCTGGAATCCACGTTCACCCCAAAGGCATGCAAAGTAACATCTTCAAACATCGATCATCCTAATTTCCGCGTGGTTTGAAGGGCTCCCCCCCAAGTCCAATCTGTCAAACTCAACATCTTCTCACATCTCAGGACCCCTCACCCCCCCTTTTTTCCATACACCCACAGGGCCCCCCACGAATCAGGAAACGGGGAACCGGCCCAAAGAACCCCCCCTTTTTCCCGTGCACAAAAGGCTGGACCCCATGTCCCCCCCCCCCCTCCCCCATTTTCCCCCCCCCCTCCCAAAAAACCAGGGGGTGGAACCCGCCCCAATTTGTTCTTTCCGGAGCCGCTCCGATGCGCCGGGGAAGGAGAAGTCCCTGTTGCCGGCCAGGGCGATGACACCCCCGGAGACCATGCCCAGCAGGAAGAGCAGCTTCCAGAGCCTGTCGCCGTCAAGCGCGGCGAGCCGGCTGCGGCTCGTGGGATGTCAACATGTCAACCTTGGCTCCCTATATTTCCCTTTCAAACGTCGCCCTACCAAAAGGAAGGTCTTTTTGGATAAAAGGCGATGTCTAAATGTTTGTAGTTGAGCCACGGTCAAAGTGATGCTGGTTTTGTTGGAAAGCTTTCAGGTCTTTCACCAGACGTCCCTCCCAAGGCTCCTTTCACACATTGAATATTCTGCGCGAGGGGAGAGGTGTCCTTCAAGGAGGAAAGGGGATGTTCAGCTGTGTTTTCTTCGGAGAGACACACACACAGACACACACACATGAGTCGAAATCAAGCCTGGTCTTCAAGAGCTAAAGAATCAGAAGCGCTGATATCTGCCCCTGTTCACGGCTGGAACTGCCCCCCGGACTTTGATTGCGGCTCATTTGCGCATGATTGGCCGAGGCGCGAGACAAACAATGTCGCCTTTTGATGGGTAACTGTCGCCCAAACCACGCACCCCTGACGATGGTTTTTAGGGGTTGCCCTGACATTGCTTAGCTAATCCCAGTTGTTTCATGGTAGTTTGGGGGAGGTCCTGTTCCCAATGCAATTCCCTTTGCTATAGTGCGTTGGAGGTGGGAGCAGTGACTGTGACTTTCTGTTGGCTGAATTTGAAGGGAAACCCATCCGCCAAAGAAAAACAAACAGTTGGAGCCCGCTGGGCGATTTGTAGGGAAGAGCCGTGTCTAGTGATGAAGGCTTTGACTTGTCCAGCTGGTTCTCAGCAGAGAATAGGGGCATGACCATTCCAATCATTCAATACAAGAGCGCACCACTGTTTGCATCTTAAAGGGATCTCCAAAAACAGTAGGGATGGTCATGACACATACATTCTGGGAGGAGGAAGTTTGAGCAGGGGTCGTTTTGCAACACCCAGGCTTGTCTCAAAATAGGGAACCACCAGCGTCACCACAAAGGCAGTTTCCTTCCGATTCCCCACCAGCTTCAAAGGAGGGAAGCTTGGCTTGCCCACAAAAAATAATCAAGATATCTCTTTTCGGGGCAACGATACATGCCGAGTGGAATGGATTGGATTCACAAGGCCGTCTAGGTCCGCACAAATGACCAAAGTGGCAGTTGCCAAAGTAGCGGTTGCAAGTAACATCTTAAACAGGGCTCTATTTGCTGACTATCAAAGGTAGACTTAAACCCAGAGGTGTTTGATTGCCCAAACACGGAAGCGGATTGAAGTCTTAGAATAAGGAACCCTCTTAAAGCACAAACACACCAAGCAACCAAAGAAACCAAGCATCAACCAGACAGACACATCAACAATTGAACCGGTTTGGCAACGTGTTCATACCTGTTGGGCATGAGTCTTAGTCGGGGACCTTTGGAGGAACATGATTTACATGCCGATTTGCTCTGCCCATCAATTGTGCGGGTGTCTTGGCTCCGAAGACTACCTTGATCAACCAACACTGGCCAGGCAGCTGCGCCCCTGCCATAGGCTGGCACTGGGTCACCCCCCGCAGGAAGGGCCCGAGGATCCCCGCGACGCCCGCGATCTTCCCATCTACGGAGTAGGCCAGGGCAGCGGACAGCCCTACCTCCAGGCTGAGCGAAACAGGGCCAAATTGGGTACATGTCAAGGTAGGGGGACTCTGAAGAAAAAAGCGGGTCGTTTTTTGTTCCCCTTTGAAGCAAGCTCAAACGGGCACTCAATGTGCCAATGTGGTTCAAGAGTTTCTTTTCCCATTACCTTTAAGGAGAAGAGGGTTAAGGAACAAACCCTGCAATCCCGTCTGTCGAGTCTTGAAGCCATACAAGGAAATGTAATTTGTTGAGGGAACTCCCGCGCAAGGTTTTTGTGGGGGAAACCAAAATGTACCCCTTTGGTATGGTACCCTTGTCCTATGACCCGCCTTGGTTTAAGCAAAATCAAGACATTGCTCCGACGATTGAGTTCCACCTTTCAAAGGTCCACAGACCCTTCCATGAGTTTGGCAAACCCCGCCAAACAGCCGCCGATGCCCGATTCCACCGGCGTAAACATGGCACCACGAGTGAACGGGGCGGCCGACTGAGCCCGCAACTGGCAGTCACACGACAAAGAGCGAATGAGAAGCACAAGATCATGTCATGCAAGCAGCATCTAGCAACGCCCCAGCTTGCATCCTGCCATGTGGCTGAGCTGTGTGTCAAACTCAGGACCTTACTTGGGCCGGTTCCTAGTTTGGACGGCCCATGTACGTGTCGATCTGTCTTAAGCAAATGCCGGGCTGGCCCATGAGGCGATCTTGCCAGCTTTGCCGTTGAGGTCTGCTCTCGCAACTAGCTCCTGGCCGACAAAGACTCAGGCCCACGGCCCCACGGCCCTATTCCAAGCTCCCGAAACGTGGGCCACGTCGTCGCAGTGCCATAAACAGGAATCCCGACAATGGCGATGGCCATCTCAATTGAAGGATCCATGACCCATCCCTTGTCCCCCCACAAGTGATCGGCCCGTTGACCGTCGCACGGACTAAGACCCGCTGTCCTGCAGCAGGACCCGCGATCCATCAGGAAGACGGCCGCCGCTTTCAGGAAGCAAATAGATCACGGTCAGCCTTTCAGCAATGATGTGATGTGTGTGTGTGTGTGTTGATTTTCCTTTTCTTTCTGACAAGCGCTGCCTGGCTGTGCGTCTGCCTGGACCCCAAAGAACCGGGTCGGCGGCAAAGAAAATGCAGGGCCAGGAGCATCCCGGAGGAAACCAAAGGCCGTAAACCCATTCCACTTCTGATCAAAGGGCTGGAACCTTGCCGGGGAGGGATACAGTTCCTGAGTTCCCTATGAACCCCCGAGATGGCCGGCATTTCCCTTTGAGGCAACCCCAAGAAAGGTACCCTCCCAACAAAAAATGGAGGTGCAGGGGGGGGCCCCTTCACAAGAGGAATCATGCTTCTTGCTGGGAGGGTAGACCTGTTCGACGATGACGCATCCCCATCATTGAGAGCGCGGCTCTGCTGAAATTGCAGCCTTCAGGAGCTCCTAGGCAGCCAAGATTTTGCCAGTCACACCTCCACGCAGACAAATTCGCCCGTGCCGGCCCCCACACTCTTGGGGTCCCTTCAGTGTTCTTCCACCAACTGCGACCTGAAAGCTACTTGAAGTCAGAACCTGTCTCTGTGTGTGTTTTTGTATGCGAGCACAGGTGAAGCCTCAAGAAAGAGCGAAACAAATGCGGGTTGGCTCAAGGGAGAAACAAATCACCAACCACCCACCCCCACGGAGCAGCACAGCAGCAAGCAGCAGCAAGCAGCATCAAGCAGCAGCAGCAGCAGCAGCAGCAGCAGCAGCAGCAGCAGCAGCAGCAGCAGCAGCAGCAGCAGCAGCAGCAAGCAGAAAAACACGACAAGCAAACAACAAAAAACAAACAACCAAACAACTAAATAGCCTAATAGCCCAAAACAAATAACCAAATAATCGAAAATAGTTAAAGAGCTAAATACCCAATCTAACTCAACTCACCCCAACCCACCCCAACCCACCCCAACCAACCCAACCAACCCAACCAACCCAACAAACCACGATAACACCAACATCATGGACATGGGCTTGTCCTTAGGAACCGCAAAATGTGTTGCTTCCCCTATTTCCCTTCGCCTTCCTTCAAATCAACCCAAACAAGTGTACCCTCAACAGATTTACCCGATCTACCCAAGCTGAGGCCCGAAGAGGGTGCTGCAACCACACCGGAACATCATGTTCAGGCTACAGTGTCTTCCCAAACATCCAAAAAAAAACCTATTCGAAGGTTAGCCAAATCACTCCAAGTGCTTCACATGCATCTTCACTTTTCAGAACCCCCGACCGCCCGGCGCACGGACTCCAAACGCAACAGCCGCGCGCACCGATTCTTTTGAATCTCCCGCGTCAGCCCATCTGCTCCACAAAGACCTGGTGGAAACGAGAGACTTGGCTGTTCAACGTGGAGAGTGATACTCATTTGGAAGAATTATAAATTATACATACGTATCAATGGGCGTCATTCTTGAGGGTACCATGGAAACCAACAGAAGCACCGCCATGTGCCCTGCCTATTTATTTTATTTATTTATTTATTTTGGGGGGGTGCCAGACTAAAAAACGAAACACCCAAGAGGAACGAAACACGTCATGACCCAAGAGATTGTTGCCTTTTGGACAGCCCGGAGAGAGGCCAAAATTCACCCGTCTAGAGCAGGACCATAGTCAATCCCAAAGCATCCCTCATTCTGGGGCGAGGCCCAAGCCTCGGGTGAATGAGGGCTGTCTTTTTTTGGGACCCCCCCAAATGAATTTTGGTTTTCCTTTTGGTTCCACCGAGCCTACCTGGCACCAAATATCCTATCTGACAATAGACCAAATAGACTGCCAACATGTAGTGGAAACATGTGCTTTCCCAAACACCTCCAATGAAGGATACAACCAAAAGAGCGGCCAAGTGTTCAACGATTCCTTGGCGACTGCAACATTGCGCCTTTCAGCAGCTTTTTTTGATTGACCTATTTGATATCTAGCATGAGTCCTGGCTCAACGGTACATGTTCAGGTTGTGGGAACTGCTCACAAACTAGGAGGTGCCCTGGCAATCGCAGAATTGGGGGGATACACCTCGAATTTTCCGCAGCCCAGAACATGATTGGTCTCACACCCGCGAATGCTCAAAAGGGACGCATCTGTACTCCGTCGTGGGAAACGAACCGTGCCTATCAGAGGTCCCCAAGAATTGTGTAACTTCCTTGTGGCATCCCTTTTCCGCCTGTCCACACGGGCACCCTCAAAAACAACACACACACACACACACACACACACACACACACACACACACACACACACACACACACGCCTCTCCCCAGACATACAGGATTCCAAGTCACCGACGCAAGATGCGCGTCGCTTGCGCGCGCCTCGAGGTCCGGCACTTTGGCGCTGAGCTTGCGCCGCCAGCTCTCGGCTTTCTGCCGGGTGTCTCCCAGCACCACGGCGCGGCCCAGGTCGTGGACCATCGCCTTGGCCGTGCGGAGCCGACATAGGGAGGGGTGCTGAAAACAGAATGGGCGGGTTCCGGGAAGGGGGGGGGGCTGTCTTCTTGGGAGAGTGCTGCTCAGCTTCCTCTCGGTTTCTCCCAAAACCGGGCATCCATACTGAAAGGTTTCACGAAGCAAGGCGGGGGGGTTGGGGGCGGTTTCTCGAACTAATGGATTGCTTTGACGTTTCCCTCCAAAAGCGGGAACCTCCTTTTGGTGCAACACTTTGGTAAAGCTTCTCCAACCAGTTGGGGGGGGCTTCCTTTTTGGGTAGTTTCTCGAAAATCGATGCTTCCTGCTTTTGGGCCGGAAGAAGAAGAAGTGTGGATGGCATCCTTCAACGTCGGACCCACTTTTACATTTGGGGCCGCTTTTGTAGAAAGTTGGTTTCCTAATTCAGAATCTTGTGACTATTTCGAGGATCGCTGGGTGGTTTATCTAAGCCCTTCCCGGTCAAGGCTTTGCTTTGATTTAGGAATTCCTGTGTTTGAAGTGGTCCTCAAACCATCAATGTCTATGTAAATCCGATAAAAAACAAGTCACGCCAAGGGCCCCCTGATCCTCTTTAATCTGACAGTTTTGGGGGGTTCGAGATTTTGCTGCGGGGTGTGATATTCCAAGAGCAAAGCAAAGCCTTAGCCTTGCTTTTAAAGGGTGGCTGATCTGAGATGCGGGAATCTGAGATGTCCTGGCAATACTAGATCTAGAATTGGCAATATGCAATTAAGTACTGGGAATCTGAGAAGTCTTGGCAATATTTGATTTAGAATGGCAATACTAAATTATTTTTGAGCAATACTGAACAATTTTAAAAATGGGAATCTGCGAGCAGGTCTTGGCAATACTACATTTAGACTTGCAACACCACATCAAGCGGCAAGTTCAAGTCCAACAGCTCAAATGACTGCCGGCACTGTTCGGAGGGGGGAGTCATATCACAGCAGATGCAAGATTGCTCCAAAAATGGGAGGAATGCGTCCTTTCTGGGGGACGGCTTCTCTCCAAGCTTGGGGGGATGGCATCCTTGTCTGGTCCTTTTTGCGAAAATGTCCGTTGGGGTGTCTCAAAGTTGGACCCTTTCTGTGGATCGTGTCAACATAAAGCAAAAATACTGAGAGGCGCCCATGGATGTGTCTTCCTCCTGGAGCCCGGGGTTGATTGGCCCCAAAAACAGAAAACATACTTCCCACTAAAATGCGTTTCAAAGAAGCATTCTGCTCGGAAACTTGGGGCGTTGGGTTGCACTTTGGATGAGCGTTCTTTTTGATGCGTAGACATTCTGCAAAACTGAGAAAAACAACGCATCCAATTCTGCCCGCAAAAGGCGCGTGAACATCTCATTCACCGGAATGGCCAAAATCGCCACGGGCTTGCGTTTCCCCGCCTGAAAAAGGAAGAACACCTGACATCCGACAGAAACACAAGGGCATGTGTCAAAATAGAGGACCCCCTAACATGGTGGTTTGTTCCTTTGGCCCTTCAAGCCAACCAAAGCGTACCCTCCAACAAAAGACCCGTCAGCTTCCACACCAAGCCGGCGAGGCACGTCCTCCACCAGATCGCCCGCAACCGCCTGCGCCTTTTGGGGCGTCAGCAGGTCAGGCAGGGCCTGCGAGCGAAGGTTTGGGCGTGCCTTCTCTCGAGGGAAATGTCAAAGATTGCGGTTTCCCTTTAGGTTTCCCTGAAATCACACCCCAAAAAAGGGGGACCCTAAAAAACAGACACCCCCATTTTGGGGGGTTCTCAAGATGACTTTTGAGCTTCCTGTTCAGACTGCCTAACCTCCAATTAAGCTGGACTGCAATGCTCAAGGTTCGCTTCTGCACTGGCTCCGTCGTACTGAATCCGCTACCACTTGAGTTCCTTGATGCTCACCTGTCAAAGGACAATCGCGAGCATGCATGGACGGCAATCAACAAGCCAACTGTTTTTTTCTAATTGCACAGGCCGACACTGCCCAGAGCGGGAAAACACACGCACGTTCTCCGGAGAAAAAACGGAAACCACCTGGAAACCCTCCTGAAACAAGAACAAGAACCCTGCCTAGGAAAAGAAGAAAAAACATGGGAAACACACCCTGAGAAAAAGGAAAGGAAACCTTCCGCGAAAAAAAGGAAGAAAACAAAAAGAAGAAGAAAAACAACAACGGTACACCAACCTGGGGGGGAGACAAAAAAAAGCAAGCCGCCCGGACAAATATTGGGAAACCCGTTTAAGACAAGAGAGGCGGGGCTCGGCCGACCTCCTGCAGCAGCTTCGCAAAGTCCTCCACCGGCACCGCCCGCAGGCCCAGGCGGATCAGGACCTCAGCCGGGCCGAGCCACCCAGTCCGTTGGCACCGAGGGCAGCTGCAAATGCTCCGAAAGCCCAAGCAAGAACGGTGGGGGGGCGGGGGGGTGTGATGAGGAGGAGGGGGGGGGGGGGGGGGGGGGCCCCCCTCCTCCTCATCCCCCGCTCACCCCCCCCCCCTCACCCCTCCTCCTCATCCCCCCCCTCACCCCCTACCCCCCCTCCTCCTCATCAGCCCCCTCACCCCTCCTCCTCATCACCCCCCTCCCTCACCCCCCTTCCCCTCACCCCCCCCCGGTGAGGGGGGGGTGACTGACGGGGGGGGGTGAGGGGGGGCTGGAAAGGCCCCAGCAAAGTGGTTGATCTCCAATCAGAAGAAAAAGAAACCTTCCCGAAAACTACCCGGCCCCAAAAATGCCGGCGAGTCAAAAGGAGCTTTTGAGATTTGTGTTGAAGGGTGTTTCAGGCTTGTTGGGTTTTTGGGGCTTGAGAAGCCTTTGGGCTCCGTTCAAAGGGGTGAAGTGCCAGCGGCCAGTCCGATATCGGAGCGATCCGATTTCGGCCTGGGCGCGGGCTTCCAGAACTGCCAGCGGAACTGGCGGATGGGCGCGGAGATGACCACAGCCCACAGGTCCGTGGTCCTGGAAAGAACTCGTCAAAAAAAGGTACCCAGAATGGAACTCCGGATGGAAAGGACTAAAACCTGCGGTCCAATTCCTGGTGGTTTCAATTTGACCCATGAGTGCTTTCAAGCTAGAGTTGTCGGGGAAGGGGTTTGGGGACGGGCGGTTTTGAGGCGTTCATTCAACACTAGTTTTGTTCTAGCTGGTGGTTCTACACCCTTTCTGTAATACTATGTTTTTTGGTTCACTGTAAATGGATTCCCCCTCCATTCTGTTCAATGAAAATTATGTTCAACAAAAAACACGCTTCTCCTGGATGTTTGGTGGCGCTCTGAGAAGGATCCGCGGAAATGGGGAAGGAACATAGTTGCCCTTTCTGTGATACCTTTTGACGGGACTCCCGCGACTATTTCACCAGACCTGTGTTTCTTTTTTCCGCAGACGTGGCCCACGCATCCCATGGTCCAACCCTCGAGTCCTCTTTGTTTTGGTTTGGACCTTCTCCTTGACGATTCGCTTCATCGCGGTGGCCGCCGGCCGGGCCGTCCGCGCCGTCCGGGCAATCCCGGCCAGGCCGCAAAGGCCGGCGAGGCAAACGCCGCCCAAATGTTTGCCTTGGAAGAACTGGAGTGAGGCCGCATGCCGGTTGCAATTAAGCTATTCTGGCGTTTTTGTTCTATCATCCGCACAAAGGCTCCTGCACTGAGCCCGGTATATTAAAAAACAATGGGGAGCAAAAAGAAGAAAGAAACCTGGATCTCGGACACGTGGCCAGCGCTCCTCGTGCACGCCGCCCGCTGCCGCGTCTGGCCCAGGCGCTCAATCCCCGCATGCCCTGCCAGCGCCGGTCCCGGCAGCGCCAGCGCCATGGCCAGCTCTCCCCAAAACCCGCGGACACGGAAATGCGTCTCCAGGGGAACCCCAAAAAAAGGGTCCGGTCTTGCCCTGTGTCCTTTGAGCCAACCAGAAAAGGAGTGTTCTCATAAAAAGACATCCCCTGCTGAAACCAATGCAAGCCAAGTGAAGTGCAGCCCATGACGTATTGTTCTTGCCGCGAAGAAGCGCTTGACGATCAATGCGCTGGCGTCGTTTGGCTGGTGGTGTCGCATGTGTTCCTTGGTGGCTTTCAGCCTGAGCAACTAGTTCATACCAGCGCGGAATGAACAGCCAATTCTAGCACACCGGTCACACTGTCAGTAGCGTCCTGACCACGCCGCTCGAAAATGTCCATGTAGAGCCTGCTCGAAGCCATGGGAGTCACTGCATGGGTGCATACAGGTTGGCCTCAAACTGGCTTGAACCACCAACAAGTGGAGATTCCTTCCAATCAACGCCCAAAAGACTACAAAAAACCAAGGAACCAGGCCCGAAAGTGATGCATGTCGGCCCAAGGCTAGCCATGCTGCGCAACCGATTCGGACTGCAGCCCGCCTGTGCAGATTGTCCATGAGCTTCGCAAACTCCTCCTCATGGACCTGTCGCTCGTGAGGAAAACACGGACAACCCAGCCAACCGAATCTGATTTTAACCTACCCCAACCCCGTAACTATTTCAGCTTGTCTGGTGCTAAAGGGAAAACAAGGGCAAGCCAGCCATTGTGCCGTGTGTTCAAGGGAGAACAGCAGCCACGCCCTGCCTCGCTGAACTTGCCGACAGCCATGCCTGGCACAAACGAAAAGTGATCTTTGGTGGGTGGTGGGGTTGCTCGGATGCATCCGGACCATCCCCCCCCAATAAATCTGGACTTGAGGAAGTCTGAGAATATGTTGCAGGCTGTCCAACAACAAAGGGGATGCTGCCAACGAGCATCGTGTATTTTTAAAACGCCACCCTCTCAGTCCTGAGCTAAATGCTTGTGAAGAGGGTTCGCAGAGGCGCAATGACAACTACTCCGAATTGTGCTCCTGTTTACCCTGCAAATGGTGGTACAACCTGTGTGTGCCTCTTAAAAGTATCTATGCAAGAAGTCGCTCATTGTGGGAAACATCTCAGAATGCAAAAACCAAACATGTTCAGAACACCCTTTGCCTGTCAAATTAAATGCGTCAACTCACTGTTGAAAGGGCGCCCCTTGTTTGTCTGCTTGCTTGCATCTTAAACAAGCTCCTAGTTTCCCGTTGATTGGGCACCAGGGTCTGGTTGTCTCCCTCCCATGCCTGACTTCATCAACTCCAGCAACTTCACCTGAGCGACATAAAGCGCGGCAGCAGACTCCAAATGGCCATGAGTCAAAACCCAATCCCCACTAAAATAGACTAAAATGGGTGGTGCACCTATCCCAGAATGGTACCATTGGTTTTGACCCACAGCCAAATGGATGTGTGGTTCAATTCTCGAAACATCAATGTGTCGCTGCTTTGTATTTGGTCACCGGTTCGCTCCAAATGGATGGTTTCCCGGTGCCCTCCTTTGAAGACCCATGGAACCAACGGGCTGCGTCTCAAAAGGGGCGTGCGCGCTTACGTTTTCCAAAAGGCTGTCTCAAAGTGACAACTCTCTCTTAGATGCTTTGAAAAGGAAACCCAAAAGCAAACCGAGAAGCGACTTGGATCGAAATTCCCCCCAATCATATGCTAAGGCAACCCCGTTCATGGATGCCTTTTGAAGTGAACCATCAAGGTGTCCAGCTGGCTTTTGACACATGCACGAAAGGGGGAAGACGCCTCTGCCGAGGAAAGGCGCCCTTTTCAAAACCGCCTTTGAGAAGCTGTAGTCGAATTGGACGCACCCCCTTTGTTTTCAGGCGAGCCATAAAACTGACACCGGCCAACGCAAAGGGCCAGATGCTATGGTGGATGTACACGTATCGCATGTACACGTGCATGTACCCCATGCATGGACATGTATCATGTAAAATTACATGTATATGCACATATATAGCTGTACGGTTATACAGGTATACAGTTCTACAGTTGTACTGCATGTACATATACATACACGTACACACATGCAAACACTTACTGCTCGGAGGAAAAGATTCAAAATACGTCCCAATAGGATCCGCTTCACAAGGGGATCCTATGAACTTGATAAATTATGACTCGATGCTTCGTGATTCCAACATGTCCAAGACACGTGTCATGCTTTTTCAGGCACCGTTTCAGGCATTCCTGCCTTTTTGAAGTTCCCTACGTTCCCATCCAAACAGCACCCACGCAAAGGACGCTCACTCTCACTTGAAAAAGGGACTACGAAGGCAATGTTCTTGAGCTCATCCTGATTCGGATCTCCCCCGCCATTATGGAGGCACAGAGAAAAACGGTGTCCACTCCCCGCGTACCACTACTGGGACGCAGGCAACCACACCACTGTATAAGCCACAGCCAATATTGGTTCTGTCATCAAGGGACATTGGACTTTGGTGAGTAACACAAAATGTCTAAAAGGTTTCTCAGTGAGTGCGACCGAGACATCCCTTGTCTGCCCTTGATGATGGTACATGTTGACCGTCGTTCATATCAAGGGTGTGTGTGTGTGTGGCACTATATGGTGTACATTATTTTTTGTATATAATATGTATATATGATATATGTGTATATGATATATATATATATATTGTATATATGATATGTACATTTATTATATGTATATAATGTATATATGATATATATGGGCCCTTGTTAGACAAGACATGCCTCGCAGGGACCCTCGTCAGGTTCCAGTGGCTGGCTGGTTGGCTCGGTTTGTGTCCGGGCAAGGCACGCAGCCGTGCTCCGCCAGGGAGCCCTTCACCTCCAGACCGCGCCAGGGGCTGTCCTGACATGGATATGGCCATGGGTCAACATCCAAATCGGTTAGCCCCCAGTGAACGGGACCCAATCCAACCACTAAGATAGGCTCTAAAATGGGTGGTGCACCTGCCCCAGAATGGTACCATTGGTGTTGACCCACTGCCATATGGGTACAGAGAAAAAGCAGGAAGAAGAAGAAGGAAGAAGAAGAAGAAGAAGCTGCTGCTGCAGTTAATGAGAAAAAAAAGACACAACATGTTATACAAGATATTGAAAAAGTACAAAAGGTCGGAACATGTGATGCCAAAATCCAGTTGCCAAGAGATATCAGGAAATTGGCCTCAGGGAGGCCAAAGGAAAGCGCGCTCAAAGGCGGGGAGTCTCAACCATGAAAAACGTGGAAAACCGTTGGATCCCATGTGATGAGATTTCAGTGGAGAGTGGTCCGTAGTTTTGCCACACACCTAGTTGATGAGTTGAGGTGCAGAGCTTAGATTTTGGACCCATGTCAGCGAATCATGGTAAGCAACACTCACGCAACCCTCTTCACTCTCCGCCCAGTGTGTTCTTGCTTGTTGCAGGCAAGGCGTTGTAAGATCCCGCAGTTGGCCAACAGGAAGCCAGTTCTAGACTTGACCAGACATCAAAGGACTCTCCAACAAAGACACCCCCATTGCTGTTCCGTTGATAAACTCAAGATTTGGCAAATGTTGAACAAAGTCGCGAACATCCTCGCATCCTCTTGTAGCCCAAAGCTCTGCTCTTTGCAGCCCAACGACAAAACTAGACCGAACCAAACAAGCAAAGAAGCAAATATCTTCTGAGTCTATGGTAACAATCTAACATGAAAAGCCCACACCACGCCACACTGGCCAGACCTTGTGCGCCAGGAGTGAGGTCATGGCCCAGTTCATCTGCCTGAAGCTTTGTCCGAATCCAGGTGGTTCAATGCGAAGTCTGCGAAAAGCCTCGCTTTGAGGCCTGCGACAACCCATAGGCCCATGGATGCATCTACTTTCCACGGTGTTGGAACCAACAATCCACCTGAGACACTCAAAACTTGGTTTGGGGAGTACCGAAAACTGTGTGAAGAGTTAACGGCCGGCCACACCCATTTCTGGCTGGCTCTGGGTGTTGATCGTGTCTCATTTTTGGATATTCAGTCTGCACCAGAAAGGGGCCCTTGTGAAATCTGTTTCAAACAAAGAGCAGAAAGGATAGTCAAGGCAGCGCCGCCCAGGTTAAAAACACAAAAACGACAGGTATGGGTGGGACCTGCCCCGATAAGCGCAAGGGGAGTTCCAACCGACCTCAGAGCAGCTCATTTGCTTCTCAAAACTCCGGTTGGTGCTGGTTTGCCTTCCTAAACGGGGAGGGGGCTCAAATCACCATCCTAAAAGGGGTGGGGGGCTTCTTCTGCTTCAAAATACTGTTACACGATCCTCAGGGGGGGGGGGGAGGGGCGAACCTCGATTGAGACACACCCTGGCCGGGGGTGCACTTTGTTGAATAATTATCTTTGCATTTGTTTTGGGCAGTCTTCCTGCAGTTCGACCTGGACTTCATCAGCTTTAAGCAAAGCTTGCGGCTAGCCGGCGCATCTGATCTGACAGCTTGGCGTCCGGCTTCAAGGCCGTTCGGCATTTGCGAACATTTCGCTGCACAGACTTTGCACCTGAAGGAATTCAAGAAGCTGACCTATCCCTGAATCCCACCCCTTGCACCCTTACAGAGAGCCTGCAAATAACATGAAATACCCCCCAAGTAAGTCCAAAGAGTACTCATGTGGAGGCTTGTTTGGGGTTGTGCAGGAGTCAACTCTATGCAGCCAAAAGGCCCTGCGTCTACAAACTAGAGACCCTGGTTGGTTTCCCTTGAGTGTTCCTTTTTCCGGTCCGAACATGGTCCCCAGTTTTGACACACGTCACAGCCCAAATGGGGGACCCTCAAACTGGTGGTTGACCCTCCACTTGACGTACGCAGTTTTTCCCGCTGGTGCACGCTCACTCGCTTTGGCCAAGGCTTTCATTGAGCATGTCCATGAGCTTCGGCTCCTTGCACCGCTTTGGATCTTCAAAACAACCGATCCCATATTGCCCTACTTCTAAGCGAGCTCCTCCGTATTCCGCCTTTTGGTTCAACCGCTTGTAATCAGCAAACTGGGGAATTGGGGTAAACATCCAAGTAGATGAACCCTTGGTACAAGTACGGGAACCCCCATCCTTGCCCAAAAGTGTTCGCCCCAGAGATACATACAGCTGAGAGAGAGGTATCATGGACTAACATCACGTGGCAAGGAACAAAACGGAATGGCCGCTGGCCACCCCTCCGGCACAATGTTTGGGTTGGGTTCGGACCACCGTGAATCTCCACTACAAGTAGGTTATAGCCAGGGTGAAAAACCCACCGCTTGTTTAACATGTTCAACCGCTAGTGTTTGAACTTTGAACCCTCCTCAAGGGTCCGATTAAAACGAACACACTTTGCGCAACCCTGGCTCAAACCACAGAACTTCCGCCTGAGCGCGAGCTTGCCCTGCCTCAAGCATGGTGAAAGCGCCTCCCGCTGCACTTTTGCTGACCTCGCGGCTTTCCAATACAAAGCACAGAACGGCATGGTGGCGTTTGGCCCTGGAAAGTCGGCACAGAACGGAAAAAGACGGGGACCCAGAAAGACGAAAGGGGGCCGAAGCCCAAACCTCTACTTCATATGAGCCTTTCGTTTCGGCCGGGGATTTTCCCCCCGCAACCGGCAGGCACCTGGCTGCTCCCAGCCTTGGGATCGACCAACAGGGGCTTGACCTTGTCCAGGAACTTGTCCGCGTACTTGGGGCTTCGCTCCTTGGAAGTCGAATTGCCGATCCCCGGACGTCCACATCATGAGGGTTTCATCATGGGTCCAACGAAACCTCCGTGTGACCTCGCTTTTGCGGCATCAAAGGGGCCGGCCCCGAGCTCGTTTGGGCACTCCAAAACGTCAGCACGGGAAGCCTAGGGCTTGCACCAAAATTTGCTCAACAGTGAGGCCCCGTCTCTCCTGCGGAGTGCGCTGGCACGATTTCCAAATGCCAATCAATCCAGCACTAGCACTGAGCGCCTAACAGGGTTTCTTATATGTCCTCTTGAAGCAACACCCCAACAAAGGGAAACTCAATTCAACATTGGCAACCCACAACCGCCCAAAGGAGGCAATAAGCACTCGAAGAGCACCTTGTCCAGCTCACCGTCATCCTCCTCTGAGGAAATGTCTTGGAAAATGTTGAACCTGAGTCCGCAAGGCCGCGAGAACATCCAGGAGACCTCTCAAGACCAGCAGCTGCATGCTCGAAACGCTGTTAAGAGAGGGCTCGGCCACTCGAGCCATAATCAAATCTGGTATTGCAATAGTCTACCCAGACCCATGTAAAGAATTAGAAAGGCGACTGCAGCCATTTCTGGTTGAGTCCTCCCTTACTAGCCTTTATCTACCCGTGTTTTTGTGGCCCATGTGGCCGAAAGATGGCCAAGCTTTTCTTGTTCAATGAACAAGCTGAAGCTCCAGGGCCGAGGCTTGTGAGCAAGTTTCCGGCCATCACCCCGCATCGTCCTGCCATCTTGGTCCTGCGCGAAACCACGCCGCTGGCGCGGTTCAGGCTCGAAAGGGAATCGGATACCAAGCATTTGGAGGGGTCCCCGGTTCTCGAGGTGCTCGAGCCGCGCATTTTTTTGGCCAGTCATGACCATTCCCCCTTTGCAATCCACGGGGAAAACAAAACGGAAGTCACAGATTCTGGCTCTGCCCGCGCTGGGCTCGCCAGTCCTTCTGAACCTCAGACCAGCCCACCTCCGCCGCCTGCGCAGACTTCGCGTGCACTTCGGTGCTTCTCAAGATAAACCCGCCCCCTTAAAAGCCAACCATCTAAGAGTCGAATGGTCTGGAAGCCGTGACTCCACACTTGTTCTGCCCTCCAACATGGAAGCTCCCAGGCCCCTCTGGGAAGGCTGGCCATCGGCCTCACGGCGCCCAGCCTTCCAGGTCCCCCATTTCCACCGGCCCTTTTTGTCCGCTATGCATGCGCCAGAAGAACTCTGTAAAAGTGCTGATTCACCTTGCATCAACGCTTCCTAGACAAGCACACGTCGGAGTGGGCAAGATCTGCATACGATTGTCATCGCGTGCTTTCCAATCACCTGCTTATGTCTTACGCCCGCCTCCATTTTTGCAAATGGTCGCTGCCACTTCCATCTTGCCACTCACGCTGCCAGGATGGTCTGTTGAGCTGTATTGAACTATAATGGAAAACCTGGCGGAGAAAGCAAAAGCGACGCCAGTGCTCAAGCAATGGCGACGCTTTCACAGAAATTGTCCAAGTTGTTTACTTGCACGTGCAAAATTCGATTCCATGCGCCACCATGGACCTCAGCATCTTTCAACTTTCAGGGCTTGTCGCACAGCTCAAAGACAACTGAATGCAGGGGTCGACAACCCCTCAGAGGTCTCAGCGACATCAGGATACCCAAGGGCGCGAGCAACAACTTTGGAGACCCAAGGCAAGCATCCGCATAGGTTGCCGGCATTGTGTACACCTCCTGTAAGTCGTGCATTCGGAGCCTGTCGAAAAGTCTGCGCCCACATCCACCCCCACGAAACCGGCAAGGTAAGGCACTCACACACGAGGCTGGCGGGTTGCAACCTCCCGGAACCTTGACCTTGCCCGAGCCGACAGCCACAATCCAAACCTGTCATGAAAGCAGGTCTACCCAAATCCCATGGTAAACATTTTCAAAGGCCAGATATCCACACCTGTTTGTAGGCGGACTGCCCCCAATGACCTTCATGTGCCCGATTCGGTGTAAGGCCAATCTCAAAGAAACCAGCCACGGGAAATCCTGCAGAAAACTCCTTGATTTCAATGGGTATTGGGCAAATGTCCTGTACAAGTTCCTGCTTGTTTCTACGACCAGTGTCCATATGCGAGTCCGTTCTTGAGGGTACCCCGTTTTTCCATGGCAACCAAGCGGAAAGCCGCTGCGCCCTGTTGGGGGGTCGCTCTCCGCTCCGGGCCGCGGGCCTTTCGCTTACTCCGGGCCCTGGCCAGCCAGCTCCTGGCCGGGGGGGATGTCAATGGTTTTCCTCTTGGGTCTGCCCGAACACCAACCAACCGGTTGGTTTCCCTAAAGAGATCCATGAATTTGAAGGAGGCCGCTGTTTGGTGGACGACGTCCTTCTAGGGGGATTCATGTCCACCCGCTCTTGAGGTCGTTCCAACTCTTGAAACTCATAGCCATGTGTAGGTGTGCCGCATGAAGGAACCCGGTGATGGAAAGGTGATCAGTCACTCACGTTGCCCGTGCCTGAATGTAGGTGATGTCGTCCCAAGGATGACGGTACAGCGGCTGCTTCAGCCTGACACCATCCGAGCATTTGCAGGCTCTTTGGACCCTCTTCTCCCGTGTTCAATCTGCTTCACCACGTGTCGTGCAGCGTGTCAAGGTCAGCTCACGCGGGTCCCATCCAAAAAACGGGGGAGATTTCAACCGCGAGACCTCAGCTGATCCAGGTAGTGGCCAATGAAGCCAATGGATCGGCCTGACAAGTCGGAGGCAAACGCCGCTGGCCCCACCGCCCCCAGAAGAAGACTCTACAAGTGGATTGGTTTTTTGGCGGGGGCGGCCGGGGGGGGGTCCATGTTGATCCAGAGTAACACATTGGAAAGTTGGAAAGCAAAGTCGGTTGGCTTGCCAAGGCGCGGTGTCACGTGCAAGGCTTCCCCAAAGCTTCACGGGTCTCCAAATGGAGGATAGAGAATCCCCGTCTTAGGGCTGGATGTTTGTTTGGTTTCCATTTGAACCAACCCCAATACGGGGAACCCCCACAAAACAAGCCACAGCAGTCAGCATGGCTTCGGCAGGTTTCAGCGCGCGAGTCACGCCTAGCACGAAGAGACCGTTGAGGCAGCCGAAGGCCATCAGGTCATCACACTCTTCCTGGAGGTTTCTCTGGACCCGCTTTTTGGTTGGCAGAGGGAAAATCACAAAGCCGACCTTTTTAGGGACCCAAATCATGCGGGGAAAAACACTCCTATCCAAAATCTGGACATGGGTTTCTGACTTGTTGGGGCTTTTTGGGCCGCCATCATTTCCAATTCGGGGGCGAGGGTGGTGTTGTCAAGTCTTGCTCCACCGACCCAACGACATTGGGCCGTCCCCTCCCGTGAACTTGGAAGGCCCAAAAGGCGCGCCGGCCTTGGAAAAGGCGCCGCAGGAGCGGATCATGTCCACAAAGGACCTCAGATCTGGAAAGACGAGCACGACTAGGACTAGGACATTTTGTTTTTGAGCACAGGGAACAACAAATATCCAAGGATGCCCAAAAGGGCTTCCTGAAAAGGGAAGCCAGGAATGCTCGAGTCTGCCTTGGGGCTTGCCGAACATGGAGCCCTGCTCCAATGCAGCCGGGGCACACAGCGATGCAGCCATCCACGTTCAGGATGAGGTTTGCCCTCTTCTTGGTGGTGATTTGCTCCTGAGCCAAGCTCCCTTGGTCTTCAAATGGATACTTCGGCCCGTGTGAACCTATTCCCCCCACAAACTCGGGAAAATTGAGACTCTGAAAAATAGCGGCGCCGGCCCCAAAGAATAGAACTTGCGGTGTCAGATGATTTCAAACAAATGATGCAAGTTCAGCTGCGAAGGATCGCCAGATCGGGGCCCTGCAGCTGGGTTGGTCTTTGACCCTGCAAAAAGACACGCCGTGTTGTTCCCCAAAGGCTGCATGAAACTGAAGGTTAAAGAGCATCCGGGCCATGGGTAAACTCGCTTTACCCCTGAGTGAGCTTGCTCTCATTCAATCGATGGACTCGGCGGTTGTCAGCTACTCATTTTGAGAATACTCAAACACTAGGGGGCCCTCAAACTGGCCGGGTTCAGCTGGAAATATCCCTTTGAATTGTGCTTGGAACCGCCCCAAAGCAATTACTCTCAACTCACCTGGCCCACTTGGGTTTGTCTTTGTCTGGGGGTACCTCCTTTTGGTGGTTTTAAAGTGAAACCAAGAGCCATTTTGGGGGCTCCAACCTTAAAAAGGACCTACCCACTTAGAACCTGAACCAAACTTCGAGCCAAAGGTGCTACCGCCAAGGCGTAGTCGAGGACGGGGGTCGACTTGAAGTTCTTCTTGGCGAAGCCCTTGATGATCTCCACCTGTGAGTTAGGCGCTTCTCGTTTTGGGGCTGGGTACCCATTGGTTTGGTGGCTTCCAACAAAAAAACTACCGTACAGATCTTTGTTTATTTGTGTATGATCATTGTTTGGTTTGGGTACTAAAAAGAGACAAACCATTTTGATGGCTAAAGGGAAACGAAACAAACAGATGCCAAGACTTTGAAGACAGACACCAACAACCGTGTAAAGGGAAACCAACCGAAACCAACAACATGCAAATGGAAAATCGGCTGAGGTGGGCGAATCGACAGCCGCGAAGCACTAGAAGAGATAGGAAGAAATACAAAGACATAGAAAACAGACAAAGACATAGGAAGACAAAGGAAGAAATACAAAGAAATTGGAAGACATGGGAACTCATGGGATAAATCGGAAAACATAGGAAACGATAGGGAAACATAGCAAGAAATAGAAAGTAACAGGAAGGAATAGCAAGGAATAGGAAGGATGGAGGGACGGAAGAAAGGAAGAAAGAAAGGAACAGCCAAAAATACGGAGAGACAGAGACAAAGAGAGAGAGAGAGAGAGAGAAAGAAAGAAAGAAAGAAAGAAAGAAAGAAAGAAAGAAAGAAAGAACGAAAGAAGGAAGGAAGGAAGGAAAGAAGGAAAGAAAGAAAGGAAGGAAGGAAGAAAGAAAGAAAGAAAGGAAGGGAGGAAGGAAAAAAGGAAGAAAAGGAAGGAAGGAAGGAAATCCAGGAAGAAAAGGAAGGAAGGAAGGAAGAAAGAAAGAAAGAAAGAAAGGAAAAAAGGAAGAAAAGGAGAAAGGAAGAAAGGAAGAAAAGAGAAAGGAAGAAAGGAAGAAAGGAAGAAAGGAAGAAAGGAAGAAAGGAAGAAAGGAAGAAAGGAAGAAAGGAAGAAAGGAAGAAAGGAAGAAAGGAAGAAAGGAAGAAAGGAAGAAAGGAAGAAAGGAAGAAAGGAAGAAAGGAAGAAAGGAAGAAAGGAAGAAAGGAAGAAAGGAAGAAAGGACGAAAGGAAGAAAGGACGAAAGGAAGGAAGGAACAAACAAGCGGAAAGAAAGAGGAAGTAAGGAAAGAAGGAAAGAAGGCAAGAAGAAAAGAAGGCAAGAAGGAAAGAAGGCCAGAAGGCAAGAAGGCAAACAGGCAAACAGGCAAACAGGCAAGCAGGCAAGCAGGCAAGCAGGCAAACAGGCAAGAAGGCAAGAAGGCAAGAAGAAGAAAAAGAACGGAAGAGAAGGAAGGAAGCGCCAGAGAGTGAGAGAGAGAGAGAGATGAACAGCATGGATGGGGAGTCTCTAAAACAGCCACACCTTTTGGATAGCATGTATGCGAAACCCAAGGAAACCAATCAGTTTGGGAGAGCGAACCAGAAAAGGGCATTCTACAGGACCTAAGCCAAACCGTCGGTATTTGGCTCATTTGTAGATGAGCAAAACCCCTGGATCTGAGGGCCGCGCCCGCTGATCGGGGTTCGCCAGGGACTTGATCCTGTGCCCGATGCCCATGATCAGCTGGTTGCTCTTCTTCATCTTGTCGATCCAGTCCTGCCACTGCCACAGAAATCCCGCCTTCCGAGGAAGGCCTAAATATGTAGCAATGGGTCAAGCATGCATAAGAGCAAGTTGGTGTTTCCTAGAAGCGCAGCAAGCCAACCGCAATCATTGGCTATGGTGTTCATGTGGTGTGCCTTCAAACACCATCCAAAAGGGATCCTATCCAATTTTAGTCCAGCCATGGCCAACATATGATGATGTCGTGGACATGGAGAGCTGGTCCCTCCCCCAGCGCTTGACCCAGTTAGGCGTTGATTGCGGCTCTGGAAACATGAGACCCCGTTTTGTTTGGTTTGGGGAACAGAAGCAGGAGGGTACCACATCCCATTTTGGGGCTCCGCTCTGCGCCATCGACCAACTCGGAAGCTCCTTGGGCGCCACGCCGCTGCTCTGAGCGTCCGCAAACCTGATACGTTCAGTCCGGGGGGCCCAGAGAAACTCCCGTTCATTCGAGTTTTCAAGAGGAACCCCCGCTCGGTCTGTACTAGGACTACTCAACCTGGCGGATTTGTTAGGGGGGGGTCCCTTGGTGGAAAAATTCATTTCTACCCCCCACATCCTCTGACGAGCGAGGCAAGGGGCATCTTGGCCGCGTCGTCCAACGCCCCACCAAAGCGGGGGCCGATGGTCAGCAGACCGCTGCACAGGGACGACACCAGGTCCTTTCCTGCAGCTCCCGCAGAGTGGGGGAAGCACCCAACAAAAGGATGGTTCATGGACTATCACCATGGCTTCTTGATGTCCACCCTTCAGGGTCGGGCTTCTAAAAGCCCCAATCCCAATAGGGGATTGCCATACCGCCTTTGAACAAGGCCCACAAACGTTTCCTTGGACGTTGCAAGTGAGGAATGAGGAAAAGAGGCCCTCCTTTCCGGTCGGGAATCCACCCTGCGAACAGCTTGGAGGCCCAATGTCCCGACTTCATTTGCCGCCCCACCTGCACGTGCCGTGACGATGGTGTTGTGCGCGCCGCTCACAGCCGGGCCATGGTCAGCGGTGACCATGAGGATCATCTCGATGAATTTGGTGCAGTACTCCTGGCACAGGTTCTCAAGTCGGGTGTCACTGACATCTTCCCAATAAATCCTCGAGTGTTTAGGGGAACCCCTCCTTTTTTTCCCCGTCTACTGGACCCAAGGCCCGACCCTCAGCGCTTTGAGGGCCCCACGGGCAGCTGGCGCCGGAACCACAGCAGGGACAGCACGCCGCCGATGCCAATGTCCTGTCAGTGTCTTGTTTGAGAGCGCCCTACAGCTTCCCCTTCGAAACAAACCCGCATGTCCAGAAATGCTTGCATCGAAAGCCGAGTCTTGCCAGCCCTCGCTTCTGGCCGGAGTGGGTTCAAAAGGGCCTTTTCGGGGGATGGGAGAAGCAGCCTTGAGCAGAAATCTTTGCCATTCTCCGATGTTCCACGCACAAAAGCTTCTGAACAACGACAAAAGCTCCGGACGTCCAAACCTCACCCCGCGCTGACGCGCAAGACATGGCATCCTTCGTGAACACATCGGAGATGGACATGCCGCAGTAGGTGAGTTCCTGCCGGGGCCAGGAACTAAAAGAGCGCGCAGCCTGAGGGGCCACATGTTGCACTTCTGGCCATGTGCCCCATTTTCAGGCATCTGCCGGATTAAGAATCGCATGAAACCCTTCCAACACAGACCCAAGCGACTCCTTCTACAAAACTTCCCCCCTCGCTGCTCGGGCCCGAGTTGGCTACCACTCGTTGGCTCCGCACCTCTCCACGATCATCGGAGATGGAGGAGATAAAGTTGGCAGGCTTCCTGCGAACGTCAGGTGAGCCCCAGGCGCGGCTCGGCGCGTTTAAGGCGACCTTTCACCACGAAAGGTTGGCCTCCTGTTGGCAGTGCGTTTCATAGCCCGAATCTCGAAACAGTCTGCGCTCTGCGCTCTTCCCCCCGCCCCATTTCAGCCGCACAAAGTTTGGCCGGCTCAGCCCTCTGCCTGTCCAGCTGCATGTCACTCGATTAATCAGGAACTTGGAAAGGGCAAAGCGAACTTAATCTGGCAAACCTGTGTCACACAAATCCTCATGGTGGGCGTTGCCAGCTCATCCTTGCACCAAACACGTTGCAAACATGAAGTGGCTTCTCAGTATGCAACATTAGATAGATCCCAAACATTTGTGTGCATTGCTGAACGATGTAGGCTACACCTGGTTCAAAATCATCAATACCTCGAACATCAGGATACGGCCAAATCGTCCGGTTTCACCTTTTCGGGCACCTCGTTTTGAAAGGACGGAAAGACACGCCTCGGGTGCGAAGACCCGAAAACCTGCAACTGTCAACCAGAAGGAGCTGGAAACGAGCTGTCCCGGTGAAGCTGAAGGAAGCTCACACCCATGTCCAGGCAAAGCTGAGCACAGGAAGGGAGTCCTCCCTTTTGGGGCTGCTAAGCCAAAAGGAAACCAACAGATTTGGCGGGCGCAACCCATTTTGAGACCAACCCAATTGGAGAACCTCCATTGAGGAGGTGGATGAAAGCGGATTTCGCCCGCTGGCCTGATCATGCCCAGCTTCTTCGCCCAGGTGTAGTCCATAGGCACCTGGCGAGCTGTTTTGGCGACGGCGGTGGGAAGAGGCAGCGGGTCATTTCTGCAACGCCGATCGAAACCCAGAACTTTGCAAGAGGAAAGGACGTGTTCGAAGTGAGTATGCTTGCTTTGGAAAGTGCCCCCCTTTGTGTGTGGTGTCAAAGGAAAACCAAAAGCAACACCACAGTTGCGGGGGTCTCCCCCAACAAAGACACATGTCTTCAAAATGTCGATGGGGGCGAACGACTGGATGGCCGCTCGTGCGGGCCAAGGTCCGGTCAGCTTTCACTCAACACCTTGCCTGGGGGGTTTCGCCCTCCGGGGTCTCCACGATCTCGCCCTCTTCGACGAGTTTGGTGTAGACCTGGCCAGGCTTACAGGTAGCGTTTGCATCACGGACGGCTATGAACAGTTCATTCTCGTGTTTTGGGCAAATCACCACTAAGGGAGGACAATCAACAACTAGCTGTTTGCGCCAGCATTGCCCTTTTGCGAACAAGAGGCCATTCTGGGTTGGGGTTCCCTTTGTTTCTTTTTGCGGGACAGCATGTTGCGCTTCAAACATCTCTTTGGCAATGCGCTCTTTTCCCAGTGTCAAGCCTCATCCTCGGTCATGATCTGTTTCAACAACTTTCTATGATTTCCACCCCTCCCCCGAAGAAAACAAGGAAGAGAGGAGTACAGAACCACCACATGACCATACATACGACGGTACAAAATACAATAGAATACATACATATATATATATACGCATGCATACTATATGCCGTTGTATACCGCAATACTCCCCTTGAAAAAAGCCTTGGCTCCCTTGCCTGGTTGACCATGTCGGGCAGCTTGTCGAAGGACTCAGGCACATAAAAGCCCGCTTCCTTCATGGCCTCAGTGCTTGGGCATCGTGAGAGCCCCACGTGTTTCTCTTTCCTTGACGAGCGCATCGACCCTATTTTGGGCGTGTCCTTGGCAAGGTTGGAATTCTCCAAAAGGGTGTTTTGCCTTTTGGCTTTCCCTTGAAAACGACAAAGGGCCACTGGAGGTAACTTTGAGTGAGGGTCGCATTTGTTGATTGCCCCATGGCCAGGGATGGTAGATTCCCGGAGACCCCAAAGTGGTTGGTTCCGTTCAGGGTGTCCTTTCCAACCCAACCAAAAACGACCCACATTTTTGGGCAGCCCCGAGTACGCTCTGCGCTTGCCTTGTTCTTTGCAGCAGCAGTCTCCATGTCGCCGCGCGCCTGCACATAACAATTTGCAAGGTTGAAATCACAGTCACAGTCTTTCAACACGTGTTCCTTAGTGAGACGGGCATTTAAACCTATTTCGTCGATGGTGTGTACCTGACTTCACTTGTAAATCTTGGCTGTCGCTCACATGTGTGTCCCAAAAAATAGGGGACCTCTAAAACTGGGTTGGTCCTTCGCATCAACCTCGGAAAACGGGAAAAGACAAATGAACAGTCACAACCACCCAGGACAAAATACCCAACATGAATGGATAGATCTGCCGCTGCATACGGTATTGCCAAAGTAATATTCACACCAGTGCTAAGGGGGGTTGACTATAGACCTCACATGGAAACAGCCCGTTCTCGCATCTCGCCGAGCCTGGGCGCCCGCGTGTCCGAACTGGACCTGCCCGAGAAAGCGGGTCGGGCCCCGTCAGCCGAACTGGGGTCCGCGAAGCAGAAGGGAACATGGCTGGACAGCCACTGGCCGCTGCAAAAGGCAGAAGAAGTCCCTGCGCCGTTTCGCCGCGACATCATGTGGTTGATGGTGGAATGCATCTTCCACGCGGTGTCTGGCCGCCAAGCCCGAGCATCTGAAGAACACCCGGCCCAAAGTCTGAGGTCACCTAACTCGACTAGTGACTGGAGCTCCGCTGGAAGGTGATCCTGATCCCGTGTAACATGAGACACCCCCCATCTGGCTATGAATCTCAATTGGTGATCCTTTGCTGAACATCATTTGCGTGAGCATCATATGGGTATGTCAAAGTTAAACCACCAGGGGACCACTGATCTTAGTCCATGTCTCCATTTGCTTCCGTTTTGGGTACCTACTTTTGACCCACAGCCATATCTCCAAGTTTCAGGGGAAGCATATCCTCCCCACAGCCTCGGTGGTGAAGCAGGAGGCGCAGGTGCCCACACACCAGGCCACCACGGGCTTGGTGATGCGGCCATTCTTCTTGGCCTTTCGGGTTGGGGCGTCCAACTTTGGGTTGCTTTCTGGGGTGTTGTTAGTGTTGCTTTGGGGTTTTTTTTGGGGCGTCCAACTGTGGACGTTGGTCACTTGCTTTTTGCAGGTGCGGCTTTTGGGACGGTCCGTGACGAAACTGGAGCCTCTCGATTTCTGTCGACACTGGGAGTCTTTTGGAACTTGAACTTCCCGGTGTGAATTCGACCCCTGGATGGTATGGTATCAAAGCGGTCGCTTTGTTGGGAGCAAGCACAATCCGGCTAGTTTTGTTGACTCCAGCTGCGTCCCACATAGGGAAGGATCCCTATCGCAGAAAGGGGAGGGGTCCCATCTCCATTTCTAGTCTTCTCCCCTGCAACCCAAATTGATAGTCTCGGCCCTTTTCCATTTTTTCTCCTCGTTCGTTGCCCCGTAAAGAAAATCAACCGCGTCCCCGCTCCAGCATGTTTAGGGGATCTAAAGCGGTCAAAAGAAGCTCAGGCTCACTAACCCCGAGGAAAGGACAGAGTCAAATGGATGTTTCCAACACTAGGCAAAACCCAAAAAAGAGATCGAGGCTTCATGCTGGTTGAAACCGCTGCCCTTCGGAAGATTCCAACTGGTTTGATGGCCAAATGGAGGGCTTTAAGGAAACAGATCCATCCGAAAAGGCACGCTTAGACAACACACGAGGAGCACAAAGCATTCACGATGAAAGCTTGTGTCGAAGGGGCCCGCTCTTTGTCCCGCTCCAAACCAGCGGAATGTTTTTGTTCCCGTGTTTGGAGCAGGTAGGGTCTCGCCCACATTTGCCAAATCGCACACGCGGGTGAAACGAACTGGGAGCCCCGAATGCCCACGCGCGTCGCCTCGATGAGGTCGTACTCATCGGTGCCGCCCACCTCTCCCAACAGCAGCAGCATCTTGGCCTTGGCGTCGTCCTGCCATCGTCCCGCCGGCGCTCGAGAGGTTCTTACTGGCCGTACTAGACAGGGGTAGTGGAGATGGAAACGATCATCTAGTTCCATGGTTATCGGGGTTGCTTTGAGTATGAGTGTTATCTCTATTGCTGCTCTTGCATTATCAAGATCATGACTATCAATATCATTATGATTGCTGTGCATTCAAGCCCAAACGAGCCCCATACCAAAATTGTTGCTATCCAGTCCGACGTTGTAAAGCTTCACCAGCGCAGCCACTGTTCATCCTCTGGAACTAGTAGACAACCATGCAACTGACATGGCTCAAATGCGTCTCGAAAGGCAGTCATTACAATTCTGTTTCTTTCCCTTTGGTTTCGCTGGTGGCCCAAACAAGTGACCCGCAGAAAAACAAGCCAAAACCTGCGCTTTGAGGCGAGTGGAAACCAGCCTGGTACCGCAGGAAGTGGTCCAGGAACCGGCTGCCAGGATATCGGTCGCCGCCTCGCGAAGGATATCGGCGCTTGTGGGTTCAAGGGCGACCCTGTGCTTTGCTTGGCTGATCTATCTTCAGAACCCAGATGAACACTATTCTGCCTTAGATGCTTGGTCAACCAAAGAAGATGGCGAGCGAGTGATTTGGTAAGGCTGTAGCCGATCGCCACTCCCTCGTAGACGCCATCGGAGTTGCGCGCCACGATGTTGTTGAGCTCGTTGGACCTGTCCGAGCTTGGATCTACAGTAGATGCCCTACATTATAGCAATCAGAGGAAACTTGGACACCCTACACTTGACCAGGGTTTGTTGGACGTGGCAAGTTGCCATGGAAGCTGAATGATTGTGTGGGGTCAAACATAAGTACCCAAAACGGAACCCTGGTACATGGCAGCATGGGCTAAAAACCCTGCTGTCCCCTGGTGGCTTTTCAAGTTTTGAGCCATACCCGATTGGGGTGCTCAAGGACTCATGTACACAAGCTACTTTTAAAGGGACCTCTTGGATTCCATGGGCCAATGGCAAAGACCCAAACAAACCCGCTGAGCTCCCCGCATTCCTCCGGACTTGGAGACGTAGGCCACCGAACCCGGGCGATACAGCCGGGACATCACAATGTTGTCCAACCTCACAAGACACTGGTTTGCAGAAGAAGAAAAAAAACTGGCAGGCAGACTCACAGGCAGGCAGGCAGGCAGGCAGGCAGGCAGGCAGGCAGGCAGGCAGGCAGGCAGGCAGGCAGGCAGGCAGGCAGGCAGGCAGGCAGGCAGGCAGGCAGGCAGGCAGGCAGGCAGAACAAAACTGGACTAAGGCAACGCTAAACTAAACTAAACTAAAGAAAGCAAGCCAAACCAAGCAAACCAAGAAAAGAAACATACACACAGACACGGACACGCACGACCACACAGCGACGCAAACACGACACACAAACGCACTCACGCAAATTGGGATCTACGATATGGGAATTGCTGTTTGAAATTGGCAACCCTCCTTTCGGGTTGAGTCTCAACGCGAAACAAGCAACCCACGTTGAAGAACTTGTGGTTTTATCCCAGCTGGGCGCTTCGCTACCAAAAAACGCAGAAAGCGCACTTTCCGGCTGTCGCCGCTTGGGGCGCAGGCATGCCGCCGGTGTTGCCGATCCGCAAGCAGCCCGGCTTGATGCCCCCCACCGTCGCAGGGCCGATGATGCCTGGCAAAAGGACGGAGGGAGGAATGAGGCCCGGTTTCAGCTGGAGCTAAAAACACAAGCCGCAGAGAAAAACAACAAACAAGGGAAACGGACCTAACACTCAACCGCCAGGGCCTTGTTTTTGTGGCCTTCATGAATGTGGCAATGTCGGCCTCACTAAGCCCTCAAAGTGTTGCATGCTAAATGTATTTTTTTCACGCGGGTGTCCTTTTGGCAAACGCAAAGTTGCACTTTTTGCACACAGCGCATGGGCAAAACAAACGAATTGAGGAAGCACCTACCATTTGTGTCTTTGGCCCCTGAAAGCCACACTCGGTCACACTGGTTGCTTATGGGCAAACAGTCAAGTTCCAACAGTTAAGATGAAACGCACCAAAGAGCGACCCAGTTTTGGGGGAGACCGTTGGCGTAGTTTTTCGTGTTACAACAAGTGGCAATCAGGCCTACGCCTCTCGTCCTCCCCAAAAGCATGAATAGATGGCAACTCCCTGGGCACGCAAGACGTCCGAACGTCGAGTCTGGCCTACGCCCTTCTGCTCAGCGACCTTGATGATGTCCCTGGTCTGCTGCTCCGGCACGCCCTCCGAGCTTGGGGTCCGCAAGCCAACATTCGGATCCATGCGCCCCTAAGGTTGCACCCCGGGAAGCCATACCCCCCTGGCCAGGCGTCAAAAAAGGGCGTTGTGGAAACCGGGCGCCCTTCTTGTCCCGAACGAGTCCCGCCTCCGCAATGATGGCCACGGTCTTCAAGTTTGAGTGGTTCATCGCCTGGCGAAAGTCACGAATAGCGCCCCGTTGAAAGGCCACAATCCGTATATGGGTGATTGTTTTGGGAAACCCCCGCAATGGGTTGGTTTTAAGGGAAAGAACACGGAAAACCCGACAATGTTGGGGTCCACTAAAAAGACACCCCCACATAAATATAGTTGCCCTAAGGCCCTAAGAGACACAGGACGAGTACTGTCCCCCGGCTGTTTTCTGAGAGACCTCGTCATTCCCTCAATCTCCCTGCCGAATCAACCAGAAATTCGCTGATTTGTTTGACAAATCTCATGTGAATGTGACTCATATGTTCCACGTTGAAACTCCTCGAAAGGGGGGAATCCTTAGCCGAGCTCCCTCTAACGGCTCTCTGCGAATCGATAGATTTTATAGAACCACCCTTGAAACTGAATCACTGCCTGTCTTAACTGGCACACGGGGCAAAGAAGCGCGCGTGCGCGTGTGCGTGTGCGCGTGTGCGTATGCAGGCGCGTTCCCGTGTGCGTGGGCGTGTCAGTGCGTGTCTGTGTGGGCACGATCACGTGTGCTTGTGCGTATGTGTGTGTGTGTGGTTGTGTCTCTGAATGTGTCTGTCTGGCTGTGCGCCCGTATATCCGCGTTTGTATCCGTGTGCCTGCGTGTGTCTGCGTATCTGCATGTCTGTGTGTTTAGGCGTGCCCTTTTTCACCCTTCGTGCTTTGTGTGTCAAAGCAACGAACCAGGGCCTTCGGCACCTGTATCCGCGTGGGCGAGCCTCCATGGTGGTCTCGTGGACGGATCGGAAGGACGCAAAGTTCACGAAGACCGATGTGGTGGGGTGCTTCTGCACAGCCTGCGCCAGCCGACAGCAATTTTGAGAAGCCCTCGAAATGTGTACTTTAATGGACCCGGCTGGGTCACAGCCCTCCAAAACGTCCATGCCGCGCCTCTTTGGTGGTGGTGTACACCGGCATCAAGATCTGGCGGCACTATTCGGTGCCAGAAGCTGATCATCGAAGAGCCCCAGATACGGGGGAAAAAGGCAAGATCTTGTTGGGCCGCTTGGTTTCAGCTCTGTTCCCCCTCAGAGGTACACCCAGTACAAGGTGCACAACATTGGCCCGTCAGGAGTCATCTCTCGCAGCCGCCTCCTCTGTTCCCCAGTAGAACTTCACCTGGGCCAAACCCCAGGCAGACGCTTTGAATCATTCAAGGCCAGAGGTAGCTTATGCCCCCGAAAGCGCAAAAACCCATTGCCGCGTTTGCGTCTACCTTGGGGGTCTCTAAAACATGCATGGAACCCTGCTCAGGCATGCAAATCACGGGCGCTCGTGCTCGCAAAAACAGCAAAAACGCCCACTGGCCCTTGCAGACAAGTCACGTAGTGATTTCCTTGCGCTCACGGCATGCAGGCTTCAAAGCCATGTGGTGGGGACCATTTGCACTTAACAAGGCGGAACAAGGGACAACTTTGGGTCAGCCAACGGGGGTACCTACTTTTCACAACCAATGAGCATGTGCAGTGACTCCACTCCAAATTCAGGTGAACAAAGGAAGAATCCTTACGTCAGGAACCAAATCACGGGGTGAAATCGCAAAACAATCCTATGAGGTCGCTGTCACTGCCAAGAAATACGACACCGACAAATGGCTCTTGGGTTTGCTTTGGGCCCCTTCCAAACCAACCAACAAGGGGTGTCCCCACTCCTGCCCGCAAAAAGTGGTTTCCTTTTGAAACCATCCCCCCACCCCGGAAGAAAGATATGAAACCAACACACACAACAAAAAAGTATGAACCAACCAACCAACCCGGAAAAAAAGAAGAAGAAAAACACATTTGAAACCAACAAACCCCATAAGCCAACCAAAAGGGCCCCAAATTGGCCCCAGAAAGAACCAAAAAAAGGAGAAACAAAAACGCCCCTATTTGAACCCGAGCCGCCGGAGAAGGGGAAGATCATCGCCTCCACGGAGGGCTTCTTGCCTTCAGCGACTCGGAGGTCGATTACCGGCAGAAGCAGCAAAAAAGTGGGGCCCCAAGGAAAACCCCCAAAATGGTTTCCCGAAAACTGGTAAAAACCCCACAATGCTTCCCAAAATGGCTTCCAAAAATGGCCCAAGAAAAACCCCGAAACTTGGAAACCCAAAAAATAGTGTGCCAAAAGACACCATGAATATCACGTCTTGCTTTTGACTCAACTTGAATTGTGTCCCAAAAATTACTCTTTTAGCGTCAAGCTTCAACCTCGTCCCAAAAAGGTGCCGAGCCTCGAAAAACAGAGACCCAAACGCGCCATCCCCGGGACACCATTTGTGGACTGCTGGGTTTGGGGCTCTGGGCGTCTGTTGGGTCTCAAAAATATCACCTGAGATTCCTTTGAGCTCCCCTTTAACGCAACCTTGCAACATCCCGGCAACACGCCGCGATCCCTTGAGAACAAATGAGGGAAGGTGTTGCGAACACGAGTGAAAAGACGTGGCGACTTGAGGATGCTACCATATGTAAAAGTGGCCGCTGGATTTGTGATTGCGACTGTCCCCCCATCTAAAGGGCCTTGGCCAAGAACCAAAAACACCTGCCGAGAGCAGTGTGTCGGGCTGGCTGGAGTCCAAGTGCATCGGAGCTGCGCTTGCACATGAAGTCAAAGTCCAACATGCCTGCGGATTTCGGGTGCTAAACACGTGGACTTGGAAGGAGGGAGTCCACATGGAATTCATAGCGCCTGCTTTGGAGCTGCTCTGGGGTCCGCTCGCTCGCATTCATCCGCGCGCCGCGGTGAGGCGAGCAATTGGGACAGCCCCTAGTTGAAAACCGGGCAAGTGAAATCAATCGTCGGGGCTTCCATTTGGGTTCCAAACTCATGTAGTACCAACAACCTGGCGCCGAATGGCAACTGCTTGTTTGGTCACCAAGCTTGCAACCCTGCTGGGAAGCCGCGGGCACCAGGTGGAATCCGTGCCTTGCACTGCACGATTCTGCATGCCGTACACGATGGACGTCGTGTCTGGCCTTCAGAGCATGATCCACAAGCAGCAGCTTAGGAAGTCTCTGCGACTCAGCCGACGATGGCCGAGGCTGCAACGTGGCAGTCACCAGAGTGTGCTTGGTGCCTGACAAGCGCCCAAGCATCGAGGGTGCCAAAACTTATTGAATTTCGGTTGGGTTTCTGATACCATCCTTTCGGACACCCAAACTCAAAAACTGTTCCAAACTTGTCGCATGTTGTCAAAGCAAGCTGGGAGCCGAAACATCATGGAAATGAGCGACAGGAAACGCTATGGCTATTTTCTTAGCAAAGAGTTGTTTGTTTCCATGACTGCCGTCTGCCTGCAGGTGCCGGAGGGTGGCCCTTCGGGGTTGGCCTGGCACAAGCACTTGGAATGGGCACACACAACAAACAAACACGAATGCAAACAAACCAAGAAACTAAGAAACTAAAAAGAAAAAGGAAAGAAAGGAAGGAAGCAAACCAAGAGACAGACAAACAGGACAGGACAGGACTGGACAGCACAGCACAGCACAGCACAGACACACAGAACACTGACTCACAAACGCATAGACACAAAGAGACCCACGCGAGCGAACATGTGCGTATTTGGTTGCTTTGATTGATGACACGGATGTTTCCTGCCAAATGGGGACTCTCTCTTGGTGGGTTGAAAAGGACATCCAAAAGGGAAGCAGTGTTGTTGAGGGTTCCTAGCACCCGAATAAGCACTGGGCCGCACCACGATTCAGAAAGCATGCCGGACGAGGCTTCTTGCCCTTGAGGTCGATCATCTTGCGGACCTCGCGCTTGCAAGAAGCTTGGCACATCTTCCTCCATACACTTCCACAAACATGTCCAGAACGCGACCTGCCCCCCACCAAAGCGATCTTCCCAAATCACCCAGGTGTGAATCAGGGGCCGCCCCGCAAAATCGGGGCGGCGTCCACTCAAGCCCCGAAACCTGACGCAAGCCCCGGAGCCGGCCGCCCGCTCCGGCCCGCTCAGCCCGCGGCAGGAGGGCCGCAGGGCGCGGACAGGTCCGGCTCCGGCAAGGGCTCGATGAGCCCCAGGGCCATGGGGATGATGGCCGTGATGTGGGTCTCCGGGCCGTAGACCTGACGCCATCGGGTTGGTGCAAGGGTCCTACCTATGGGAACTCAGAAACCCGAGGACTGGAAGGCAGACATGCTGGCAGACATGCTGGCAGACACGCTGGCATACATGCTACACTGGCAACACAGACGCCACGCAGCCTTTGCAGGAAAAACACACAAACAAATACTCGGCGTGCCGGACGAAGAAGCTGACAAGCAGTGAGAGCTCAACAGATACAACAAAGCAGTGAACAACAGCGTCAAACTAACAAACAATCAATAAACCCAAATTTTTTTAAAAAAAAAAAAAAAAAAAAAAAAAAGAAAAAAAAACAACAACAAGACGATAAAGCAAGATCAACTACCAAACAAAAACAACAAAGCAAAATAAAGAACACGAGAACAAAACACAAAGAGATGCAAAACACAACAACACATGAAACAAAACAAAAAGAGACCAAACAACCAAAAGAAGAAGAAGACAAACAAAGAGAAAAAGAAAAACAAAAGAAAGAGCACCACTTGTTTCGGGGACCTCAGGGCCCCGCTTGGCGCCTTGATGCCGAGGCCCAGCTTGTCGCTGGCGGTCTTCACCTTCCTCAGGCCCTCCAGGTAGTTGGGCCCCGCGCGGCGGATCAAGATCTTGATGTTGTGCTCCTGAAAAAGAAAAAATCCAACCAGCAAGCGGAGGGGTCCCCTCACTCCCCACATTGTTTTTTGCTTTTTGGGCACCTTCATCCCCAGCAAGCAGAGGGCTCACTCTTTATGTTTGTTTTGTTTTTTGGGCAGCTTCAGGTGGTCATTCGAACCCACCGTTGTCTTTCTTTTTTTGGGCACCTTCAGGTGATGATTCATGAAAAGGGGAACTCGTCAGGTGTGGTTTGTTTTGCCTTTTGGTTCTCCTTTAGAACTTTGTTGGGCGCCTTCAGGTGTTTTTTGCCCCTTGTTGCCCTTAAGAACCATACAAAAAAGGTGCTCCTCAACAGGTGGTTGGTGGTCTTTGGTCCCCCAAGAAAAGAACATCCAAAAAGGTGCTTAGCGGGCTAGAAGACGAGCAGAGCCATTTGGGGGCGACACAGAAGAAAACCAGGAGCCACAATAGAAAGCTCGGAGGCTTGGCTCAAAAGTGGGTGTGCCCTAAAATGGGGCGTGTTGACTAAGTTCAAAGGCTATATGATTTGAATGGCCCGAACCATGGCAGGGGACTCTGGCGGCGAGTGTGACTGACAACGGTGACAACAACGGCACTCCCCCCACAACTGCAACGAATGCAACAGAATCGACGCGGCCGCAGCGGCGCTAGCGACAAGGTTGACGGACAGCTACGACGAACGAGAACAATTGCCAACAGCCACGGCGACAACAAACAACTCTGACTAGCCAAGAATTCAAGGCGAGAGCTGTAAACCCTCCATGGGTCTCAGGGTCCCGTGTAGGGTTGGGCCAATTTATCATCTAGCCTTCACATTCCCTGCAAAGGGCCCCATGGTCTGGTGCAAACCGACTCTTTGAGAGAGACTGTCCAAGCGAGCTAGACCCCTTGAAGAAAAAAAATCTGCTGGCACCCCAAGGAGAATCAACAGACACACCGCAAAACACCGCGCTTTGCCACTTCGCCCGTTCGGCCATCGCCCCCTTTTTTGAAGCGCTCCTTGATGTCATCGGCGTACTCCTGCAAGGCCTTGATGAGGCCAGTGAAGGTGGCCGCCACATCGGTGAAGTTGGCGATGCCGCCGCCGATGATCAGGAACTTGCCGTCCGGGTGCTTGTACTTCCTGAGGCGGAAAAAAAAGAGAAAACAAAAACGCTTTGAGCGGTTTGGCCCGCATGAACTTGGAAGGAATGAGACCCGACTCAGTATTCGGTCAAGAGCGCAAGATCCCGGCAGGTTTCAACCCCAATCACGGTGGCTTCATTCCAAGCGTCATCATCAGAGACAGCAAGGTCTTGGCATACACGAAGGTCTCCTCAGGGCTGCGATAATTGCAACCACTTGGGTAGTACCAGTAGCAAAGTGGAAGGCGTTCCCAAGGAATTCTGCACTCACAGGGGTGGTAACGTAAACTCCGGCTTCCCGGTTCCCGAAAGGCATGACACTTGAGGAATAGCGCCTGATTTTCCCCCGCAGAATACCTGACCAGCTGTTGCCCCACCCATTCCGGTCCACGTGGTCCTTAAAAAGGCAAGACCATGTCAATCCAGCCCAACCAAACCAACCAGGCTCCAGGTTGAAAGCAAGGTAAGCCATATTGTGGATGGACGAAACCGTTCTCACCACCCGAGAATCCCTGGAATGATGATTCCCCCGTAAATACCAATAAAAACAATGATTTCAACCATGGTTTCCTTTCATGGTGCGAAAAAAGACGCGGACTTCGCCTCCTCCACCGCATGACATTTTCGACCAGACCGACTTTTCCGGCAGGCGCCGACCGATCCGACCGATCTCTGACCACTCCGAGCTCCTCGGTGGAGGGCGCCCCCGAGTACTCCCCGTAGTTGGCCAACTCGTGGCCCATGCCGTAGTCCGCCACCGTGTCCGCGTAGACCACCGAGGCGCCCCCCCCGGCCACCATGGTCCACACCCGGCCCTTCTCGTTCAAGATCGTCAGCTTCAGCGAGGCGCCCGTCCTGGAAACAAAAAAGCCGGCCCTTTTTTGGTGCCAAAGGGTGGGAGAACAAAATGAGGTTTGGGGAAACATGGGCAGTTGCCCCAAAGGAAACGCAAGCACCCTTGCTGGCCGACTTTTAAGGAAAACTTTTAGGTAGACCCACCACAAAGGGAAAGTAGTAGTCCCTGTGCTAGGCAACACCCATTTGCCATCGATGGCTTACTCTGTTGCCCTTTGCAGTAATAGTCGTCTCTGTTGTCTGTTCTTGCCGTTGTTGCACTGTCTCTTTACTCTATAAGGGAAACCACCCGTTTTGGGGGGGTTTGGTTGGCCCAAACTTCGCAGTGCGGCAGAGAAGGTACATTTGTTGGTTTCCGACTTGCTTTGACGTCCCAAAACTCTCCTGCCGTCCATCTCGTGGATCAACGCCTCCTCCGGGTAGGCGGCGCGCCCGAAGGGCGGAGGCCAGTCCAGCTCGCCCCATCTCGCAGCGGACAGCAGAGCCCAGCAGAAGGTCGCTGGTAGGTTTGGTTTAAAGGGAAACCCTACAGAAACCAACCTGATCAAAGGGGAAAGAAACCAAGGCTTTTTTGCTGTGTTGCGGCGCCTCCGGAAGAGGTAACCCCGAATCCGAAAGGGTAAGCCTCTTGATTTGGGGCGACCCATCGCTTTGCAGAGAGTATGTCGCTGCTTTGTTTGTTGCAGAGTGTGATTGCGGAAAGTGTGCTTGTTTCGGAGACCCCTTTTCACATGCAGGGTATGCCGAAAATAAAGGAGATACTCACCCCGTTCGCTTTGTCTTGTGCGGCGACCGTAAGCTTTCTGTTTGGGTCCACCGCATATTCATGTTCCATATCAACTGACTTAAAGCAAACTCACCAAAGCTAAGTTGGAAGCCCCTCGTTCCTTTCAGCTTCCCTTTCAAGCAGCCCCAAGGGGCCACAACAAGGGCACGATCTTGAACAGTCCACCAACCGACACGCGGAGATTTACTTCCACCGACTCATTGTTGAGTGGGGTCCCACTTAAAAGGCCATGGGGAATTTCTCCTGGTTGATAGCTTTTCTATGAGACAAACCCTTGGACCAGGCGCCCGCCCGATATTTGATGTGTCCTCTTGGAGGGACATGTAATTATATAACATATTATATGTATATATGTATTTTTATACATGTATCTATGTATACACACAGGTGCGTGAACTTTTGTTGTGTATGTTAAGGAGAGAGAGAGAGAGAGAGAGAGAGAGAGAGAGAGAGAGAGAGAGAGAGAGAGAGAGGAGGAGGAGGAGGAGAGGAGGAGGAGGAGGAGGAGGAGGAGGAGGAGGAGGAGGAGGAGGAGGAGGAGGAGGAGGAGGAGGACCCCGACCCTTCCCGAAGCTTCCGGCGCCACCAATTCGGCCAAGCCGCTTCTGCGCCACCAGGAAGTTGGCCGTCTCGTCGATCTTGGCGGCCATATCCAGGGGGATCACCGTGTTGTCGTCCAGCATCACCAAGGGATTGATCTCCAAATACCTGAGACCGTGGTCCGTGCCTGATTTCTGAGACGATCCATAAATGCAGCCAAAATCGGGTGGGCAAAAAGTGTGCTCCTTTTGGATTTCCTTTTCGAAGGACCCTCAAAAAGAGACAAATCCTGGGCTGCTCGCAAAAGCTTCCACTGGCAAACCATCCCCGAAAGAGGCGTAATTCGGTTGCACGCACTTTTCGAAAGGGGGTTGTTTCGCACAGATGTTGTTTTTTAGCTTGTTTCGGGGTGCACCTCAAAAGCGGCCTGCCCTACACCAACAGGTGCCACCCCTTTTGGTTGAAAAGACTGCTTTCAAGAGGACACCAGTACCACTTTTGTTTTCAGGGTCTAAAAAGTACAACCCTGCCCGGTGGGACCTCATGTGCCTACCGGCCCTACCGCACCCAAAGCCCAGCTGCAAACATGTTGCCGAAAAAGCAACTCAACAGACCAGTGCCTTTTTGAGCCCCAACCTAGCGAAGCCTTGGGCAAGCCTAGGTAAACCCTAGGGAAGCGTTGAAGAAGCGGAGGCCTTGGAAATGATTCAATTCTAGGTGAAGCTGTTCAAGCTCGGTGCGCAAAGTGCCGGCTTCTCGAACGCCGCCCTTCAAAACAAGCCCTCAAAGAAGGGGAAGACCCTCTCAGAACAAGGTCCATCCAAAAGACCCGAGCCAGGAAAATGGACAGGCTTTCAACACGCATCTCATCCAAAATCCGAAGCGCAAGAAGCGGAGGTCCGTTTCCCAGCAGTACCCTCAGAACAAGGGGTTGCCGTTTCGCACACCAAAACAACTGGCAACCATCTTGCCATCATCATCATCATCATCATCATCATCATCATCATCATCATCATCATCATCATCATCATCATCATCATCATCATCATCATCATCATCATCATCATCATCAAAGTGGACGGGGTTTGCACCCGTAATGCTAAACTAGTACAATTCCTTAGATCCCCTCTGCTCATCTCATCCAAGATCTGCAAAACAGAGGTCGCTGAGATAAAAACCGTTGGTAATCCACTCAACCAACGTGGGGGGAGGGGGAGGGAGCATTCCTCCCCTCCCCTCTATGGACCCCAAAATCTCAGCCTCTCCTCCATCCGAGGCGCGCGAAGTGGAGGTCGGTGTAGAACTTGTAGAGGCTCACGATGAAGGACGCCATGTTCGCCTTCTTGGCCGCCGGCAGCTTGCTCAGCAGCTTCTCCGTGACCTTCGCCTCCGTCATCGCCTGCCGATGAAGGTCTGTCTCGAAGGAACAGGGGACCTTGGACGGATTTGGTTTTTTGAGGGTATCCCCAGGGTTGGCGTCAAAACCAACAGGACATCGGGGGGGTACAAACTGAAAGAATCTTGGGAGCGTGTTTTTGAGGTGGTCGCCCCGTCCAGAGTAAATCCAGGGGTACTCAGAGCAGCTACATATGCATATCTATGTATGTATGTATATACTGTGCCTTTATAGACAAAGAGAGAGAGAGAGAGATACAGTATGTGGCACAATGGATACAGCCCACAAAGAAGCATGGCTTCTCAGCAAATTGAGGTGCACACCGACCCGGGCAAATGACATGTGCCGCCGAATCACCTGGTTCAATTGGGCGTGAGTTTCAATAGGGGACCCTTTGGTGGACACCATTTAAAGAAATGTTGTCCACCGGCTTCCAGTTAAAAAATCACACCCATTTGAATTTGCAAGTGGATGCCAACCCTGGCCAACACTCTTGAAGTACTTATGCATTTGGGCAATGGCGCTAAAGCACCCAAACAGTTCAAACATGCCTCCAGCCCCACCCGCAACCTGACCTGCTGATTTGACTGGCCAAAACACGTGTGAACTTGTTCTGACTTTTTCAATCATGAAGAAGACACTGACAAAACAAGTATTTCAAGGTTGCCAACTCAAGAGCATTGTTGTTGTAATCAAAAACCAAAACAAACCCAATGCCATGTTTTCAAGAAACCCGAGTCCCTCCAATCCCCTGAAACCGTGTTTCCCTTGGGGGAAAAACAAAGGGGAAACCGCCACCCTTTTAAATCTGGCACATCTTTTCGAAAACGTTCATTTGGCTGTGGCTCAAAAAAGTCCGGTACCAAAAATGGAGCTCTGGCAAGTGGACACATGGACCAAAATCTGCGTAACATTCAGCAAGAACCCCAGACGGTAAGTAACATACCTACCCGCGAGAGTACGTTACTTACGGACGACTCGCTTCTTGAGCCAGCGGAGCGGGGGGGGAGGTTACTTACTTACTTACTTACTTATTTACTTACCCCTGAACGAAAGGTTAATGGAGGTACAGATTTTCGGGACGCCTTACGGAGGTACTTTACTTATTACTTGTCGGTGAGTAAGATACCGACCATTGCGAATATGTTGGTCACTCGTTCACTTACTTACTTGCTTACCTACTTTCCCGGGTTTCGCGTGAAGGAGGTTGGTTGCTTATACGCTGACTGACTTACTTAACTACCTACGGGCGCCTCCGGACCTGAGCAGCACTTGGCTCGGGGCGGCTGCCAAAAGTTCGAAGCCAAGGGCTCCGCCTTCTCCACGTCCCCGCCCGTCCTGAGAAGACACGGCGCTCTGCCTTGTGAGCTCGCTCGTGGCTTTCTATTTGCGTCCCAGGCGCTCTGCCGCCCTGTGCACTTGCGGCGCTCAACGCTGCCAAGTCCTCCCGCGCCGCGTTGCGGCGGGGAGCCTTGGCGTGAGTGCGACAGAGACGTGGCGAAACAAAGCCGAGGCCGCGGCGGAAGAAAGCTTCTGCGCAGCCTTGACAGCCGCAGCGCCGCGGCTACAAGAACAGCGCAGGCGCAAAAAGCGCGAATGAGGGCCCGGCGGCTGGGAGCGGGAGGGGCTGCAGGAGTGGCCTTGGCGCGACAAGGCGCGTGTTGCGTGGCAGGAGCCTTCCAGGCCCCCGGCAATCGGCTTCTCACCCGCCGGCGCCTGCGGCGGACCACGGGCGCCCTAGCAAACTCTGAGCGGCGGGCGCGCTGAGAGCCGTGCAACGACGCGCGCCCGGCGGAACGCCTGCGGCGGCTGCAAACGTGGCCGGAAAGCGCCTTCCCATCACTCGCCTGCAGAGGCGACCCAGCAAAGAACTAAGCCCTGAGCCTGCTTCGGGCGCCTGCCTGAGGGCCGCTTTAGCTGAAACAAGAAAACAGCACGCTGGCGCGCGCAAACCAAGGCGCCCAAGGGCCCAGCCGAGCAAAAGCGCCGCGATTCGGTGCCGGCGCCGGCGGAGCGGCAAAGCTCCGCGGGTCCTGGGAGGACGCGCCGCCGCGCTTTGCGGCGGCGGCCGGGCGCGAAATTGAGGCCAGGGCAAAGAAGGGCATTCCGAAGCCGTTCACCTCGCGAAGTGCAAGGCGCCGGGCGGCGAAGCGCGCAGGCTGAGGCGGCGGCCCAAGTCGTGCGCCACGGGCGCCGCTTGAAAGTAGAGCCCTTGATCGTCCGGGCAAGGCGCTCCACCTGCGAGAGAGCGTGGCGCGCTTGAGCGAGACAGAGTTGCGGGCTGGGGGCAAAGGCCCGCGCGCCCCGCTGGAGGTAGCGCAGGAATCACCCGTCGAGCCCGCAAAAACCCCACCGCTCGCGCCAGCGGCGTGAAGGCCGCCGCAATGCGGCCCTCTGGCACGGCACCAAAGGGGTCGTGAAAGAGGCTGTCCAGGAGCTCACCGCCTGGCCACCGCAATGAAAACCAGAGTTCATTTCTCCCCACTCTTGGGATAATTCCTTTTGGAGGTCGATGTACGTTGAGCTTGAAAGGAATTTACTTCATAGGACCGCAGAAATCGTAAAAAGTCCTCAGTTTTTGAACCTCGACCACGCGAATCTCCGCAGAGGCACAGTCGCAGACCTTAATTGCTAGTCCGGGGAAAGCCGTGGGCCGCCGTGCCTCCCCCAAGTCTCCGCCGTTGGCCTTGGCACTTTCGCGCTACGCAGTTCTCCTGCGCGGCTTCGAAGACTCGGCTCCCGCGCCACGAACTCCGCCTTGTTCGGGGTTTAGGTAGTCAGTTACTTACTTACTTACTTACTTACTTACTTACTTACTTACTTACTTACTTACTTACTTACTTACTTACTTACTTACTTGCTTGCTTGCTTGCTTGCTTGCTTGCTTGCTTGCTTGCTTGCTTGCTTGCTTGCTTGCTTGCTTGCTTGCTTGCTTGCTTGCTTGCTTGCTTGCTTGCTTGCTTGCTTGCTTGCTTGCTTGCTTGCTTGCTTGCTTGCTTGCTTGCTTACGGACATGCTTGCTCCCAGTAACAAACGCGGTACATAACATACCTACCCGAGAGAGTATCTTACTTACGTACGACGCTTCTTGAGCGAAGCGAGGGGGGTTACTTACTTACTCACCTACTTACTTACTTACTTACTTGCTGACTTACTTACCTACTTACTTCCTTAGTTACGTAAGCTAGGCGGTAAGCGCCATACCTACCCGCGAGAGTATGTTCCTTACGGACAACTCGCTTCTTGAGCGGAGCGAGGGGGCGGAGTACTTACTTACTTGCTGACTCACTTAGTTACTTACTTCCTTACTTACGCGCAAGAGTATGTTACTGTTAATGGAGGTACAGATTTTCGGGACCTCTTACGGAGGCACTTTACTTATTACTTGTCGGTGAGTAAGATACCGACCATTGCGAATATGTTACTTACGCACGGCTAAAGTCGGCCAGTTGTTCACCTACTTACTTGCTTACCTAGTTACTTATATGCTGACTGACTTACTTAACTACCTACCTACGGGCCGGGTTGGGGGTTAAGGTAGTCAGTTACTTTCTTACTTACTTACTTACTTGCTTGCTTGCTTGCTTGCTTGCTTGATTGCTTGCTTGCTTGCTTACGGACATGCTTGCTTACCCGAGAGAGTACGTACGACGCTTCTTGAGCGAAGCGAGGGGGGTTACTTACTTACTCACTTACTTACTTACTTGCTGACTTACTTACCTACTTACTTCCTTAGTTACGTAAGCTAGGCGGTAAGCACCATACCTACCCGCGAGAGTATGTTCCTTACGGACGACTCGCTTCTTGAGCGGAGCGAAGGGGCAGAGTACTTACTTACCTGCTGACTCACTTAGTTACTTACTTCCTTACTTACGCGCAAGAGTATGTTACTTGCGGACGATTCGCTTCCTTGAGCGGCGGGGGGGGGAGGTTACTTACTTACTTAGTTACTTACTTACTTCCTTACTTACCGAATGTAGGCGGTAAGTAACATACCCGCCCGTGAGAGTATGTTACTTACGTACGACTCGCTTCTTGAGCGGAGCGGGGGGGGAGGTTACTTACTTACTTGCTTACTTGCTTACTTGCTTCCTTACTTACCTAAAATAGGCGGTAAGTAACATACCTACCCGCGAGAGTATGTTACTTACGCACGACTCGCTTCTGAGCGGGGGGGGGCCTGTTACTTACTTACTTACTTACTTACTTACTTACTTACTTACTTACTTACTTCCTTACTTACTTACTTACGTACTTATTTACTCGCCTAAAAAAAGGCGGCAAGTAAGATACTTAACAGTCCGAGTATGTTAGTTACGGACGACTCGCTTCCCCGAGCTTGATGGAGGTAAAGGGTTTCGGGATGCCTTACGGAGGTACGTTATTTATGACTCGTGGGTGAGTAAGATACCTACCATTGCGAATATGTTAGTTACGCACGGCCAAAGTCAGTAAGTCACTTACTTACTTAGGTACTTTACGCACTGAATCTAGGGGCCGAGTTTCGAGGGAAGGAGGTTGGTTACTTACTTACTTACTTACTTACTTGCTTGCTTACTTACTTACTTACTTACTGACTTGTTTTTTTACCTACCTACCTACTTACCTACCCTCTTACTTTCTTACGAGCCGGGTTAGGGGTTAAGGTAGTTAGTTCCTTGATTACTTGCTTACGGACCTGCTTGCTCCCAGCAAGAATCGCAGTTGCACCCTAGGCGGTAGGTCACATACCTACCCGCAAGAGTATGTTACTTACGTACGACGCGCTTCTTGAGCGGAGCGGGGAGGGGGGCGGGCTGCTTATTTACTTGCTTACTTACTTACTTCCTTACTTCCTTACTTACCTAAAATAGGCGGTAAGTAACACACCTACCCGCGAGAGTATGTTACTTACGTACGACTCGCCTCCTTGAGCGGAGCGGGGGGGGAGGTGACTTACTTAGTTACTTACTTACTTAGGATCTTCTTACTTGCGGACTTGCGCGACGACCCGCGCAATGGCTTCGTTGATTTTTCCGCGTGCAAGTATTTATCGGCCGCTGTGGCGTAGCGCTCGCGCATCTGTCTTGCGATCGCGCAGTCTCGGTCTCGAGTCCTACTGGTGCGCTGGGCAACGAGACACTTACTGATATTTGTTTACTTACTTTGCTGCTTACTTACTTACTGACTTACTTTCTTTGCTGGCTAACGCGCTTACTATCTACGGACCTGCGCGCCTTCTTTTTTTGCGAGGGGGGTTGGGGGGGTTAGTGAACTCCTTACTTAAAAATCTGGGGGCGGGGGGTAGTAAGTACGTAAGCAAGCAAAGAAAGCAAGTGAGTGAGCCAGTAAGTAAGCCAGTAAGCAGTAAGTAAGCTAGTTAGTAAGTAAGTATGTCGACGGAAGATGTTGTTTCTTGTAGGTGGGCGGATGGTTTGTTACTTACTTTCTTACTCGCGGGCCTGCTTGCCTTATTTTTTGTTGAGGGGGGGGGGAGGGGGGAAGGATGCCTTTTTTGTTGTGACGTCGTCGGCGCCGCCGTCGAGGAACTCGTGCTTCAGCAGCAGGGCAGAGGCCGTCGTGTCCGCCTGGACCTCCGTCGAGTGGCCGGCCTCCAGGGTGGCGTCCAGGATGTGGAGGCAAGCTTGGCGGATTCGAGCTGGAGGGCTACGCCATGACCCTGAGCGCCTTCGCCTGGAACATCGTGCGCACCTACACTCTGACCATTGTGGCGCAGTGATCACGCCTCCGTCTTGCGATCCCGAGGTCTCGGGCTCGACCTCCTGGTGCGCTGGGTGGCGAGACACTTACTTACTTGCTTACTGGCTTACTTACTGTGCCTGCCTGTGCACTGTCTTGCGTACGGACCTGCTTGCCCTTTTTTTTACGGGGGCCTGGGGGCGGGGGGTTACTTACCTACTTACTTGCTTACTTACTTACTTACGAACCTGGGGGTAGGGGTTTGCTTGCTTGCTTGCTTACTTACTTACTTACTTACTTACTTATTCACTTACTTACTTACTTACTTACTTACTTACTTACTTACTTACTTACTTACTTACTTACTTACTTACTTACTTACTTATTCACTTACTTACTTACTTACTTGCTTGCTTGCTTGCTTGCTTACTTACTTACTTACTTACTTACTTACTTACTTACTTACTTACTTACTCACAGGCCTGTTCTTTTTTTTTGCGAGGGGGGGGGGGGGTGGGGGGGTTAGTGACTTACTTACTTACGGACCTGGGTTCCTGATGGTAACATTAAACCTGTTCAATTTTGAGCCACGTCATTTTTTTGTTGCCGGGGTTTTGTGGGGATTCCTCACCTTTGGAGGGGAACACCCCCGTCTTTTTTATACCAGCAGGGGTGTGTTCATCCGCGTCCACATGGCCATGGGTCGAAACCCAAATCGTACCCCCAGTGAACATCCCAATCCCCACCATTTGTTTATCAAAAAATGGTGGTGCACCAAAAACCCCACATTGGGATCCCGTTGGTTTTGACCCACGGCCATATCATCAGGCCTTTTTGGGGCTGTTTCGGAAAACCGGTTTTGACCCATGGCCACATGAATGTAGGTGAATCATAATATTTCACCAGCCTGGACTAAGGTGGTTGCGGTGATATTCCCCACCATTTGGGGTGAATTCGGCCGCCTGAAATCTCTATGATTCACCCAGATGAATCTTCCGCCCGGGGCTGCGCGCAAGCTGCTCGCTCGGGGCCCCCGTTTCCGGCGGGCGCCTCCCCGGTGGGCAGCTCCAGCTTCTCCGCCTTGGCGTCCACGTCGCCCACGTCCACCCCGCCCTCGTGGTAGAACAGGATCTCGTCGTGGTAGCGGTGGGACAGCATGCAGATGTAGTGCTCCTGCTCCTGGCAGAGGGAAAAATGGGATTTGAAACAGTGGAAGAGATGGCTCGATTGTGGCGCTTTTTATTCTTTTTGGGGTGTTGGCTTGAACGGGCAAGAGATGGCTGGTTGCTCATCCATGGAAACGGGGAAGAGATGGCTGGGTGCTCATCGCAAATTTGGCTGGAAGAAGAAAACGGAAGGAAATGGCTGGTGGCTCATCTGATTGAACGAAAGCGACGTATAAAAATGAACAAAGAGAAAGGGGAGAATCGAGACCTGAAATGTGAGAGAACAAACAGATGGATTTGCAAAAAGGTAGCCCAGTTTCCAGCAGCCCGGCGCTGGGCCTTCCTTTGGCTTCCTTTTGAAACAACTCTCCAACAAGAGAAAAGCGACGACACTTCTCCAGGTTTTCATGGGTTCAATGTGCCTCGTCCCCGATGTCGCCCCCAGCTCCCAGAGTCTTGTCCCGCCCCCAGCTCCTGCTTGTGGGGCACAAAAGGCTCGATCAGGAAGTGGGTGAGCTGTCCAGTGACGTGCTCCACTTTCTGCTCCTGAACCCCCCCCCTGGTGGTTCATGATCCACGGGCAAAGTTGCCAGTCGCTTCAATTGGGGGCGAGTTGTTGTGAGAAATAGGGGATATTAAGTAGACCCCCTTTCCTCACCAAATGAACAGCAGACTACCTGTGATATTACAGACTACCACTAGTATTGTCCGTTCCTTGCTCCCTCCAGTCATCGCCACATCAAACACTGATTTATTTGCACTGTTCCGGTATCCCCCCATTGCTTGCTTTACCTTGGCTCCCCACGAAGCAAGCATAAACAGGCGTTTCCCCAGTGGCGTGAAGGGACTCGACCCAGAGAATCTGTGGTCCTATGGTTGTCAGGCCCCGATGCAAACCTCCAAAAGGGAACCTACAATTGACGTCTGTGTGTAGGGGGTTGCGGAGTTGCACAATTCGGGCCCCCTTGACGGAAACTAAGGGTCTTGCCTCCAAATCCAAGGAATCAAATCAAAGCTATCCGCCCTGGGGCTAGCAAACACCCGACTCCAAAGAACAGCTTCTCAAAAACAAAAAAGAAAGCGGCGTTTGAAGACTCAAACCGGTTGAAGGGAATCGCCCCTCGAGAGCTTCCTCAAAGTCCGGGGGGGCCCGATGCTCCTTGCACATGCGGTCCATCACCCACTGCTTCGCCTCATCGAAGGTCTTGTTCACCGCGATGAGGCCCGCCTTCAATGGCCAAGCCCTTGACGCAAGACACCATCAAACCCCAGTCAAACATGGCTGTGGCTCAACATGTACCACAATAGCACCTTGGTAAGTGCCACCAAAGACTAAAACCCGCACAACCCAAGCTCTTTAATTTTGAGCCACACCCACATGTCCAAACCATCTTCCTTGCTAAAACCGCCGCTATTCTCGTCCCACCTGCCTTCCCTCCCAAATCGGCCCGATTCGATTCGGTCCGAATCGGAAAAAAGCCATGCGCCTTGCCGCGGCGCTTGATGAGCTGATCCGGCTTGGCCACCAGGTTGGTGGTCTTCAGCCAAGGGTTCGCCTGAAAAGCGCCAGCCGTGAATCCCCCTGGGCGTTTCCGAAAATTGGCGCTTTTGGTTCCCGGTCATCAAAAAAGGGGTCGCCTATTTTGAGACAGAACCAAATGTGGCTTTCTCTAGCAATGCGGTGGTTCCTTTCGCGTCCTTGAAAACCAACCAAAAAGAGGTCCCTCCTGTACCTACCAAAGTGCATGTTTTGACTGAACCTCGTATTCATGTCTTTTTGAGGGTATCCTTCTTCGGGTTGTTTAATGAGAAACCAAAACAAAGGCCAAGTTTCGGCCGTCCCCCTTTTTAGATAGAAACACTGATGTGACGACTGGATTCCTGCGTCCTGTTTCCTGGGCATAGATCAACAATATTTATTCGGCTCATTCCGGCTCCTTAAAAGGATGTTGGTTTCTTTGGATTGCAGCCAAGGCAAGGGCATCAGGGAAACACGAGACTTCCACACGAAGCTAGCCAAATACCTACCAAAACCAAGTCTCTGGGTCAACTTCCTTTGCTGGATCTTAGAAGAACATCTGTCGCCAAGGATCCAGGGAAACCCAAATTAAATGAGAATGCGCCAACAGAGGTTTCCCCGTTCAGCAAGGAACTGTCCACACTCCGTGCCATAGCGATTGAGATGCGCCAACAGAGGTTTCCCCGTTCAGCAAGGAACTGTCCACACTCCGTGCCATAGCGATTGAGATGCGGAGCTCAGACCAAGCTGCACAGAGTATATTCGCACGAAAACTGATTCACCTGCGAGGCTAAAACATGCCTGCGAGGCTAAAACAGGCGAGGCTATGTGATTCCTTGTTGTTTAATATTTTTCCGGATATGCATCTTCCTTACAGCGCCGCCTTATGCGTGCGTGATCGCACACCCCTTTTCCCATACGTTTTTGTTGAAGGGAAATCGATATGACTCACACCAATGGCTTCGGAATTGTGAGCTGTCCGTTCCAGGCAAACCAACATCGCCATGAAAACCTCACCTCCCCCGCCCCCTCCTGCAAAATGGAGTCCCAGGTCTGACCGCTAGTTGGGTCAAGCACCGCGGGAGTCACCAGCACCCCTGCGCAGCCCATCTTGTGCTTGCCCCCAGACACCTCCGGAGAACTGCCGCGGCACTGGCAACCAAAAGCCCTGGAGCCTGGACAAATGTTATCCCCTTTGATCCAATAAACCAAAAGCAATCACAAGGAATCAAACATCAGTTGCCAGACCTCCAATGGGAGCTTTGCGATTACCCTTTTTGGGGGTTGCTTTAGCAAACCAAAGGGAAGCCAAGCGGGTGTTGCAAATCCGCAACTTGGAGACATACCCAAATACCCAAGACGAGAGGCAACCAACCAACCAATCAAGAAAGAAACGAATAAAGAAAGCAACCGATCAAGGAAGCAAGCAAGCAAGCAAGCAAGCAAGCAAGCAAGCAAGCAAACAAACAAACAAACAAACGCAAGCAAGCAAACAAACGCAAGCAAGCAAGCAAGCAAGCAAGCAAACAAACAAACGCAAGCCAAAGCAAAGCAAAGCAAAGCAAAGCAAAGCAAAGCAAAGCAAGCAGGCAATCGAGTAACCCAGCAACCGGGGAACTAAACAACCAACCAACCAACCAACCAACCAACTAACCAACGAACCAACCAAGCAAGCAAGCAAGCAAGCAAGCAACCAACCAACGAACCAACCAAACCAAGCGAGTAAGCCGGCAGGCAAGCAAGCAAGGAAGCAAGTAAGCAAGCAAGCAAGCAAGCAAGCAAGCAAGCAAGCAAGCAAGCAAAAAAACAAACAAACGCAAGCAAGCAAGCCAGCAAGTGAGCAAGCGAGCAAGCAAGCAAGCGAGCAAGCAAGCAAGCGAGCAAGCGAGCGAGCAAGCAAGCAAACAAACAACAACACGCAAGCAAGCAAGCAAGCAAGCACGCAAGCAAGCAAGCAAACAAGCGCAACCAAGCAAGCTAGCAACAGCAAGCAAGCGAGCGAACGAGCAAGCAAGCAAACAAGCAAACAAAGGCAACCAAGCAACAAACAATCCAACCAAACCAACTGCAAACCAACTGACCGACCGACCGATCAATCAAGCACTAAAACAAACGGCGACAAGCAGTAACCAAACCCAAATCGCACCTCCGGCAGCAACTTCTCCAGCAGGCTCTTCCCCGCGTGCTCGCGGATCGGCTTGACGGACATGGCGCTAGGGCACGAGGGAAGTTTAGGGTGCACTGAAAATGGCAAAATCGCTGGAGCCGCCGAGGGAGAATGTGCAACGCTCGCTAAAAAAATAGTGGGAGCCACTGATTTCAACCGGGCTCGTCCATGTGCGCCTGGGGGTAGGAGCCCTTGATATATACCCCATCTATGATATCGTAGTAGGTACATTACACATGTGGGGTATGCATCAGGGCAGCTACCCCAGAGGCACGTGGATGAGCCCTTAATGTGAGCCAAGCCGGCCAAAAAGGACACTGTATCTCCCAAATCGTGCCAGCCTTGTACAGCACGAGGGCTCGCTCCTCCCCCATCTTTCTAAGTTCACGGGCCATTTCCAGAGCTTTGCTCAAGGCGACATCGTGGCCTGCAAGACTCCAAGCGCCGCTGTGCCCTTCAAAGAGGATTTTTTTCGGATCCGACTCACTTTCAATTTTGGCTCCACAGAAAAACACATGCTTCCTCAAGATGTGGGAAGCCTCAAAACCAGTGGCATCCTTAGCTCCCTCAAGCCAAGAACGGCGCCCTCAACAAAAGACGCATGACGCCTGGGCCGCGCCTTGCGGAGGGCAACCGCCCGAGCCCGCGATGCCGAAGCAGTGCTGTCTGTACCTCAGCTCGAGCAATGCGTGGTGCGGATGTGGAAAAGAATAAAAGAAAAACCGGGGAACAAAAGACCACGATTAAAAAAAGTGGTATCCCCCAGCAGGAACCACCTGAAACCCTGTTGGGGGACAAAAACAAAAGAAAGACTGAAGACAAATATAAAACAAGCAAGAGAACACACAAGCACCAATAACAACACTGAGAAGACGCATGATGCCTCGCTGCTTTTGGTCGCGGACACTGCTCTCAGCTGTTCGTCCATGAGGACGGTGTAGGCCTGAAGGCGCATCTTTGTCATATCTTCAAGACAAGGATCCCTAATGTGGCTGTGGGTCAAAAATGGGCTCCCGAGTGATTCAGAGCATGCTCAAATGGCAGTGGGTCAAAAATAGGGTAACCCCAAAATGGAAGCCGGCAAATGGAAACATAGACTCAACTCTGCGTGGCGGTGTACTTGTTGACCGATACCCATGTTGTGTCCATGTGACTTGGCCGAATTCTGAATCTGACCCAAAAGAGACATATGTAGGGCTCCCCCAGGTCCCATTTGGCCTGCTTCAGCTTGGTGAAGCCTGGCATGGCATGGCTCCCGTGAGCCCCGGACAACATGACCGGCTTGCATTGGCAAAAAATGGAATCCAAACGAGTGCAGTTGACAGAAAAGGGTGCTCACATCCGCCCTGTTGGTTCTTTTCGTGAGTAACTGACAAAACTACTGGTAGCTTGGGCAGGACAAGCCACTCCCAATTGGAGCCAGCGATTCGGGCTCGGTCAGCATCCGTCGGTTCTCGACCAAGCTTGTCAGGATGCACATATGTGGCCTTGGTCACAATCAAGTGACCTTGAACGAACAGTGCAAAACAAAAACACGGGGCCCCGGCCATTTTATGGTATGCTTTCCGCACTTGCGAAGCGTCATACTTGTTCATATCAGCCTGAGACGCTGCGCTATGCTGCGCTATGCTGCACTATTTTGGGTTCAATCTAGGAGCCCTCCAAAGTGTCAAACCGGTCTCTCCTTACACTGGACCCACAAGAAGTCCCCAGTTTTGACACAAACGCGCTCAGAGTGGCTGCTGCACTTGCAACATGTGCCTCGAACATCTTGAAGAGATCTGTCCCATTCTCCAAACACTGCACCTGCCAGGGTTGTTGTGCCGCTCGTGGGAAAGATGGTCACCCCCCCCTAAGAATCAACTATCCTTTTGGGGCCAGCCATTTGGGAATGTGTCAAAAGGGGGGGTATGACCGGTATGTGTTCCAGCAAATGGATGTGTCTGAACATGGATCCCAAGAATTCGAGCCTGTCCCACTCCACCCAAAGACATTCCCCTATGTTGGGAAACACCCTTTCACTCTGCTCGGCCGGCAAGTCGCCTGCTTTGGAACTGGCCGGCTGTCCTCGCCCTGGTTGGGAATGACCTCAACTCAATCGCACCCGCACCATCCGAGTTGGCGTGCATTTGACACCCGCCCAAAGGGGCTCCAGGATTACTTGGGAAGCAATGCTGGGTTCAAAGTGACACTCTCAAAGCTACCCCTGGAAAATGATGGCGAACAGAAAAGCCTACCAGAAGCAATTGGGAGACCTTGAAAAAGAAGGTGTGACCCCGTTTTGTTTTTCTTTTTCTTTTCTTCTTTTTTTTTTTCGGGGGTCTCTCAATGTCTCAGCAGGCTCCCCTTTAAACCAAACCGAAGAGTACCTTAAAAAACGTCACACGCTGACTTTAAGTGACCCAAGTGTGGAACACACGGAGGGCGGGCATGCAACTCTGGAGCGGGGCGATCGGCATCAGCGGGTCCAGCGCTTCCTTGCCCACCTTCCCCACCTGCATAGGCCCTCTGAGGGGTTCCAGAAACGTCATAAGGTCATGGCTAGCCCACGGTTTACGTTGTCACCTGAGGTACAGCCCAGCCTTGCTACAAGTACCAACCAACCTTTTGGATGGTGCGTACAGGAAAACCAAAGAGAGTCAACACCCATGTGTTGCAAAGCCCAAGCTGACAAACAACGGAGACATGTGTGCAGAACAACGGCACGTTCGGAAACTTTGAAAAGCACATGTTTTAATGGGGAACCAAGCGAATGCCAGCGAATAAGCAAACGAGGGGTAAGAAGGAACAGCACTCTTTCCTGACACCCTCTCAAAAAAGTCGGAAAAGAAAAGAGAACAACACAGGTATGAAGTTTTTTGGGGTGGCAAAATGACTTTCGCACCGAAAGCCCCAGGAAGGAAGTAGTTGAGTGGAATCATACCTGCGACTTCTCGGCCTCTGCGACTTCTCCCTCGGGCGGCTTTTCGGGCCTCGGCTTGTCCCATTCGAAAATCCCGCGATTTTCGCTCGAGCTCCGAAATGGCTTGGCCCAACAGAAACCACCCTTGTTGGTGGTCTGAGACAATCCCCTTTTCTCTCTTCACCCAATCACATCGGACTGGTGCCTGTTTTCGGGACCTTGAAATGAGTGGGGGTTCCTGCCTCATTTCCCCTCAACCCACAAAGCAAAACATTCCATCATTTACCCTCAACCCTGGGAACAGCCCCAGCCTTTCGCTTACAAGTTCCCCGCCCTTTGCGGGGAACATCCCGCCGTCAGCTGAGCTCTTGACGTGGGACCCTTCTCAGCCTGTGGAGCCGCCTCCGCGGGCCCAAAATCGCGTCAGACGCGTCTGGTTTTGGCGGGGGGGGGAGGTCACCCACCAAGATGGTGGTGTCCCTCTTGGTGTCCTTTCAGAAACCGCACCAAAGGGGGACCCTCAAAAAAAGAACAACCACTAGGAAGATGGAAGTTGAAATGAGACGCTTCCGCACGCAAATAGTAGACAACAATATCGACCGTGTCTCAAATCTTTGCGGGTTCCGGACCCCCTACAAAATGAGTGTGTGTCAAAAGTCAAAACAGGGGAATCCCAAAAAAATGCGTGTTGTTCCCTGTTTGTTCCTCTTAAAACCATCCTGCAAAAAGGGTACAGCACCCTAAGAATACAAACCTCAATGGTTGTGTTTAATGACGCATACCTCTCAGCTGGTTCTCTCCAAACGGTCGGCGCGCACCTCTGTCGAAGGGGCAGGGCCTCAGCGTCGTGGAGAATAGAAACCCCCATCGAAACATGTTTCAGTTTCTTAAGGCCTCAACCACAGCCGTTTACACAACCTCATCTGTTGCTCTCAAAAGGGTGCCAGGATTCTGCTGGCCCCTGAATAACAAACCCGGTCATGGAGAGGGATGAATCAGCCAACATCACTTCCAAACTTCCAATGAGTTCATGATCTTTTCTTGGGGTGGTTTCGGGAAGCCCCAGGAAAAAAAATCACTTCTTTCTTTTGGGGGGGTGGGTCCCCTGTTTGGACACCTAAACTTGACTTCTTTCCGGTCAATGTCGCGCTTCCAGCAGCTCCTCTGAGGCCCCCGACCCGGCGCTTTGGCCTAGGCGACTCGGGAAACCTGAAACCGCCTGTTCGGTTCAAGCCTCTGGCCTGCCAAGCGCACATGCTGAAACAAAAAATATCTGCCTTCCGAAGTTGGTTCTATCTGAACCACGTGGAGCGAGCAGTCGACTCGAGGCGCTTGGCGAGTCACTGGGGGACCGACATTCGGCGCACCTGGCGAAGCTGTGCTTGCGAACATACCACCAGGGGTGCCCCACTCCAAACCCGGCCGTGTCTACCAGCCAGAAACAGGTTCTATTCGTTGGAGTCAACGAAAATGGGGTGCGTGACAGTCCTTGATCTAAGCACCATTGAAAGGCATTCACCGTCCAAAAACTCAAGCAGGAGATTCTGAATCCCGGATCAACATTCATGTTAACCCGGGACTCATAAACTGCGGGTTGACTAAACTGGGGTTTGTCCCCCCTATTGGGAGCCCCAAAAAAAAGGAGGGGCCCAAATCACTTCCGGGGAAAGTGTCCCCGGTACTCATCCGCCAGGTTTATGAATTCCGGGTCAACGCTCAGCGCCCGGCCGCTCAGCGTACTCATGGGGATCATGCCTAGGCTCGGAGTTCAGTGTAGACCTCAAGCTCACTAAACAAAACCTGGTGCTGAAAGGTCACTGCTGATAAGGGGCTCTTGCCTCTATGACGGTTTTGCCTGGTTTGCGATTCTATCACTTGGACTTTGCGCCCTGCGTTCCGCAGAAATCACGACTTCGCCCAGTACATATGGCTGCCCCTTCGTTGCGTGCAAACTCCCAAACATACTTCCCGCAAATAAACTGGTGGACCCCCCTTGGGTCATGTGAATTTACAGTGGAACAATGGTAACTGCACGCAGGGAAGGGCAAACCAAAATCCCGCCCGCCTGCGTCTCCTCCGGCCTGGGCTCTCGACTCAAGCCGCCGACAGCCCGTTTCTCGCTGCTTGCGACAAAAAGTCAAAAAGTCAAAAAGTCAAAAAGTCACGACCTCGTTTGGCGCAGGGCGGGGGAGAAAAAAAAAGGAGGAAAAAAGAAGAAGGAAAAAAACGGTACTTCTCGCCCCCCGTGGCTCTTTTTGGGTTGCGGCTCCATGGCTGAGCCTCTGGCATCCGGGCCAGGAGGCCGCGAGCCGCCGAGGGCCTCGATTCATCGATGGCGCAAGGCCATCTCCGCCGACCATTTTGGTCACCCAAAAAGGCTATATGAAATTTCTGTGGTACAACAAAACCCCCCTCTTCATGAGATGCCTGGTGATCAACCCCCTTTACGTTACATGCCCCCTTTTCGGGAGAGGGGTATGCACAGCCGTGGCATGTACCAAAAGGGTACGTAATCGCGATGGAACAAGCAGCTCTGAGGCAGCCGCACTCAACGGGATCATGGCGCTAAACTGCCGCGCGAGCCGCCTAGGCTGCGCCTGTCGGTCAGGATGGCTGCCTCCCAAACAAAATCCCCAGGAACGCCCCGGATATCAGCAATCCCGCTTGCTCGGAATTTAAGACCTGTGCGTTCTGGTCGTGCAGGCAATGGGTCGCGGTCGCGCAGTCGAACGGTGCCACACCACAGCAAGAGTGCTCTGACACGCATGATCCATGCAGAGGGTTGGTCCGGCGCACCACGAATTTACACGGCGCGTGATATGGGTATGGGTCAAAATTAGACCACCAGGGACCGCAGTCCATGTTTCCATTTACCAGGGTTCGATTTTGGGTACCTATTTGTGACCCACACCCATATTCATGGTCCACACAGACCGGCGAAACACACATTTGCAGCGTACATTCACTCCCAACACTCCTCATCCCCGCAGAAGAAAACAACGAGCCCGACCCGACCCGACTCGCGCGATCCACGCACAGGATTGATCAGGCGCAACCCGAGTTCGCACGGCGCCAAAGCCAGAGCCAGCCGACGCATGCCATCCAAGCAAAGGTTCCCCAACGAGGTCCGAAATCATGGCACAAATGCTCCAGCCCACACAAGGGGCCAACCATACTGAAATGTAAACGCAGACGCCAGCTGACTCACAGACAGACAGACAGACAGACAGACAGACAGACAGACAGACAGACAGACAGACAGACAGACAGACAGACAGACAGACAGACAGACAGACAGACAGACAGACAGACAGAGACAGACAGACAGACAGACAGACAGACAGACAGACAGACAGACAGACAGACAGACAGACAGACAGACAGACAGAGAGACAGACAGACAGAGAGACAGAGAGACAGAGAGACAGAGAGACAGAGAGACAGAGAGACAGAGAGACAGAGAGACAGAGAGACAGAGAGACAGAGAGACAGAGAGACAGAGAGACAGAGAGACAGAGAGAGAGACAGAGAGACAGAGAGACAGAGAGACAGAGAGACAGAGAGACAGAGAGACAGAGAGACAGAGAGACAGAGAGACAGAGAGACAGAGAGACAGAGAGACAGAGAGACAGAGAGACAGAGAGACAGAGAGACAGAGAGACAGAGAGACAGAGAGACAGAGAGACAGAGAGACAGAGAGACAGAGAGACAGAGAGACAGAGAGACAGAGAGACAGAGAGACAGAGAGACAGAGAGACAGAGAGACAGAGAGACAGAGAGACAGAGAGACAGACAGACAGACAGACAGACAGACAGACAGACAGACAGACAGACAGACAGACAGACAGACAGACAGAGACAGACAGACAGAGACAGAGAGACAGAGAGACAGAGAGACCCATGGCAGCAAGTCGAAAAACACAAGGTAGAGGAAAACAGAATGGCTGCAGCAAACACAAATGTTGGGCAGTTCTTCAAACCAAAATCACAAGCGAATCGACACAACATTGCTACACAAAGCACGAATCGTTTGCATAATAAATAAAAAAAACTAAATCCAGCCGACGCGGCTTCCCCCGAAGCCTTCCCGGCCTCCAAGGCTGCTACGTCGCGAGCCTTCCCGCTAGTCCCGCTTGAGCCAAGGAGCCGTCGAGCGCCTTCAACGGGAGCAAGCGTAGGTGTCCTTTTGGATTCGGAAACACGTGAGCAGAACCAAGTTCCAACCCGGCGCCATCTACAAAATAAAGTGACCAAAGGGACGCCCCTAGGAGCATCTGGTATGTTGGCAACCCAGGGCCACCTGAAACCTTGAGTATAAAGCTGCCATTCAGCTGTCCCTTATGTGTTTGTTGTTTTGTCCTTGTTTCTTGGGGCTGAACATGTGGCATCAACAACCAGATTCCATGGCACCCTTGCAACGCGAAGCACAACTGAGCTTATGCTACCTAACAGGTGTCACTTGCCAAAAGAGGGAAATCTGAGCCAGCGTTGGGGGCCGGCAAGAGAGAAGCACCTCTCCAAGGCAGCCTTTCTCATAAAGTGACCAGTCCAAAGTTTGAAGGCGAGGCCCCTACCCCTGAAAAGAAATGGAAAGTACAGCTAGCACCCACAGGTTTTGGCACTGCTAAGTTGCAAAGGGGAGCTCTTGGTTCATGACCAACTCTGCCCCCATTTTGGGGCGCTCCCTCGAAACTAGACACATCCAAAACTCCATCGCTCAGGGGAGGTCTTTTCCAAGCGCAGCTCGTTCCAGGTTTCGCGGCGAGTGAGGGCCACACGCTGAAGAGGGGAACGACCATGTTGTCAAACAAGGCTCTTTCAACCGAACACCCGCTGCTCTGGGGAATCACAAATTCCCACCAGTTTCGCCCTGTTCAGAGCAGGACCTCTCTCCCCCTTATTTATGGATAGGGCGCAGCCCAAAAAGAGCAAAGCGGCTCAAATAAAACCAAAAAAAAAGAAAAGCATCTCTTAGAGATGCAGGCGAAGAGCTTCTGGTGGCCCTTGCCCTCGGCTACCGTTCTCCTGACACTTGCGAAGGCCGACGCGTATCTTTTGTGTGGAAATAGGAAGCTATGTCCACGTGTGGGGCATTCCCCAAAAAAAAAGCGCTTGAACTCCGAACCAGCATTCGGTGTGTGTGTGTGTACCAGGGGCCATTTCTTGGCTTCAAACAGAAACCATTTTTTAGGATATGGTCTTGTCTTGAACTAGAGGCCCGAAACAAATGGCTTTGTCTTTGGTCTCCCTTGGCTGGAGAGTTTGCTTTGCCAGAAAAAGCCTTGGCACGGGCTTCACCTGGACAGCTTTGCGTCTCACAAAAGGCTGCTTTCTGGAAAATTGAGAAATCGGTAAACCACGCGATCTGACGTGTTGCTGTTCTTCGTCTTCGTCTTCGTCTTCGTCTTCGTCTTCGTCTTCGTCTTCGTCTTCGTCTTCGTCTTCGTCTTCGTCTTCGTCTTCGTCTTTGTCTTCTTTTTCTTCTTATTCTTCTTTTTCTTCTTCTTCTGCTTCTTCGTCTTCTTCTTCTTCTTCTGCGTCTTCGTCTTCTTCTTTTTCTTCTTCTTCTTCTTCTGCTGCTTCTTCTTCTCCTCCTTCTTGGCGTGTGTTGGCTGACTGAATCGTTGGACTTCAGTGTGACGTCTTTTCGGGCTGTGCTTTGCCGGGTTGAGACTCCTTTTGCAGTGCGGTTGCTTCAGGGCAAGGCTAGGGTTGGGTTTGGGTTGGTCTTGTGGCTGAATCCGGGGAGCTTAGGGATGGCCTTCTTCGGAGTTCGGCTGGTTTGGGCTGGACAGCCAGAATGACAAATTAACAATTACCCCAAAGCCACCCCAACAACTGCAATCTCCAGTAATTCAAGCCCGCCTGCACTCAACCAAAAATCTGCCGTGAGGCAACCAACTGAGGCCCGAAATCCAGGGTGAAGGCCCGCGCCTACGCTCACCTGCCCCGAGTCGGCGCTTCTCCGGATCCTGGATTTCCATCCTGCGTGCGAAATCGGGAACTGCCTCCCGAGGTCTTCCCCGGAAATTCTGGAACTTAGCCAAGTACATATAGTTCATATATATATATATATGTACTTCCCCTCTCCCCCTCCATCTTAAAAACGCGGGGGAGCCGCACGCCAGAGCGTTTTCTGAGGACATCTCTTGTTTGACAAATGAACTTTGTTGTCTAGTCTCTGATTCTGTCTCAGTGAGCCGTTGGAGAAGTGACTCAAATCACAAAAGAAAGCAGGCTGCGTTTTGGACAGCAAGCGGAGCGGAACGCGTAGATTGTGGAGTCTGCCAAGAAGGCAACTTGCGTATCTTGCACAAGACTTGTGTTTGGCAAAAGTCTTGACATGCCTTTTTGCAGATCTTGCATATCTTTTTCCTTCATACTTTTGGTATGTTCTTTACGCGCGCCTTGCTGGGGAGCAATCGCATGACTCAAGGCCTTGCAGCTGCAGCAAAGGGTCGCGGCGGCCGACTCTGCCCCGCTGCGTTCGAGCACATGTGCCATTTGCTAGTTGCTTGCCATTTGCAAAGCTTTGCGTGTCGCTTTAGTTTTAGCACACGCCAATGTTTTCAAGAAGGATGCTCCTGTTCAACTAATGTTGCTCTAGTTAATTTTGATTTGCTTTGTCCTTTGGCAGGGCTGCCCTGGATATCTTGGTCCAGGGTGTCCAGCCCTGACCAGCCCTGACCAGCCCTGACCCAAGATCTTTTGTCTTGAAAACTGCCGGAACATTTCAGAACAGTGCAGGAACGGACATCTGGGTACAATCAAGAGCTCTTCTTCCATACATAGGCACCAAGCTAATTCACTCAGTTGCTAAGTTGCTGGATTGCGCAGCGTCGCAACGATGCGCACGGAACCAGGGACTAATCACGTCCTCTTGTCGCACAAAAAACAACAAACAACTCCGGTAGAAGGCCCCGGCCCAAATTGAAAATAGAGGGCCCAGTTGAATACACAAGCAATGCCAACGCAACACCAAACGTCAAGCTCAGAATATCGCAAGCACGTCTACAACCAATGTCAACTAATTGTACCATGGTGTTGTTGCATTCAGGCCGCTTGCGTATACAGCAAAAGGCGCTTGCTGGAACAAGCTTGATACCAACATAACGATTTCCCAGCCGTTGAGGCTTACCCCCTTTTCAAAAGCGAAGATTGTTGAACTTATTCCTATTCCTAATTCAAGTTCTGTCAGGCAGCCAGGCCACGCAGTCTGGTTCCTACAGAATTCCAGATTAATCCCGCATTATTCACACATGATTCCTGCCCATGTCCGGCCTTTCTCAGCCGCGTTCCACCATCTCAACACATTCCAACGTGTCACCAGTCCAACCTATCCAGCATGAACACTACGGGCTCCATGGTGAATCGAGTTCAAGAATCCTCAATAAAACACTGCTCGGCAGAAACAATAATTACAAAAAGGAGTTAAGCCATCTAGCAGGGAAACCGCTGTGGCGCACAACCGTGTCTCACATTGAGATGCAATCAACCAAGCAAGTCAAAGAAGAACGAAGCAACCTGGCTGTGCGGACCGAGGAACAAGCAAGAACTGCGTGGAGGTAGAACTCGCAACGCGCAAGCAGCTGCAAGCAATTGTTGCTAATGCCAAGTCGCACTGCTCCGGCCTTCGCGGCTTTAAAGGCCATCCCAAGCACGACTAGAACCAAGGACCTCTCAACTGGGACTGGGACCAAACTAGGACTAGACGATCCGGAAAAGTTTGGCCTGCAGTCTTGCATCTTGAATCTTGAATCCAGGCCCGATATGATTTAAGTCGGTTTAAATCGGTTTAAATCGGTTTAAATCGATTTAAATCGGTTTAAATCGGCTTTAAGCGGTTCAATTCGAGCCTGCAGCTTCCAGAATGTCCTTGGACATTTGTCTTTTTCATTGCTTTCCCCAAAGGCAAAAAAACATATAGAAACACTGCAAATACTAGTGAATTCTTCAAAAAGGCAGCCAGGGAGGAGGGGTACCATATTTATATATATATATATATACATACATATGCATATTGCATATGCTTGCCCACTGTAGTGAGGGACTCCTGAACAGAATGGTAGGGAGTCAAGGTCACATTTGGACCTAAACACGGGGTGGTCCATTTTCGGCAAAATCAACCACCTGGGGGTTAGATCTACCTTGGAGTGGGTGTACGAATGAGGGGGATTCCTCTGACTAGCCAACTGCGCCGCTTACGAGGAACCTATTTTTCATGGCGCCATGGAAACTACAAAGTGTGATTCTTCCCAAAGGGGTCTAACTAAGGTGGAACCTTCATCCAACATGTGATGAATCAATTCGAAATCGCGCGCCCCCGGCGAGAAGAGCCCGTCCAGGCGAATCCCATGCGCTGGGGTACAATCGTCGTCAGCCTGGGCCGTTGCTGTGCGGGTTTAGGCTGGGACAAAGGCAGAGCCCCAGAAGGCTTTTCGTGAAGCTTGTGGAAATTCGATGAACCTATATGAAAATGCGTGGGCATGCGAATTTGCCTCAAAATCAAAATGGGTGGTTCCCTTTTGCCCCAAAGAGGGTTCTCTGAAACGGGAAAAATGGGGCCTATTGGTCCAAGTAATTAATCGTCTCGAGATGCCCGGCAAGGTCAAAGAGCGCGAGCATGATCAAACACCCATTCCCCCCCCTTCAAAAGGCATACCACGGCAGCTGGACCTTCAAACCGATCCAACTTTGCGACCAACCCAGGTATGGAACCGTCAAAGTAGTTTGGGACTTCTCATATTGCAGAGATGTCGATCCAACTGTGCACCCAACCCTTGTCAGATCGCACGAAGGCGGTGCGCCCAAAACCCATGATGAAGAGTCAAGAAGGCCGGCGGCCGGACAGCATTTATTACCCCTACTTCTATCAAGGGGACTGTCCCTTACTACTCACCTTGCGTCTGAGTCGCTGGAACCAGCGTGGTCTGGCTATGGTTCCGAGAGCAGCACATCTGGCTCCTGACATGTCTGTCTGTCTGTCTGTCTGTCTGTCTGTCTGTCTGTCTGTCTGTCTGTCTGTCTGTCTGTCTGTCTGTCTGTCTGTCTGTCTGTCTGTCTGTCTGTCTGTCTGTCTGTCTGTCTGTCTGTCTGTCTGTCTGTCTGTCTGTCTGTCTGTCTGTCTGTCTGTCTGTCTGTCTGTCTGTCTGTCTGTCTGTCTGTCTGTCTGTCTGTCTGTCTGTCTGTCTGTCTGTCTGTCTGTCTGTCTGTCTGTCTGTCTGTCTGTCTGTCTGTCTGTCTGTCTGTCTGTCTGTCTGTCTGTCTGTCTGTCTGTCTGTCTGTCTGTCTGTCTGTCTGTCTGTCTGTCTGTCTGTCTGTCTGTCTGTCTGTCTGTCTGTCTGTCTGTCACCCCCTTCTTTGGGTATGGCCATAAATTGAACCCAAAAGGAAACCAACCATGCGGTCACACGAAACGAGTGCAGCCAAGCTTCATAAAGAAGTCGGTAAAGCCTTGGCTCGGACATTTCGAGCGGAGACCTTCCACCCAGCAGACCTAGTACTGCCAAAATGGGCGTCTCTTTGTTGAGGGTACCCTCTGTTCGTGGTTTGGAAGGGAAACAAAACAGGAAACCAGTCATTTTTTGGGGAGTCCCCTAAAAGCACACCTAACTGCCCGTCGTGACTTTTCGGAGGTTCCGTACCCAACGGGCCATGCAACCATGCGACCCCCCCGATAAACTTGCGACAAGCTGCTGGCGAAGCTTGATCGACCACCTGCAGCCAGTGACATTCAAACAGCGGCTTGACGACTTTCGGCTTGGGGTGCAAGCCTTCGCGAAACCAAAACAAAGACCAAGAAGAAGGAGCGATGCCTGTTTTTCCCGATGCCAAAACAACTCTTCAAAGGCTCGGTGGTTACATGGGGGTTTCTCTGAACTCCCGGTGGTGCACCATGTTCCCCTGCTTGTTCCAAGGGCCAGTGGATTTAGGACCCGCGAGCAAAGAAATGGGTGTTGACCGCGCTGAGGCGTCCTTCACAGCGGATCATCTGTTGACTCTTTCCAGGAAAATGCAGGGCCTCATTGATGTGTTCTACACTCGGAGAGCCCCCGCGAGCTTCCCGCGGTGAGGTGAAAGAGTGAACTTCCCAGCCAACCTTTGGCAAGTTTTTGTTGCTTCACTGCGAATGATCAGGGCCAAAGACGCAAAAGGACCAAAACACACTGATTACCAAGAGCCATGTATTTTGTTGGTCAACATTCACCTTGGACCATCGCACCAGAAATTAATGAAACCCTATTCACACTGAGATCAGGCTAGGTCCTTTGCGTCTGTCTACCAAGAAGCGAGCAATGTCCAAGCTCGCTGCACAGCCGATCCCTCCAAGGCCCGCACTCACAGGAGAGAGGGCGTTCTCTGACTTGGCGTGGCGCTCCTGGGTCACGAAAAATGAGCGGCAGGGCTCAAAGAGTCAGCAGTGGGGACTTCCTTTTGGTTTCCAAAGTCCCGCGCCCTTTTAGCTTTCCCATTGGTCCAACTCTTTTCGGCTAGTGTCCGAGGGCGCCCCCGGCAAGAACACATCGAACATGGTACGTGGGGTGTCTTTGAGCGGCAACCGTTCCAGAGTTGTGGCGACAACCGAAAGGGAGACCATTCAAGTCAAGGCCAGCCACTCTTCAAAGGAAAACACCCGCTCAACGTTGCAACCATCCATGTCACGAGCCCGGAGAAAATCCGGCGGCCCGTTTTCGGGGTCCCCTTTGGGCCAAATCAAACCCGGAGACTCCGGTCCTTGGCACTGCGGCGCCGCGCTTCCGTCAGCTCGTCGCGGAGCTCCTTCGGGGCCGCTGTGCGGGGTGTGTCTGCGGGGTGTGTCTGCGTGTCTGCGTGTCTGCGTGTACCATTGCCAGGGCTAGTTCAAAGAAAAGGGAAACCACCCCCTTTTTAGGGGGGACCCTACTGTTGGTTCAAAGGAAGCCAAAAGGAAACCACTTCTTTTTTTTGGGAGGGGGCTTCCTGCTGTTTTGACACGTACCATATGGGTTTTTGGGTGGATCTGTCGAATGAGCTGCTGCCCTTTAGTTTCCTCCGCAAAATAACCACAAAATGGTATCATCCCAAAAAGACATACCCATCAGACCCACATAATGATGCGATGTGAGAATAAACAAACGAGGTGACCTTCGGGAGTCGCACGTGGGGCAAGTGGATGAAAAAGAAAAGAGCTCCGCCGTATCCGGACACTCAAACCGCGGTGCTTCCTGCCGTGAGTGTTGCCAATGGGTTTCCAGTGTTTCATCCGTTGGCATCTGGCAAACAGGAGGGGTTCCGCAGATTGTGGGCATGTTTCCACTTACCAGGGTTCCATGCTGGCACCGGTTTTTTTGAGCCACAGCTATCCGAGAAGACACCCCGCCTGGATCTCCCTCACCAGCTCGCACTGCTTCTGCGAAGCTGCCAGCGACATTGCCTCCAGCTCCTCGCGTGAGGTGCCCCACGTGGCAAAACTTGCGCCGAGTGAGCGCAGACATGCGGAAATTGGGGTGGCCCCTCCACGTCCTCTCCAAACAAGCAGAAAACCATTGCTTTGGTTAGTAGCTCATGTGAGCCACGGTCAACTGACATCGGACTTGGGCGGCTACTCTCCAACCAACAAACAAGGTTTGCCACCTGGGCTCCTTTTCCAAGACTGCCTTCCACAAGGGTGTTTGGTTGCACAAAAATAACCCCGATGTTCTTAGGGTAAGTTGGTTGGTGGTGCGCCCCATGTCCTCCCCTTTGGCGCGATAGATATGGTGAAGACAGAACTCAAAGGGACCAAACTTGGACCCAACTTGCCACGTGCCGACCGTCTCGGCCATACATCCATCTGCCCTCCCTGGCGCTCGTTTTTGTCATACGGCCTTTGAGCAACCAAGTGTGTGTGTGTGTGAAATATGTATTTGTATTCTGTATTCTCTTCTAAGATATCGTTGGACAGATGCAGCTTCCGTACAGGTCATATGAGCAGATGACCCAGAATAGCAGCCAGGCATGCAAGGGTTCATACATCGTACCAAAGCGATCCATGGAACTCAAAGCCGTCGCCGAGTTGTACCCTTGACTTTCCAACCTTCGACGGAAAGAAGGCGGATTTCTGCTTCGTTTTGAATCGTGCAAAGCACAAAACTCGTTGAGTGTTCGTTTCGTTCTCCCAAAGCGGATGACGGAGCGAACAGGCGTCAAAATCCCTTTAAACTGAGTGATGGCAGCCCTTACTCAACTGTCCAACAGGGATTCGAGGCCCTGCCCACATGACTTGACAACCGATTTGGCTGTGCATGCTGTGCATCAAACTAGAAACCGAGTGGCGGGTTTCCTTGAAACTTCCCTTTCACACCGTCCCCAAAGGAGCCGGTGTTGCTCCTTAGTTCCTTCCTTCTGGAAGGGGAACCGGGCCCCAGTTTGTGGGGTTCCCGTACTTGAAGACGTGCCGATTCCTTTGTCAAGTGTCATGCTTGTCATGGAAGTGGACAGCAACGGTCGGAAGACGACCATCCTCTTAAAAACGCCCCCAACATCCCCTTCCAGGATGCTTGGAAGAAAGGGGAACCGCTTCAAGAAGTCCTCAAAATGCAACTTAACTTGTCTGTTCTGAGCAGAGAATATGGAATCAATTGCCCAACCAATCCCAATGGGGTTGGAAAGGGGTCATGCCCAAATTCCCCAAGAACAAGCAAGTTGAGAGCCCCAATCCTAGGGGATCCCTGCTTTTTGCTTTGAGAGTACCTCCCAAATCGGGGATGCCAAGGTGCCGTGGACCAGAAATGTGTCCCCTAATTTCGGTCGCTTCCCATCCGCCCGACTTCCCTTCGGCTCCTTGGCCTGGTCCATCTGTGCCTTGCTCGCCTTCAGCAGCTCCCCCCGCGCCTCCTCGGCCAAACTCTGCGCCTCGGCCGAAATTCGCCGGACCGAATCGACGGGTCGGTCGGGCTGAATCCATGGAGTCGGAACGCGAACGACAAAAACGGGGCGCGGAAAAGAGATCGCCCCAATTGGGGATGACCCCAAAAAATGGGAAGCCGAATGGGATGCGACGGAGGGAAACCAGGGGCTGAATAAGGCGCAAACAGCTAAAAGGGGGAAAGATTCGGGACAAAGGGAAAACACCTTTAAGGAAATGGATAAACCACAAAAATTGACACCTGCTCCGTGTCTGCTCCACATGGCCTTTTTTTTCCTAGGGCTCCCTTTCCAGCCGTGGGCCACGGCTGGCCGAAAGCCGAAAGCCGAAAGCCGAAAGCTGCAGCCCCAGGTGCAGCCCTCCAATCCTGTTGCAAGGATGCGCAGATTTGCTTCTCCTGACGGAAGTTTCTCGCTTTTAAAAACCACTCTGAGGCATTTGTCAGACCCCGTTTTCAACATGAAAGGAAACAAAGAGGGGCGCCGGCAGATCTAGTCTTGAAAATGAGGGATGTTCCGAAAGAATTCTTCGCAGCCAAAATCTGCGCCGCGCAGCGGCGACCAGCTATTGAAGCCCATCAAACGTGGCTGTTCTATGACCAAGATGACATGGGGATATCTCAAAGCCGTGCACCCCCAACATGGGTGGTCTCCTTGTTCACATTTTGGTTTCCCACTACAGCAACCGAAAAAAGGGTACTCCGTCTCAATCAACTTGGAGCACCTCTTGCCAAGCTGGCAACAACGGCTGCACCCCAACTGCCAACCGGGTGCGGGCGAGCCATTTCTGGAAACTTTCCGCGCCTGCTGCAGCACAGTCTCAAGGCGACTGATTTCTTCAGACTTGGACTGCTGCAGTCTTTGCTCTGCCTCGCAGTCGATATGCTTTGATCCCCGCCGTTTCGATTTGGTGAAGGCTGACTCGAACCAAATTGAAACCAGTGCCCTCAATCTTACCGACGTGACCTACAAAGGACACCTATGGTGAATCTACACGACATCCTTCTCTTGACACCGAAGGTGAGTCAGAATCAGCCCCTGATACTGAACAATTTCTGGCAAGTGGACTGTCCCTTCCCAACCCTCATCTATTCCAGTGAATTGAAACGGTATTTCTGGAAAGCGCCCATCTACCCGAAGCGGCTTTCGTTGTAAAGTTGGTTTGGATGCCCGAAATCCACTGGAGCGTCCCAAGTGTTCGGCCTGCAACTCCTGGCGCAGGGACGCCACCTCGGCCTCTGGCACTGCCCTCGAACTCAGCCTCCGGTCCGACAATACGGGAAACCGCCAGGCCCGGCATGCGACAATATAAGTGTCATTTTTCAGGGTACCCTTTTTGGGCTGGGAAACCAGAAGGAAAACCACAATGCAAAATGAGTCAATAGTACGAGTGTTCCCCAAATGAGAAACCCAGCCGCCTTTTGGATGAGTTTGTTGGCAGGGTTCCAAGCCTAAATCAGACCACAGATTTGAGAGGGCCCATATCTGGGAATGAGTTTGATTGGAGACCCTTTGGTGGGCATCATGTAGTTGGAGATTCATGTCCACCAACCACTTTTGAGGTTGTTCCCTCATAGCCATTGAGGAAAACACCCATCTTGAAGCCAACACCCCGTCTTTGGTCGACCGCCCAATCGGCCTATTGCGCTCTTCTTCTGTATGCCGCAGCTCCTGAGACAGGGTCACGGTCTGACGGCCCCAAATACCCGTCTGCAACAGAACAAACATAACCCTCCTTCAGTCAAAATCCTTTTTCACCCCCCCACCCCCCACCCCGCAATGCACGAATGACGGACCAAACATGAAGCGGAAGCCACTCTCCCCAACAAAGTGTTCCCTTTGCCTGTTGACAACTGCCTCCGTCAGAGAGCCATTTCAAATGGGCCTGCGGACTTCGGTCAATGTCTGCTAAAACGCCCAAGTCGGTCGACGGGCGCTACCACCCAAAAGGGGAAATATGACGGACCCTGACATGTCCCTCATAAAATTGGTAAAAACTCCTCTCATGGCTCTGTTAAGTCAGCATATGCTGCAATCCCTGAACAACATCCCGCGCTCGGTAGGTGACTTCTCAACCATCCCAACTGGTGCCCGGGTTTGCTCATCCACAGTATCACCGCGTATGTGTCAAATAGGGGTCACCGCGTATGTGTCAAATAGGGGGACACCACAATTCTGTTGGTTCCCTTTGAACCAAGCCTGAAAGGGCCTCAGAAAACACAACACTTTGACTCAAACCATAAGAACAACCACCACGTTGGGGGTCCCCCTGCAATATATTGACACGTACTCACATCGTCCTCAACGTTGCACGGCCCTTGAATGGGCATCATTTCAGTGACAAAAAATTGATGTTTCACCAACCACTTTGGAGGTAGCTCCATATCACGGGAAAAACAAACAAAAAACATGGCCACCCGTTCGGCGTCGGGTCACCGGTCCCGCCTCTGACTTGGCCTTGAGGGCGTCCTCGGCCCTCCGAAGGGACTCAGCAAGGTCATCCTCGAGGAGGGGCTCTGTGCAGCCATGAGTCCGTCTCGTTTTGAGGGCGCGTTTCAGGGTTGGTTCAATTGAAAAGCCGAAAGGACCACAACTACGGGGGGCTTTGTCCAGGTTGATTGGTCACATTTTCCCTGATCCCAGCGGCTTGCCACCAAGCACTGCCCAAACTGAAGGACTGAGGGACACGGCTGGGTGTGTCGCTTTCGCCTTTGGACAAACCCCGCGTCGCGCGCGTCGCGCGCGTCGCAGCACGCCGAGGCTCCGATCGCTGCCGCGCGGAAGCTGCCGCTTGCTTCGACAGCTCCAGCTGCTCTGCCAGCTCCTTGGACCGCCTCAAGCTGGGGCCGGGTCGTTTGAGGCAGGGGGCAAAATATGGTTTAAACACCACCTTCACAAGAAATCATCATAGCCAATGGTATAAACATGTTTAAACCGATGGGTAGCCCCACCCTACTTTGAGGGACTCCGGGGGGGAGCTTTGTGTGGACCGCGAGCTTTGTGTGGACCGCCGAATGGGTATGGGTCGAAATTAAACAACCGGACCGACTTTCGTCCTTTCCATTTGCCAGGGTTCCACTTGGGGCTCCAATTTCTGACTCAGAGTCAGAACGAAACCACCTGTTTTTGCCATTTAGAGACAAGCCCGGGTGAATGAACGATACCAATCACTAATCCTGTACCAAATTTGGCATCACTTCCCCGCGCATCCCATGGGCAGACCAACCTTGTAGCTTCTTCGGATGCCAACATCGCTTCCTGCATACCTGACAGCTTTGTGCGTGTGTGTGTGTGTGCGCGCGCGTTTGTGCGTTTGTCCACCAACAAAGGCCGCACTGCAAAGATGATGACCTGAATCAACAAGAAATGTGAACTGACATATGATATGTGAACGGTTTAAATGAAATGCAGAACCTAAACTGACATGACACGAAAGGACCTGGCATGATAGTGTGCTAGGTGCTGGAATGACTTGACATGGCATGCCGTAAAATGGCCTGATATGACATGATGCATGTTGCTAGATCATGGTGTGACCTAGTATGACACGCACAATGCCATGATCGTGACGCAGAATAGAACGACCAAACGCACAATGCAGCAATGTGACAGATGTGTCATAATATAAAATAGCGTGGCATGACGGTTGCATACCACCGGTGAATAGCAAACGGGTCATTTGGAAGGGGCCGACAAAGTTGACACAGGGAGACCAAGGCGTTTGCGAGATGATCTGCGTCTCCTGCTGAACAAGTTAAAGGCTGAGAGACAAATGTGCGGAAGATCAGCATTTGAGTCTCTCGGCACGTGGCTTGCCATGAGTGTTGGTGCATAAGTAAGGGAGTTTGGGGTCTTGGGGTGTGGTCCATGGTTCATTGAGGCTAAGTATGTTTGGACATTTGCCAAGCTGCAATACGAGACCCCCAAGAAAGCCGACGTCATGGATACCATGCGAGCCACTGTCAAGATATGCTGTCACGCATGGGGAAAAAGGTTGAGTTCCCGTGATTTGTGTGTGTAAATCTCCTGAGTCCCTCATATATGCCGAACCCCATTGAGAATAGACTGATGTCACTGCAATTTGAACCCCCCCACCACCACCAGTCAGGCGGTTCGCCGAACTTGCCCAGTCCTCTATTGAGTCTCTTTGGCCCTTTGGTTTCTCCTTTTTGGCCTCCCCTCCTTGCAGTTGTCCTTTTGGCTCCAAATCGGTCGGCTCTGGCCTCGCCCGCACTCATCCTTTGTGCTTTGCATCGCCTGGACAGCGTGCAAAATCCGACTCAAAGCACAGGTGCCACACGGACGGTGGGAGAGAGTCCCCCCAAGTCCCTCCCACATGGACCATAGACTCACAGTTCACTGATACTTTGACTGAACCTCACATGTATCTGGGCTGGTCCAACTACCCCCCGCAAATAATTGTGACCATGTGCTAGTTGGAAGCAATCAAGGTAAATCAATACTTAATACATAGACTAGAGAGAACCAAAAGAGAAGCCCCCAGGCACGGTCTGTTCTGAGAAGAGCAGCAGTGCTCACTCTTTGCTCCAAGATGCCTTCAGCTGGGCCGACCTGAGAGCTCGCAAAGGCCCCGTGCACTTTCACGCCAGCAAAATGAAAGAAATGTCTTGGGGCCACATGTAGTACCAGGCAAGTGGCATCTCCTGAAGTTGCTGCTCTTGAGCGGCCTTCTGTCTATTTGCTTCCTCAAGTGGTTCCTGGCAGGGAAATGAGACGACAGCCTTTTGCAAGACATGTGCTCGCAGCATCGGTGCCCGCCTTCCAAGAGAAAGCTGGGCTTGGGCTGGACGCCAGGGGACTTTCCTCCGGCAATGCTTCCTCAGGCTTCAAACTGAAGAGCAATGACACATGGGACCCCTAAAAAATAAAATGCAGTATGCATTTGCTGTGACATACAAGACGCTTTCTTGCCAGAAGATGATAGCGATGATCTGCCTCGGCGCACACTTGCAAGTGGTGCAACCCAAGCAATGTACCAGGGGTTTGCCAATCCGTTCCCACTAAGTGCGGCGCTTCTAGAGAGACTCTTCCTTCTCAGCAATGGCTTCCCATTGGGATCGAGTACCTATCCAAACACCGCACATTGGTGTGCTATCACACCTGATCAAAGTCGTACATGGGTGTGTCCTTTTTTGAGGCACAACCAATCCAAACAGCGCCTGCACAATGTTTTGTGGTCGAACGAAGAGCCCGTGCTGCGGCTTGCAGGTGAAGTATTGCTTGTCCTGCACTGAAGGACTGTTGTCACGACCATAGCAGTTGACAAAGGGGTCCACCCGAAAGTAGATTCCTCCAAAAAGTGAATTCGGTAGTGCTTTCCATTCATCTGCGGGGCAAGCCGAGCTTCTCCACAATAGGTTTGAATCAAGGACTGTACCTTTGACACCATAGCCCATAGCCTCAGTGAGCCTTGGGGTCGGGCAACGCGCACGCTCTCTCACGTCCTTGACGGATCCATCATTCTTGCCATCAGCAGTATCCAAAATGACGCCGATCCACTTTCCGGGGGCAAACTCGGTATCGCCGGCAAATCCAACCTCAGACTGATCCGGGCCAGGGGTGTGCGGCTTTGGAAAGCACCGCCGGCCTTGCCCTCCATGTTCCGAGCGTTGAGCGTGAAAACGATTCTACAGCCCACATCGGGCAATACCTGATGCCAATCGCCCCGTTCCCAACTTCCCTGCAAAAAATCGCGCTCCTCGGCCCCCAACCCCTTTCGGTCCAAAAAGGAACCACGGCCCCCCCGCGTTACCCAGAAAAGCCCTCCGGCAGATGGCCAAGCTGCGGTAAGCAGTGACTGCCGCGCAGTGGGAGAGGACTCCAGGCCTCCCATGTATCACTTCCCGCCCCACGGCGGGTTTTTTGTGTATCGTTTGGAGAGGGTACTCTTTTGAGGGCGTGTCGTAAAGGTAAAGCAAAAAGAAACCGCTCCATTTAGAGACAACTGTGGAAAGTTCAGCACAGCCCACGAGCAAACCAGCATGGAAGCCGTGCGCGCCTCCTGTTGCCATAGTTAAACAGCCCGCGTCGGCTTCGGCCACGCAAAGGCAAGAAAACAACCCCTGTCAGTTGAAAAGAGCTTGCTGCGTGCTCGGTGTAGGAAGGCCCGGAACGCATGGAGTACATGATCACAAACGACTATGTCTTAGGCCACAGCCTGGAAAGCCAACGGCGAGTCAACCTGTTCTGCATCGAGATGTCAAACATAGCCAGGGTCAAAACTATGCGATTGGCCGAAGCTCATATGCGCCACTTTCTGCTCTATCGACTATCGCTGTCCCAAAGTTGGCATGGGTGACAATCATCGGTCTCTTAAAGTTCCCCCGCAAGCCATGGAAAAGAAACAAAACACGACATATGATGCACTAGCCGCCCAGACTGGGGGGGTTGGCAAAGGCTACATGCACATGTAATGTGCTTTTGAAACCAGCTTAGAACGACTTGCTTTGGAGCAATGCTAGCCAGCAAGATTCTATGTACAATCTGGAGCTTAGAAACGCATATGCAGCCCTTCAGCTGCCGGAATATATCAAACAGAGGTCGGGCGCCGTGCATCGAATTTCCTGGCCTCATTATTTTGCCATCGAAGTCATCCCCCCACAAAGGGTTGAAAGGAACCAAACTACAGAAACTGACTCGGGTTTGTCTCAAAATGGAGGAATCCACCAGCTGGTTGGTTTCCTTGTGGATTCCCTTTTTAAGCAACCATCAAAGGGTACCCTCCAAAAAAAAGGACACACCCAGAGAAACTGTGAAAATCATGACCCAGTCAGGACTTTGGCCCATTGACCTCTGGTGGGAGGGGCCTCCCATCCAATCGGACGATCTTGAGCCCACGATTCGCAATCTCCGGCGGAAGGCAGTCCTTAGATTCTATGAGACTGGCTGCGGTTCCTTTTTGGAATATGTTTCTTTTCTGAAATAATTTGTACACAAAGGCCCGGCTAAGCAATACGGAAACGTCTCCCTTCAGGTTGAACATAACAGCTTTGTGTTTGAGACCCGTTTTGGGCCAAACAACGCTGTGTGCTTCAAACAGCTGGGCTGTTTGAGAAGAACCCTTCGTCCGCCCCTCTTTCCTCCCCTTTTCCGAGTCCCTGGGCCCCTTCGAATGGAAGATGAAAACCCCTTTCTTCGGTCCAATGGGTTAACATTGCTGTTCAGCCATGAATGGTTCCCTCCAGCGGGGTGCAAAAAACTAAATGGAGTTGGAGTGAGTTTCACTTTGGGGAGCACCCCTCTGTTCCGCAAAGATTGCTCGATGCAGCGGAGGATCCTTGGCGTGCTCTCGGAAGAGTCTTCCTTACAGGCCGATTTTGGAGGCCGTTCGCGCTTCTGACACCCTCGCTTTGCCTGCGGTTTGGACAGGTCAAAGGAGGGATGACAAATCATATAGACGCATTGGCGGGGGGGATGGGAAGCCCATACAGGAGGACAACAGCGGTGGCAATGTGTCCCACAACCAGCCGTGGTCGACCAAGCCCTGGCATTAGTGGGAAGGGTGCCAAAAGGAAACCAAACATGTTTCACTCGACGCTACATACTCACACTCTCACACATCACAGCGATGTTTTCCGTCGAACCTCAAAAAGCCACAACTCATGCAACGAAGAACATTTGGAACTGTAGTCTCAGTCAGTTCAATGGCATGTTTGAATCTCAGGAAGAAGAGTCGCTTCTCTGCTGACTCCTGTGACACGATTCTCAAGCTTCCAAACTTCTTTGCAAGGAGCGGAGTTCCGTCACATACCTGCAAAAGACCTCCTCCACGTGCTCATCGCTGGGTTCCTCCTCTCTCGGTCCAACGGGAACCGCACGGCCCCAGCGAGTGTGTATGTCGGTCCTAGGCAGCGGGTGACGTGTTTCCGATGTGACAACCAAAAGCAAAGCCGTGGTCACATGTTGACCAACTCTGAATCTATCAAAACCAGCTTCTGAAGAAACCTTGACAGCAATCACGAGGCGTCCCTTGAAACACGAGTTGACAAGGCAAGACCCTTGGAGAACCCCGTAAGGCGGACACCCACACCCACACCCACACCCACACCCACACCCACACCCACACCCACGCACGCACGCACACACGCACACACGCACACACGCGCACACACGCGCACACGCGCACGCACGCACGCACGCACGCACGCACGCACGCACGCACCCACACACACACCCACACACACACACACACACACGCAGACACACGCACACACACGCACACACGCACACACGCACCCACGCACACACACGCACACGCACAAAAACGCACGCACGCACGCGCGCACACACGCGCGCACACACGCGCACACACGCGCACACACACGCACGCACGCGCACGCACGCACGCACGCAAGCACGCACGCACGCACGCACGCACGCACGCACGCACGCACGCACGCACGCACGCACGCACGCACGCACGCACGCACGCACGCACGCACGCACGCACGCACGCACGCACGCACGCACGCACGCACGCACGCACGCACGCACGCACGCACGCACGCTGATCTATGATAAGCACGTTGAGGTCAAATTTTCCGACAGAGCCGGCCCGGGGTCACACGATGGGTACACCCGAGGATTCCCCACGAATGGGGTGTACACACTTCGACTCCAGATGGAGGGTGCTAATCTTTCGAGTACAACTGGTAAGTCTCGGCTTGGATAAGGTTCTTCATGCGTAAGTTTCGGCTCGGAGGGCGCTCGGATTCCCTCTAGTGTCGAAAACGTTACAGGGTTCAACGTGAAGCACACGCAGCGGCAAAGAAGCGGCCAACTGGACATTCACCAACATCACTTCACAAAAGCAGGTACACACGGGTGATCAATCCGTGCATCCACCATCAAGCATAGCTTCGTTGGCCAGCGTTTGCTTGATGGCCGCTGGCCCCCTGCGCTGAAATGTGGTGGCAGGGTATTCTGCCACTCCGCACACACACGCCCCTCAAAGAGGGGCGAGTACCACTTTTTCGGGGGGAGAAAACACGCGCCCCAAAACCGGGCGAAGACCCCAACAGAAAACAAACGGAGCAAGGGAGCCCAAAAGAAACAGAAAGGCCCCAGGTTGGGTCTCCGCGGGCAAAACCCCAAACAAGAAACAAGAACAACGGGGA